GACCATGGAGAGATGGGTTTATTTCTGGGCTCTCTGTTCTGCTCCACTGATCTATGTGTCTGTTCTTATTCCAGTACCAGACTGTTTTGATTACAGTGGCCTTATAATATGGTGTGATATGAGGTATTGTGATCCCTTCTACTTTGTTCTTCTTTCTCAAAATTGCTATAGCTATTCAGTGTCATTTATGGTTCCATATAAATTTTTGAAATATTTGTTCTGTATCTGTGCAATATGTTATTGATACTTTAATAGGTATTGCACTGAATCTGTAAATTGCTATGGGTAGTATGGACATTTTGATGATGTCAGTTCTTCCAATCCATGAACATGGTATATGCTTTCATTTATTTGTGTCTTCCCTGATTTCTCTCTTCAGTGTTGTGTAGTTTTCTGAGTACAGGTCTTTTACCTCCTTAGTTAGGTTTATTCCTAGGTACTTTATTTTTCTTGTTGTATATCAAATGGGCTTTTTTCCCCCTTAGTTTCCGTTTCTGATATTTCATTGTTGGTGTACAAAAATGCCTTCGATTTCTGAATATTGACTTTGTATCCTGCCGTTTTGCTTAATTCACTTATTAGGTCAGGTAGTTTTTTGGTGGAGTCTTTATGGTTTTCTCTGTCCACTATCATGCCATCTGCAAACAATGACAGTTTACTTCCTCCTTTCCAATTTGGATGACTTTTATTTCTTTTTCTTGACTGACCACTGTGACTAGGACTTCCAGTGCTATGTTGAATAGAGGTGGTGAAAGCAGACATCCTTGTCTTGTTCCTGATCTTAATGGGAAAGTTTTTTGTTTTTGCCCATTCAGTGTAGTGTTGGTTGTAGGTTTGTTGTATATGGCCTTTACTGTGTTGAGCTATGCTCCCTCTATTCCCACTTTGCTGAGTGTTTTTATCATAAATGGGTTCTGTGCCTTAACAAATGCTTTTCCCAAATCTATTGACATGATCATGTTGTTCTTGCCTTTCCTTTTGTTTATGTGATATATTAGGTTTATTGATTTGCAGATATTGTACCATCTTTGCATCCCTGCAAGGGATGATCTTTTTAATATATTGCTGGATGCAGTTTGCCAGTGTTTTGTTGAGGATTTTAGTGTCTATATTCATCAGCGATATTGGCCTGAAGTTTTCCTTCTTTGTTGTGTCTTTAGCTGGTTTTGGAATTAGGATGATGCTGGGCTCATAAACAGATTTTGGGACTCTTCCCTCTTCTTGGACTTTCTGGCATAGTCTGTGAAGGACTGGGGTTAGCTCTTCCTTAAATGTCTTATAAAATTCTCCTGTGAAAATGTCTGGTTTAGGGCTTTTATGTGCTGGTGTTAAGCCTGGAATTAGATAAAATAGCCAGGAGGAACCCGAGGCAGGCACCAGACTGTCTCAGCAAGGAAGATAGAAAAGTAAAGAAAGTACAAAGAGTGCTAAACAAGATAAACCGCCTGTACATGACCTTGTCTTTGCAGAAAAGTGTCCATTGTAGTAAGCAGAGAGCATAGCCATGTGTGTGTGTTCTCTCAAGATAGCCAATTGCTAACAGCTGCGTCTGCTTCTGTATTTGCTTGCTTGCTTGCTCACCCCAATAAAAACCCTAGGCTGTAAGTGCCAGGTGCAACTCTCATCTGCAGCCATTTTGGCACCGTGTCCCCGGACACCCGAGAGTTCGTCCCTGCACAGGTAAAACTTTGAAACTTTGGCCAATAAAGTTCCATCTTAAACTCCTGAAAGCTTCCGACCATTAGTTGCTCGTATTGGTGGATGCTACACTGGCAGGTTTTTTTTTATTACTGTTCAGACTTTCTGCTTCTTTATTCAATTTTGGAAGATTATATTTTTCCAGGAATTTATCTATTTCACTGAGGTTTTCAAATTTCTTGGCATATAGTTGTTCATAGTAATTTCTTATAGTCCTTTGTAATTCCGTGGTATCAGTTGTAATCTCTCCTTTTTCATTTCTGATTTTATTTATTTGGGTCCTGTCGCTGTTTTTCTTGAAGAGTCTGGTTAAAGGCTTGTCAATTTTGTTTATCTTTTTAAAAACTAGCTTCTGGATTTCTTGATCCTTTGAATTGTCCTTTTAGTCTCTATGTCTTAATTCTGCTCTGATTTTGGTTATTTCCTTTGTTCTACTTGCTCTGGGCTTTGTTGTTTTTCCTCCAACTCTTACAGATGTAGGAGTAGTTTGTTTATTTGAAGTATTTCTACCGTTTTTTAGTAGGCCTATATTGCTATGAATTTCCCTTTCAGGACTGCTGATCTGTGTCCCATAGGTTTTGGGGTGTTGTGTTTGTTGTCATCTGGTTCCAGAAAGTTTTTGATTTCTTTCCTGGTCTCATTATTAACCCATTCATTGTTTAATGGCATGATCTACAGTCTCCATGAACTTGAGTGTTTTCCTTGAGAGTGGTTTCTAGTTTCAGGCCCTTGTGGTCTGAGATATAATTTCAGTTTTCTTGAATTTGCTGAGGCTGGTTTTATGCTCTGTCATGTGGTCTGTCTTTGAGAATGATCCATGCACATTTGAAAAGAATGTGTATTTTGCTTTTTGGAGATGAAAAGTGCGATACATATCCGTTTACATAGCATATATTGTATAATTTATAACTTATGTAGCATAAAATGTACAGACCTTAAATGTCTGTTTTTTAGTTTTGACAAAAACATATACCTGTGAAACCCACAAGCTTATGAAGATGTAGAATATTTTCCTCGCCCGAGAAAATTTCCTCAGGCTCTTTACAGTCTGTCCCTCCTCCCCACCACCCACAGGCAGCCTGTGCTCTAACTTCTATCACCGTTAACTAGTTTTCTGTGTTCTGGAGCTTCATATGAATGGAATCTTTCAGTATGTATTCTTTTGTATTTGATCATTTCACTCAAAGTATTGTCTGTTGGAGAACCTCTAATTGTTGCTTGTATAGCAGATTATTACCTTTTATTTCTGAGTACTGCTCCCTACCTCTGAGGCATGCACATCAGAGATACTGTGGGTTTGTCTCCAACAATTGCAGTAAAGGAAGTATCACAACAGAGCAAAGCACATGCATTTTTTGGCTTCTCAGTGCATATAAAACTTGTTTACACTACACTTATACTGTAGCTTATCCAGTGTGCAATGGCATTATATCTTAAAACAATGTACCACCTTAATTAAAGAATACTTTGTTACTGAAATTGCTAACCAGCATCCAAGTCTTCAAGTGAATTGTGATGTGTTTGCTGGTGGAGGGTCTAGCCTTGATGCTGACAGCTGCTGACTGATCAGTGAGCTGGTTGCTGAAGTTTGGGGCAGCCATGGCAGTTTCTACAAATAAGACAATGAAGTTTGCTGCAATGATTGATGTTTCCTTTCACCAATGATTTCTCCACACCACGTGATGCTGTTTGATAGCATTTTACAACAGAGCAGGATTTCTTTAAAAATTGTAGTTAATTCTCTCAAACCGTGGCACAGTTTTGTTAGGGAGAAACCTGGAAGAACTAACTTCTAACTTTTGAACTAACTTTTGTTATTTCTTCTTGCCAGTGCAGTAAAGAATTATAGACCATCAAGTCCATTAGTATGTAAGCAGGGTTTATTAGTGATATGTTCTCATGGAAGAGAACAGTTCTTGCCAAGGTGGGAGGGAAAGGCACAGGTTCAGGTGGCAAAAGCAGAGGTGGCAAGAGCATCAGGTCCTTTGTCCTGAGGACTTACGTAGTTGGTAGGATGGGGTGAAGAAGTTACATATTGATTGACAGGTAAAGGTGGTGCCAGCTTTCCCTGGGGGACATGATGACCCAAACTTAAGTATGTGTGAGGGCCTGTTAGCCTGAATCCTTGTCTTGCTCCACACTCCATTTGTTCATCTTGTAAAACAGATATGTGACAGGAGACAGTTAGTTAAAATTGGGTCAGTTACCCAAAGTTACTTACGGGCTTTTTCTGTAAGCATTAGGAACTCCCTCGTAAAACAGATAGTGACCAGAGGAAGGCAATTAACCAAAGTTGTTTAATGGGCTGCTGCTTTTGGCACTATGGACCCTGTCTTCTTCCCCCTTCCAGGCCTTCAGATGGATACACAGTTCAGGGCTTTCTTTCTCCGATAGTGGAAGCGCTACATAGAATTTCAAAGACTTCCCTTCTTCCTTGCTAAGATAGTATTTCTTGTGATGTTGGGACACTTGGCAGTATTATCAGACCAGGCTCAAGACTGCGGAGTTAATGGGTGAAACGTGTCTCCTTTCTCCTCCCTACCTTGATTTACTATCCATCCTACATAAGTGCTAAAAAGGCGCTTCCTGGCAACTAGGATGGTAGATGCTGGCCACTAACAGCAGCACAGCCTCAGAGCTCTTCCTGTGCTGTCTCCTGCCTCAGCTTTATCTACCAAGTTTATGTAATATTTAAATTCTTGTCAAGACACTAACAGGTGAGAGAAAAGAAAAGAAAGTAGAAAACAGCAATCTCTAAATAAATTCAAATTTAGTAGCCTTCTAGGAAAACAATTATCATTTGCTACTCTACATCGCAATAAAGTGTTTCTGAATGGATTTGTGATCTAACTTTTAAAAATGGAGTACAATGAAATACAGTAAAACAAGGTATGCCTATATACCGTGATTTGTTTATCCATTCTCCTGCTGATGGACATTTGGATTGCTTCCAGTTATGGAATATTATGAATAAATCTTCTATGAACATTTGCGTGCAAGTCACCTACTAGAAACTATTTTAACTGTTTCAGCTACCACATCTCATTTAATGCCACAGTCAGACTCTGAGGTGGAAACTATTGTTATCCCATTTTACGGTTGTGATTATTCCCATGTTGATGGTTAATTTACACGGTGACTCAGGTATTTAGTGACAAAGATTTGAACTTGGGCATACTCCACAGATCAAACATAACACTGTTACAGAAGATATTTTGATCAAATAACTTTTTTTGGCTTCAGAAAGCATGGATGTTTATATCTGGGGAATAATAAATATAAATGTATTTTGGTCTCTTTAGATCTCTTCACCAAAATATGGCAATGAAGTGGACATCTTTGCTTTAGGGCTAATTCTTGCAGAACTTCTGTACATATCTCCTACTCGTTTGGAAACAGGTAAGGTAAGTAATCTCACAGAAGGAATCTGACAACGAGAATTACTGGCCATCATCTCTAAAGTGCAGCTGTGGACAGTTATTGCTGTCCTGTGGGGATGAGCTTGAACATATCAGGGGCCACCAAGACTTTTTGTTAGTTCCCGTCAAGATGGTGGAGTAGGGACACAGCGTGCTTGTCTCCTCCCACCACTGCATCAGTATTACAACCAAATTCTGGAACAGCTGTCCTTGAAAACCACCAGAAGACTAGCTGGACAGAACCTCTGTACCAAAGGATATAAAGGAAAAGCCATGTCGAGACTGAATTTCAACTGTAATTGAAAAACTGAAACAAAGAAACAGAAAAACCCTTTTTGTTAAGGGCCCAAAACTTTGTTGTTTGTTTTTGGGTTTTTTTTGTTTTTTTTTTTTAATTTTTTTATTGATTATGCTGTTACAGTTGTTCTATTCCCCCTTTATTCCCCTCCACCCTACTCCTCATCCCCACCATTACCCCCCCTTTAGTTTATGACCATGTGTCTCAAGTCCTTTAGATTCTATATTTCCCATGCTATTCTTGTCCCCCCCATCTATTTTCTATCTACTGTCTATGCTACTTATTTTCTGTACCTTCTCCACCCTTCTCCTCCTCCCACTCCCATGTTGCTAACCCTCCTTGAGATCTTCATTTCTATGTTTCCACTCCTGATCTAGCTGTCCTTTTAGTTTGCTTTCGTTTTAGGTGTGGTTGTTAATAACTGTGAGTTTGTTGTCCTTTGACTGTTCATGTTTCTTTAACTTCTTTTTCTTAGGTAAGTCCCTTTAACATTTCATATAATAAGGGCTTGGTGATGATGAACTCCTTGAATTTGATCTTATCTGAGAAGCACTTTATCTGTCCTTCCATTTTAAATGAAAGTTTTGCTGGATAGAGCAATCTTGGATGTAGGTCTTTAGATTTCATGACTTGGAATACCTCTTTCCAGCCCCTTCTTGCCTGTAAGGTCTCTTTTGAGAAATCCGCTGACAGTCTGATGGGGACTCCTTTATAGGTGACTGTGCCCTTAGCTCTTGCTGCTTCTAGGATTCTCTCCTTCATTTTAATCTTGGCTAATGTAATTATGATGTGCCTTGGTGTGTTCCTTCTTGGGTCCAACTTCTTTGGTATTCTCTGAGCTTCCTGGATTTCCTGGAAGTCTATTTCCTTTGCCAGATTGGGGAAATTCTCCGTTATTATTTGTTCAAATAAGTTTTCCACTGGTGGCTGTTCCTTTCCCCCTTCTGGTACCCCTATAATTCGGATGTTGGAGCATTTAAAGATGTCCTGGAGGTTCCTAAGACTCTCCTCATTTCTTTGAATTCTTGCTTCTTGACTCTTTTCTGTTTGGCCATTATTTGCTTTCTTCTGGTCCACTCCATTGATTTGAGTCCCAGTTTCCTTTTCATTGCTATTGGTGTCCTGTGCAATTCCATTCATTTCAATTAGTTTCGCCTTCATATATTTGTCTAATTTGTCGGTATAATCAACCAGTTCTGTGAGGATCCTGATCACCAATGTTTTAAACTGTGCGTCTGTGAGTTTTGCTATTTCTTCATCGCTTAGATCTATTGGCTCTGGGGCTCTGAGATCCTCCTGCGCCATTCTTGGTCTGTTCGGGTCCTTTAAGTGTGAGAAGCGGCGCCTTGGATTCCCAGGTCGCTGGGTTGTGACGCAGTATGTGGGGGCGTGGCCAGAGCGGGAAATGGTGACCCCCTCTGCTGCTTCTCACAGCTGGGTGCGGAGGAGGAGTGCCTTAGGTGGTTCACCTGGGCCGGGCCACTCAGAGTCACTGGGTTATGATGCTGTATGTGGAGGTGGGGTCAGAGCAGGGAAATGGCGGTGCCCTCCACTGCCGCTTGCCGTGGGGACCTGCCGGCCCGGTCCAACTGCCCACTCCCTTGCCTGTCCACCCGCGCACAAATGCGCGACCTCAGTCAACACGCAGCCCCGCTGCCCCGCTGTCTCCCCCGCGGTCGCTCGCCTGGTCGCTTGCTCGGTTGCTCACTAGGTCCAACCCTGCGCCTGGATTCCGCGCGTCTGACTGAGTTTTCCTGTGCAACCCTTCTCCACCAGCCGCTGGTTTCGCCCCTTACCGGTCAGGCTGAAGAATTTGTTGTTAACGGACTTCCGAAAAGTTCAATTTTCCGTGTTCTGGCTGTGTTTTCTGTTGCTAATATTTAGTTTTCTCTAATCTTGGTTGTGTGAGAAGGCACGGCACATCCACCTATGCCTCCATCTTGGCGGAAGTCCTGTTTTTGTTTTTTAAAGAAGGTGTGACCATAGTTGTTTATTCCTATTTGAGTCAGTCAGTAAAATTTTGGTTGCCTGCTTGGTGTAAGACCCTGTGAGTCCGCAAGGGTTATAAAAGCGAATAAGCCTTATTCTCAAGGAGCTTATATTCTAGAAAGTAGGTACTATAAGAGAAGGCTACGAATGTTTGGGGAGAAGGCATGAAGTCTTAGGGAGCAGCTAGGAGAAGACCCTTCCAGCTGTAGGGATTTGGGCTTTGTGGAGGAGTTCAAGCTGGGCTCTGAAGGACGGGTTGGCTTCTAACAGTCCAAAATAGAAAGAAGGTGATTCTAGCATGGAGATAGGAATGTGCAGAGTGTTTGAGGGGACATTAGGCAGAGTCTCATATTTTTATGGGAATATATAAGTTATAAGGAAGTGGTGGTTGATGGGATTGGAAAGATGCATTAGGGTTAAATTAAGGCAGAAATGTGGGCTTTGTTTTGAAGGCCGTGGGAGCCACTACACAGTCTGAAGCTCAGTAAAGGGGACTCATTTGGAGTCAACGGCATTTCCCCTGTGAAGCAGGTAATGAAAATACCTGCTGTATAGGGTTCCAAAGAAAAGGGAGAGAAGGCCTGTGATACCCTTGACACTTCAACATGTTGTAATGATAACGATTTTATTGGATGGGAGGAAGAGTCCTGCTCACTTCCTGGCTAAAGAGACTCTCCGAGGCTCCGAAAATGGACTAGGTCTCGGACAGCCCCAGCCTTTGTTGTTTTCTACGTGTTTCCTTCCAAGTGAGTAGTTTCCTAATGAATGGATATATGTTTTGTTTTCAGATTTTCCAAGACCTAAGGAGTGGTGTTGTCCCAGATGAATTCGATGACAAAGAAGTGAGCACTTGAAAATAATCTGAATTTTATTCATTTCAATCTTTTATCTCTTCATAGTATGACTATTTCTGTTATTACAGAAAAGTCTTCTCCAGAAATTGTTGTCTGCTGAACCCAAGAAACGACCTAAGGCATCTGAAATACTGAAGACCGTGGAGAAGTGGAAGTCCGTGGGGGAGCAGAAGACCGTCGTCGGAGAGCGGCAGATGCGGCATACGTACTAGTGCCTTTCTGAAAAAGTGTCCTGCTCCCGATGTTCGTTTTCCCTGCCACTGTCTGGAACCTGCTAGGGATTATTTTCCTTCTCCCTAATTCTTTTTACTACATTTGCAGAAAGTCTTGCACTTCTTAACTTCAAAAATGTTTTCACATTTGCCTTTTTCCCAGGTCATCTCCTTATTATGAAGATGGGCAAAAAAAAACCCTCAGTGTTTTATATCAAACAATTGATAAGTCTTTATGAAATGTCTGCTGTTTATAGGCCCCCCCAAAATAAGATCTTCCCATGTCTTAAATAGGTAATGAGAATTTGGAGGAAAATGGTAACCATAACAAGATAAGTTATAAGCAGTCACTTTGGAAAATTTGGTAACCTCTAAAGGTAAATGTGTATATTCCAGAATGGAATTCCTACATTCTGCCTAAAAGAATGTTCATAGAATTCCTACATTCTGCCTAAAAGAATGTTCATAGAATTTCTGTTTGTAAAAGCCAAAGGAACAGAAAACCATACAAGAGAAAAATGGATACATACATTGTATTGTACTCACACTGGAATACTATATAGCAGTGAAAATGAACAAAGTACTGAGAAATGTATAACGTGATACATCTCTCAGGGATAATGTTAAGCAACAAAGCAGGTTGCAGAAAATATATACAGAATGATTCAATTTATATAAGGTTCCAGAACATGCTTCATGAAATCATTTTGTTTAGGAATCCAGACAAATGTGGTAAAAACAATAAAGGGAAGGAAATGTTGAAAAGGAAATACCAAATTCTGATAGCAGTTGTCTCTGAGGAGGGATGGGAGTTGTGTGAATGGGGAAGTGGATTTCAAAGCTACAGCTAACTTTTTTTCCTTAAACCAGGTGTTGAGTCTACTAGTGTTTACTACAGAATTATTCTTTTTATATCTTAAATACGTTTTGTATCTATTCTAACAAACACTTCAAAGAGATGGTAACTGTGGTGTAAGGCAAGCTAAGCACAGAAAATTGTCAGTCTGGAGGGTTAAGATCACTTTCTACTGAAGTATAATGGCACAGGGCTTCCAAGTGGCACTCTAGCAAGGGACTCAAGTGAGTGGAGAGGAGACCACCTGAGAAGTCTGGGCAAGGGGCACAGTGTATTAGATAACACAGAATAATCATTCATTTTATTAGGTGTGATAATGATATTGTGGTCGTGAAGCACAGTGTCTCATTCCTGGGCAATGGGTGCAGGAGCATCTAGGGCTGATATGGCATCATGTCTGCAACTTGCAAATGCTCAGCAAAGATCAGTGTGTACATGAGAGAGAGAGAGCACATGTGCTGAAAAGTTAGCAGTGGAACAACCGATAAATCTAGGTGGGTATTGCAGAGGCTTTCTCACCATATTCCTTGAACTTCCCTGTAGGTTTGAAGTTTTCCGAAAGGAGAGTAATCTTTTTTTTTAAAAACTATCATCTGGATATAATGAATAAGGCTATCCTCAGAAGAAGGTAGCCTTATTTTTACTTTCTCATTTTAATGTGTAGACTATTATGAAATAAATATAGCATCTCTTGCAAGCTTTTATTTATTTGTGATTATATGTTTTCTCAGCCTCAAAATTATAACGAATAAAAAGTATATTCTTAATCAGAAGAAGAGAGAGGCAGGGGCCGGGGACCTTATCTGCAAATTAAAGTGCTCATACACATGCGGAGATTTTGAAAGATATGCCTATCTCTGTATGATGCATATGGATATTATATTTACCCCCTTTTAAAAAATTTGCTGACATTTTAAGGCAAATTTAGGCATTGTTTCACTTGTAAATACTTAAAAATGATCTTTATGTCTAACAGGTAAGATCTTTTTTAATATTAACAAAACCATAATATCATTGTCACTCAACAAAATTAATGACACGTTTTAAATTATGTGATAATTCAGCTTGCATTCCATTTTTCTATCTCAAAAATACCTTCCCATGGGCTGTTTCAATCAGGAGCTCTTTCACCCTGTAACCCTATTTACCCATGTTTTTAGTGTCTGCCCTCCCGCCATTTCTTTGAGGAAGGCACTGGGATGTATATCATGTGGAATTTACTCCATTCGGGATATGGCTTACGGTATCCCCTCAGTGTCTGGTTAGATCTAGAATCTTCATTGTGATTCTGGTTTGGAACTTTTTTCCCCCAAGAATACTTCATAGGTGACGCTGTACACATTACCCAGCGCCACTCAGAAGGAACCTGCTGTCTTGTTCCACCCGGGCTGACCTTCAGGTTGATCGGGGGGTTGTGGCGGTGCCCTCTAGTTCAAGGCTTCCCATCCATCTTTCAGCTACAGGTTTCAGCAACCATTGGTGAATGTCCGGATTCATTGTTTTATTAGGGGTTACAAAATAGTGATTTTAGGATTCTATCAGTCCTCTTGCGTTTATCATCTATGGTTCTTCTATGAAGAACTTTTTCTTCAGCCAAATGGGAAAGATGGGGTACATATTTAACTTGCTAATTTTAGAATGAGCCAGTGCCCTCGTAACCTCCAACGGTGACAAACGAGATTTTTTATCTTTAAGCAGGGCTGTGACCCAACTGCTGCTCTGAAGCAGTGTGTTTAGAATGGGTTGGAGCAGGAAGAGGCCATATTTGAAAAGTCGGAGAAGCCTGCGAGGTTCAGAGGGACTGACTAATAGAAGGGGACCAAACCAGGAGGACTTGGCAACTACTAATGGGATGTGAAGGGTTAGAAAGAGGTAAGCATCAGAGGTTACCTCCAGGTTTGCTCGAAGGTGAGTGACAGGAATATGATGCCCTTAAAGGAAATACAGGTTTCCACCAAATGAATCCCCCTAAGAGCCATATGTATTTGAGGGATGTTTTTCTCACTTTTACCTACTACACAGTTTTTAAAAGATTTTTATTGATTTCTTTAGAGGGGAAGGGCAGGGGAAACATTGATTTGCAAGAGAAAGATGGTTTGGCTGCTTCTCTCACACGCCTCCAACCGGGGCCTGGCCCACAACCCAGGCCTGTGCCCTGACTAGGAATCAAACCAGTGACCTTTCGTTTTGCATCCTCAACCCACTGAGCCACACCAGTCAGGGCCTTATTACACAGTTTTTAGTGAGTTAGAATGTAAGCCAATAGTGGGGCTACCATGTATCAATCTACATGGTGTGGAGCACATTGGGAGGTAAAGTGTCAGATATCATCTGGAGATACGAAGTTTGGGGTGCTGCCAGAATGTTCAGGTGAGGATGTACAGCAAACTGTAGGAAACAGGATGGGGACTCGGGGGGATGGACTGGAAGCATACACAGAAGTGAAGTGCGTGTTACTGAGAAGTAACCCCTGATGCTTCTCTCTGAATCCGAGAGAGAGACTCTATAGGCAAGAGGGCAGAGGGACGAAGCTTGGCAGGCAGACGTCTCCATGCAGACATTTCCTCTTCCTGTCTCATGCCAATCCCGTCCTTAAGGCCTGTGAATCTGTGATGCTGACATGTCCCAGCCTGGAGTTCCTCAGAGTGGTCTCAGATGAAGGGCCTGTAGTAGATAGCTGTCGAGTGGCCTAAAAAATTAACTAAAAACTTGTGTAATAGGTGAAATTGTGAGGCAAATAAAATTGCTCTCAAGCCGTGGCTGGGTGACTTGGCTGGATGAGTTGGGGAATGTCATCCTGTTCACCAAAAGGTTGAGGGTTCAATTCCCAGTCAGGGCACGTACCTAGGTCACGGGTTTTGATCCCCAGTTGGGGGTGCCTGTGAGTTGCAACTGAGTGATATTTCTCTCCCATGTCAATGTTTCTCTCCTCCACTTCTGCTCTCTCTAATAAGTCATTGGACATATCCTCAAGTGAGGATTTAAAAAAATCCCTTTCAAATATCTGTGGCTCTTTTGGAGTTAATTTGATTGGAACCTATATTACTTTCCTACAGCTGCTGTAACTCAGTGGCTTAAAACAAAACACATTTATTTTCTTAGTTCTTCAGGCCAGGAGTCTGAAACAAGTTTCACTGGGCTAAGGTCAAGGTGCTGGCAGGGCCGTGCTCCTCTGGAGGCTTCCGTTCCATGACACGTGTTCATCGTCCCCTGAAGCAGCCCGGCCACTCTGGTCGGCTCTGGGTTACCTGGGTAGGTTCTGCACTCAGTGGCTCTCTGCTATGGTCTCTACCTGAAATTCCCTTCACTTGTTTAAGTAGCAACTTGACTGAGATGTAACTCACATATCCTATGATTCTCCCATTTAAAGAATATAGTTCAGTGGTGTTTCATATATTCAGAGTTGTGCAGTCATGACTGCCATCATTTTTAAAACATTTTTTGTCAGCCCCTAAATGGACCCATGTCCATTAGCAGTCATTCCTCATCTTCCCCCAGTTGCAGTCACTGATCTATCTGTATAGGTTTCTGCATTCTGGACCTTCCGTGTAAATGGAATCGTACAGTATGTGGTCCTCTTCACTTCGAGAAATGTTTTTAAGGTTCACCCAGGTTGTAGCATGGATCGGTACTTCATTCCCTTTGATTGGCTCTGTCATTTTATTTACTCTCCAGTCCATGGACATTTGGGTTGTTCCTCTTTCCTGCTGTTAGGAACAAGGCTACTGTGAATGTTCAGGTCAGTGACATTTCCACTTCTCGGGATCATACACTTAAGAGAGCTAATGCTGGGTCGCACTGTGACTTCTTCCTCATTGTTTTGCGTTATCAAAGTTACGTTTGGAACCCCAATTCAGTGCTACTTCTGCGGCGTTCCCTCTCCCACGCAGAATGAGGCCTCTCCCTAGTACTCCTGTTGTTTCGTACCTCAGTATTGTTCTTGCCAGTCGGCCTCAGAACTCAGCTATCCCTACATACTGTGAATTTCTGGAAAACAGGGATAGGCAGTCTTAGCTTTGTATACCCCAAGGCCGGGAGTGTACTGCCTTGCATAAAGCAGAAACTTAGTGCTTCTGAGTTGGTGGGGACTATTAAAGTGAAGGGATTGAGCAGAAAAAAAAACCAAAGACAACAACAAAACAGACTCAGACACCAACAACAGTACAGTGATTACGAAAGAAAGGGCGGGTGGGGAAGAGGGTACAGGGGTTAAATGTGATGGAAGGAAACTGGACTTGGGGTGGTGAGCACAGTACAGTCTGATGATGTATTACAGAATTGTGCACTTGAAACCTATATAATTTTGTTAACCAACGGTACTCCAATAAATTTAGTAAAAAGACAAAAAATAAAATTAGGAAAATGAAACATTTTAGAAATTGTAGATAGGGCTTTGAAAATAAACAGCACAATAAAAGCAAAGGTACATGACATGATAGTAAAATTTACTTTGTTTCAAATTTCACATAAATGTTCTAAAGATAATTTGAAAATTCTCTCAATGTTTTGCTTACCTCGGTTTTCATTGTCTAGTTGTGAACTCATAAAAGCCTCTATGAATAAAAATATCTTTACTCACATTGAAAGCCTCTATTTTTAGCCATTGATGGATAAGAACAGCAGGATGTCTCCCACTCTCCAAGGCAGGCCCTAGGCCAGGAGTCATCAAAATTATTCCCATTCTTGTTCACAGTTGTTCTGAATGCACTCAAAATAAATAATCTACGCCACTGGGCAGGTGATGGGTTGTTGCCATAGTAGCTAGTTCCTGGAATCATGGAAGCTAGTTCCTGATTCCATTTCATATAAAACAATCCACATGGCTGTGGGACTGACTGAATAAATATTGGTATGTTGGCTGAAATGACAGGAAAGTATCTGACTATAATTATGAGGAACAGAGGTACTCCTTTGTTTTAGCTATTAACATAACTTATTTTTAATGAAACAATATTAAACAGTATTATCTAACTACATAAACTCCAGTATTTTATATATGTATCTGTATTTATAAAAATGACGCATTTTCTGGGTAAAGAGCTGAGGTCCAGAACTTCACCAGGGTAGTGGTTCTCAAGCTCTGCTGTGTCACAGAATCAAGGGCAGTGACACTCAGGCCACAGTGACCAATTATGTCAGACTCTCAGGAGGGGGGACCTTCGTGTTATTTTTTAAAGCTCCCAAGTTCAACTAGAGGACAAGTGAACTAGGTCACATAGGTCAAAGACTAAAACAAGATGTGCTATTAATTCACTTGTGCCAGGATAGCTAGCTTTTGCTGTTCTCGTGCACAGTATTTCTAATAAAAGGAAGAAGTTGATCTCCTGCTCAATGCCTCTGAAAGGTGAGATATAAAATTGTACAGGCAAGATCACAGCTCTATTCCAAGAACAGTAGTGCTATGTAGTTAATCTGTAGCATTAATGCTCACCACAGGTGCTTATCAGACTGTCTTAGAACTTTAAAATAAATACAGACAGCCAATCAGTATCCTAGGTTAGCTGAATCAAAATCACTGGAGGAGGCACCTCAGCTTGTGAAAAAAAGTTCACCATTTTGATGCCCAACCTTAGATGGAGCCCTGCAGGGGTGCCATGGCTTGTGCTTAGCTGTACTCGGTCAAATGATAGGAAAGCAGATTTCAGCTGAAGACAGAAAAATAACTTTAAAAACTGCTTAGAGCTATCCAGCAAGGGAACAGAAGTGTGGGGACAAGCTCTGTGAACCCTCATTCTCTCTTGACACAGGGGTGTCTTATTTGCTGAGTGATTTTGGGAGAAGGGACTTAGCATGTGTTGCCCAGTCCCTGGAAGGTTCTATCGCCTAGAAAGCTAACTGGCCTCAGAATGCAAAGACAGGCTGGGTCCCTGTGAGGCAGGGGTCGGCTGTTCTCTCCGGTCAGGGAGCCTGGCTGGAGAACAAGTCGGCCTTGCTCTCTGCTTCAGCGTCACTGACCATAAAGACGGTATTTTAATATCTCTCTGACTCCCATGTCTTCTCAGCTTGTTCCCAAGTGAAGAGGGAAATAAGAGAGTTATTTGTTGATGTCTTTAAACTTCCTAAGCATCAAAATAGAGTCATAAATTGTAGTGGCCCATGTCTAATGGAAATAGCATTCCATTACTTTATTGAAGTTAGTGAACAATTACATTCTAAAGAACAAACTACTTCTAAAATACACACGGAGCAAAATAACAACAACCAAAAGGCACAAAAAAGCTGGGAATTCTAACTGCTCAACTGACTAGGAAACAACAGCAACAGCATTTTCCAAATTTCTACTTTATTGAGAATAATCTTAGTCATGATCTGCAGAAGTTGGTCCCGGGCAATTTGAAGACAGGTCTTCTTTATCTATAATTTACATGAGGAACATAAAAGATCAATACAATGTGTGCAGTAAAGTATTCTGGAAAATTATTTCACTATAGCATGGATTTTGTAGCTGCGTTTGCTAGTTATTATTAAACACACTGGGAGGAGAGTTTAAAGAAACAACCAAAAAGTCTTCACTCTCAAGTACAAAATCCTTCATTTCTTTCTTACAATAAAAAAAATTGAGTGGATTTCAACATGCTGATTTTTATGGTTCAGGAGAAATATTCTATCTAGCTAACTAAAAATTTAAATGTAATATTTTTCAAGTACCTGCAACTGAAGGCTCCTTATAAAATAAAGTATGAAAAAAATTATCATCCTAAAGTGATTTAAAATTCTTTCTTTTGAAATAAAACACTAGAAAATTCCCTTCTGCATGTTCAGTTTCTGAAAAGTTAAAAGCACTTTTAATAAGGCCTCAATTATTTCTATATCTGCTATTTCTTTAAGACATTGATTCTATGTTACCATTTGGATAGAAGAAGAAATTTCCATTATTCATGGAAAATGTGACTTTTATTAAAAAGTAAAGTTAAAAATATAAGAGCATTTGTACCCAATATTTTTAAACAGTTTCAAGTATTTTCTTACCTTCATAGGCTGTTCCACACCAAATACAATACAGATGTTCTTCTCTTAAATAACTAGTCAATATTTGTAATTTGTCCAGTACCTAGACATGGGACACAAGCACATTAATGGTTCACACAGAACAGAACCTTGGTTTTCTTGTCTCTTGGATCAAGCTTAATTAGCCCAGGGCCACACATCTTCCACTCCACTCTCAACCCTTAGGACAATGTCGAAAGCGGAATTATTTTAGAGCGTGTCCCAGTTTACCAGCTACCCTGATAGTTTCACAAGTCTCCCAGACACAACATGGACCACTTGTTAACATTCAGAAAATAGAATTCAACTGCTCTATTAGGCCAGGATCCTTAAAAACCATCTGTTTTCAAAGGATCTACCTTCTGCAGTGGGATGAGAGTAAACAGTGCCTCCCTGTGCCACTGAAGTGGTCTCCCAGTTAAGTGGAACATAGATTTTTTCCAATTTTGAATGTGTCCTACAAAATGCTTTATACATGTAACCACAGAAATGTGTATTCAATGTATTCATTTCTTGAATAATCTCCACTTCCTTAGAACTGAGGGTTTTTTTTTTTTTGGTTTTTGTCTTGTTTACAGGTGAGTGAGAGAGGTATTCATTAGAATCACTTCCGAAAGTTTAACAGGAAACGAAGTAGAAATGAAAATAATTTACATGTGCAGCTAATCCATCATCCAGCAGAGGTGAGGGGGTGAACTGAAGCTAACGGGAAAAATTATATGAAGTTTTGGTTTGGGGACATGAACCTATGATGTAGTGGTTCTCAACTGGGGGCGATCCCCCCCTCACAGTACACTTAACAATTTCTGGAGATATTTTTGGTTGTCACAAGGAGCAAGTGCAGCAAGCATCTGGTGGGGGGAGGCCTGGGGTTCTGCGAGAGATCTTACAATGCACAGGCCAGCACCCCATGACGAACAAGTACCCAGCTCACAATCTTAATAGTGCCAACGTTGAGACGCCCCGATCAAGGAAATGGTACTAAAACATACACTTAAATCTTCACTGTCATATTCATCTTCATCTTGTTCATTTTCTTCCTTTTCCTCTTCTTCAGCCTCCTCTTCAACCCTCAGCCAGTACCAGGCCTCCCTGGGAACCTGAATATTCTGAAAATGTAGAATTATTTCCAATTAAACATAGATAAACATGAGACCACTCCTGTATGTTCATGTCAACATGAATTCATCCTTTCAATTAAACTTTTACTGAGCGCAGTGTCAAGACTGAAGCACTGTGTTATGAACTCTGGGGATACAAAACTCAATTAGAATATTGTCTCCAAGTTGCTGACAGTCTAGTAGGGAAAATAAGCTATGGCAGAAATAGCTTAATGGGTATAAAATAATACATATAAGCTAGAAAATCTTAAGAGTCATGACATAAATTCAAAGTAAAGTGCTAGGGAAATATAGAAAAATGAGATTACTTCTAGCAATCTATTTAAAGATGAAAGAAATTTCATTAAATGAAGTCATTTTATTTTGAACCAGCAAAATAAAAAAAAAGCAAAATAAAATCATTCAGATCTGAAATACATGGTATTGTACCATGATCTCATTACTTAGAGACAAAGAAGGTGATGAATAGGGACTGAAAACTGGCTATTCTGGTTAGTCAGATATTCTGGGGAGTGGAATGTCCACACGTAGTAGCCCCGAGTAATTAATATGCAAATGAGCAGAGTACAATTAAATAAAAAAATGTTATTTAACCCTATTGGATAATTCAGACTACTGAGGTTCCTGCCATAAATGAGTCATCATTGTGTCAATTATCACAGATCAGTAGTACATGGTAAATAAAAGCTTTAATCAGTAGAAGACTAGGAACACCAGACTTGTGTTTTGTTTGGCTTGGCTTTTTAAAACATAGACTCATGGCAGATCATCCTGGGGGCCACAACACGTCACTACCGCACCGAACGCAGGTAGAAGGCTTGCCTTCTGCGTATCCAGTTGTTGACAGGCTCGCTGGCTTCTTCTAAGATCTCCTTCCAGCTTCATTTCATCTTGCTTATTCTTAAGTCTCATTCTAACGGAAAGGAAAAATAGCACATTACAGTTCTGCACGCTCTTTATCCATTTTATGTGACCGGGCACCGGAAAACGCACCACACTGAAGAAAAGACGACACCAAAAGCAGTCCCCATACAGAGCGTTACCGAAACTGTTCTGCGGCTTTTTCTTCAGCTTGGTTTTTCATATGAATCTTTCTCCGATAGCTTTCTAATTTTTCCTCTGCTTTTCGTTTCAATAACGCCTCATGACCAAGGCCGCTTTTTCCTGTTCAGACAGACAACTTTGATGAGAAACTTACTGACTTTATATTTCAAAGCATGACAATATAAATATTTACAAATTAAAGGCAATTGCAACATGAGTACAATCGCTCAGTCATATGACAAGAATGACAGAAGAAAACACTAGAGATTTTTTTTAAACTTCAAATACTTATGTATGGTATAAACAAACAACATATTTTTTCCTTAACTCACACAAAGTATTAAGAAAAACATTTGTTTATCTTTAAATTTTATTCTTCAATTACAGTCCACATTCAGTATTAATTTGTATTTGTTTTAGGTGCATAGCATAGTGGTCAGACAATCATATACTTAACAAAGTGATCCCCCTGATATTTAAGAAAAACTTTTAGTGGACACTTTTGTCTCAGAATACTTTTAGAACATTTCGACTGGTAAAAATACCTTTGTGTTTTTAATGGTTACAACAATTTTCTCCTATAGTTTTATGATTTAAATTTTATTTTATACTCACTAAAACTTACTTTTACTTTTAGTTTAAAAGATTTAGAAGTTTAACAAAGAGACATTTTAATGAGGGCTTCCTATGATAAGAACTGTAACCACACTACTATAAAAATATTTCTCAAGCAAATGTATGTGTTAGATACAAGCATAAGCATATCATTACTGGTAAATATCCCTAAACATAATTACATACCTGTTTTGACATTGAGAGGAATTGGTTCAACAATACCATCTCCTAAAAACAGAGAACAAAACACAAACTACTTCAGAAATTCTTCAAAACACAAGCACAGTGTGCGGCTTTACAGTGTCCAGTACAGATTCCCTCCCATTTCAGTAATGTTCAAGCTGAAGTCTGAACATCAGTATGCTGAACTAGTTACTGTCTTCTGAATCCTAGTCCTCAACAAGGCTGACCCACAGCCTCCTACGTCACCTGAAGGTGGGGTTTTAAGAAGTGAAAGCCTGATATTAAACATCTAAGACAGTGTCAGCCTCGCTAGGATGAAGATCAAAGCAATTGCAATAAAGAAGACAATAAAGAGAAGAAACAGCTTACAGAAGCTACTTTAAATATATGGCCTTTGCATCTTAATAAACAGTCTCACTTCCTAAAAAGAGAGGTGAGAATGGAGATTCTCTAACGGGGCGGTCGCTCGGGCAGCTGCTACAGGTACAGAGCAAACAGGGCAGAGTCCTGACACCGTCCTCCATGTCTCTTCACTATCCTGTTGCCACTGTACTTCTCATCCCTTCTCTTGTCACCATGCTTAGCTGTTGCCTCCACTTAAGCTTTGTCCATCCCAGTCGTTAGTGCCTTCGAGCTAGGCTGACATCCAGGGTTGTCTAAAGTGGGTGTGGAAAGGTGAAAGTTCTCCACGAAGCTTGTTAGCACGTAACAGATGAAGATTAAGTTGTTTTAATTTTTGTGTAGATGAGAAACATTAAAGAGTCATCCCTGGTATTCACGGACACCATTTGGCAGTAAGAAAACCTTTTGATTTCTGGAAGTGACTTACCACTCCTGCCAAGGGCCTGACCACTTTTATATCCCATCTTCTGGAGCAAAGCAAACCCTTTGTTTTCATGGCCTAGGGCATTCTTCAACCCAATGTCACGTCTTTCTTGTTCTTCTTCTTTTAAACTCTTCTGCCTATTTTTCAGATTAGCTTCTTGTTGCTTTTCTTCTTTTCGACGGGCTTCTCGGATTTGCCTCAGCATTGGCAATCCTGGTCTAATATCTTCTCTGAAGAACAAGGGAAAAGGTTGTTTTACATGAGTATGTGAAGTTTTCCCGTGACTTTGATACTTACTCATATTTCAGTGCTACCTCTCTGATCATCTTTGTTACCATCTATATTAGAATGCATCAGCGACTTCCGAGAATAGTTGTTTTAGTAAAAATGATGATGGTTGTTGCCAGATTGTGGAAAACTAAAGAAAGCGCACAGCTGAAGAAATTGGAAGAAAGTAAGATTCAACTAATCTTTCTAAGGCATTTGGCAACAATAAAGGGCAAAGGTGAATAGTAGCTAAAAGAGATAATAAGATGAAATAAAGGAAAAAAGCAAAGTTCCTTGGAGGAGTGAAAATAAAAAGAATCAAGGGCAGAAGTAAAATGCTTAGCACAAAAAAAGAACAGGCTCCCAGTTCTTTGCGTAGACATGAGGATGGTGTTCCCCTAAAGCAGTAAGACTAACTTTCCAACCTCACATTTAAAGTCAATGTCATTGCTTAAGAGTCTACACTAATGCCTTATATGTTTCATTACATGAAGCGTTCACACTTACTGGACATTAATGAAGGAATCAGACATATAGTCCTCTTCTTCTGCCATGTTCAACTTTGAATGACAAAAGTATCTGCAAATCAAAGAGAATAAAGTAACAGTTACTCCATTTTTAGTTTGTCAAAATGGAAATAAACCTTTCTGTATCTCCAGCCATGAACCTTATCCAGAGCTCTATTCCACATCTATAGGACGTTCTGACAGCTTTGTGTGTGGAACTCTCAAACTCAACAATCCCTACACCTTGTTCTCCTCTACCCCAGATTTCCTTCATCCTCTGTATTTCCAAGTTAAAGCCACTGCTATCTCCCCATTTCCGACCTCTTAGAGACCTCTGTCACTTCCTCCTCTATAATACCCCTCATTGGCATTTTCCCCTATAGGTGTGGCCACTACCTTAGTTCAGGTATTTCTTTCTCACTGGAGCTATTCCAACTGCTTCCTAATTGGTCTCACTGCCTTTAGCTTCTCCTCTTCCAATCCATCCTCTCCACCCTCTCCACCATGGTGTTTTAAAAATGTAAGTCAGGTCATGTTACTTGCTGTTTCAAATCCTTTAATAAACTCTGCCCTTTAGGCAGAAGACAACCAGTTGTTTTAACACTGTAGCAGAAGCCCTCCATACTCTGATCCATGACTCTCCAGGATTCATTATTCAAATCACACAGGCTTCTCATTGCCCTCTGAACATACCACTGATATATTCTTCACCCTAGGCTTAGGTTGCCCTCCTTTACAAAAACCAGGCCTCTATAGCATTTTATATTAAATGCTCATTTGGAACTTCATATAGGGAACACCTATATGGAAACATTTTTGAGGACAGTCTCCAGCCAATATAGCCAAATCATGTAATTACTGGTCTATAAATGGGTAAAATAATAATCTAGAAAAGTGCATCTCAAACTTTACTGCATATTTGAATTGCACCAGGATCTTCAAAGGCAGAGTCTGATCCTGAGCTGGAGCCTGAGGTTATGCATTTCTAACAGGCTCCCAGGAGATGTTAATGTTTTCCTTTGGGAACCCAGCCCTTTGGCTTCCATGTTGTTCTCGAGGAAGGCGACAATCTCCATATATTCTTGGGCATAAAATGGCTCATTATGGTACTTCACATCCCCATCACAGAAGACCTAACAGGGCAAAGAAACCTCTCTTTCTTTACATGATATGAATATGTGGATTGTGGGGGAAAAAAACTGTCTTCATTGGGGTTTCTGAACTAGAAGTAGGTGAAGCTGGGCTGCAGATGCCCTCTTCTTGGCCATATGAAGAGATGCTGTTCTGTAGAATGAAGTCAGAGAAAACAGGCCTAGAAGAATTGAATCTCCAACCTAGGTCCCAACGCCCTGATTTCTGTACCTCTTTATTTGATGCCATGCCCCATGAATCTTCTGAGCTACAGAGGCTAATAAATTTCCTCATTATTTAAGCCTGTTGGAGTAGGGATTCTGCCAACTGCAACCAAGAGTCTGAACAATTACATGGGATGAAAAAATATTACTGTCTTAGTTTTTAATGTATATCTTCCCAACTAGGCTGTGAACCACAAAGATAAGTCCCATACATGCCCAATGCCTACATAACTATGTCCCAAACATCATAAATTCTTGATGTTCAGTAACGAGGAGAAAAAGGGTCTTTTGTAATATTTGTAGAAATAAATAATTTCCCCGTGTTGTCATGTCTGATTTTGTTAAGCTTGATGTAAATACATCATAAACACAGAAAATCACATAAAACAAATGCACAGTTTAATGAATTATTATGAGGCAAATACTCTTGTAATTAGGCGGTAGCCTCCCAGGTGGTCTCCAAAGATTCTTGCCTCTTGGTTTTCAACGTCCTTGTGTAGTCTCCTTTCACAGGAAACAGAACTGACCTCTGTATCCAATAGGATATTGTGGAAATGATGGAATATGATGCTTGGTCATAAAAGACACTAGTTAGAAGTTAGTAATTACTCACTCTGAAGGAAGTTGGCTGTCATGGAGTGAAGATACTTAATCAGCTCACGGAGAGGTCCACCTGGGAGGGACAGAGACTTCCTGTTGACAACCAGCACAAATATGAGAGCTACATGAGTGAGCTACCTTGGAAATGGACCCTCTAGTGCCAGTCTGGCCTTGAAATGACTCAGCCTGGGCTGGCATCTTCTTTACAACTTCTTATAAAAGTCGGAGCTAAGCTAAACTAGTAACAATTCTGTGATCCAGAGAAACTGTGATATAAGAAATGGTTATAGTTATTCGAGCTACTGAATTTGGGATAACTTATTATACAGTAAAAGATAATACAAACCACCACTCACATCAGGAGATAGAACCTCATTGGCCCTTTTTGTACCCAATTCAATTGTACTCCTCCTAGTCACTTCCTTTTCTTCATCTACATCTTGTACATCTTCATAAAGATGTACACATTTCATTATCCACTTGTACATCTTTAAACATTAGTTTTGCCTACTTTTCTTTGTATTATAATATGTTAAAAATGTGGAAGATTATATTCAGCATTTGTCATAATTCATTCACCAGACTCATCTGTAAGAACAGTATTTTTACACATAATGACTTAGCCTTTACCCAGAGTATCATTTACAAACCCATTTAATCATCATTAAAAACTCTACAAGGCAAGAATATAGTTAGTCCTGCTTACTAGTTGGAGAAATTAAGACTCAGCATGGCTAAATGACTTGCTTAACAGGACAAAGAATCCAGGCCTCAGGGCTCTTGCTACTGCAAATGGGATTCGATTATTTTTAAGGGACCCATTAGGCTCCAGAGTGCTAGGCAGATATTTAAAAAGAATCGGTAACCCCTATTTAAAGCTCCCTTTCTGCGAGCACCCTCCCATTCCTCAGCATCCCCCCATTCCCATCAAGCACAAGAATAAACTTCACAAGGGGAGAATCCAGACAGAGATGATGGTGGTTCGGAGCATAGTGACAGCAGTGGACGTGGTAAGAACTGGGCACACTCTGGATATATTTTGTAGGTAGAGCTATTTTGAATATTTGCTGATGGATTGGAGGTGATGTAAAGGATTACATCAAGACTTTTGGCGTGAATACCTGAAAGAGTGGAGTTACCAGTTTTTGAGAGGGGTAGTTGCAGGGTTTGTTGTTTTGTTTTGTTTTGTTTTTGGCAGAGAGAGGGCAGGGAAGTAGCAACAAGACTGCTGCTTCGGACACTGAGTGTCCGACTACACAACCTAGGGAAGAGGCCGGCTATGTAGTTAGATGTACAGCAGAAAGGTGACAAAAAATGCCTCGGTCTCAAACACTCCCCTCTGAAACCACTGATCTCTACCCTCTCGCGTCCCTCCCAGCTGCAAGCGTCCCACCTACGCGACCACTTCGGGTGGGAATGTAGGTGATGGTGTGACCACCAACACACAGATCAACGCCCTTTATCATTCTATCTGGTGCCTCCAGCCCCTTACCTGGCAGCTCTACTAGCCCCGGGGAAGCCAACTACAGCGCGCGCTGCTCAGACGCTCACCGACTTGCGCAGGACGTCAGCACGCCCGCCCCTACCTAAGTTTCCGAGTGTAGTTTAATGGAAACTTGCGGCAGGCGGGGCTAGAAGGACGTGGTTAGTGCGCTTGCGCAATATCAACCTTCTGCGCAGGCGCTCTCCCCTCGTTTCCTGCTGGCAGGAGTGCGGGAGGCGGGGTATCCGGGTACCTGGGAGGCTGCTTCGGGCTGGAGCTCAGCTGATCGGCCCCTGCGGGACTAGGAGGTGAGGCTGCCTCTTTGGCCGGCGAAGCCAGCACATTGACGCGCACAGACTCCCCTGGCTGGGGAGGAAATTCGACTTCGTAAAGAACTTTTTCTGTTTTCCAATGCCGGACTCGATTCCGAGCCCGCGCCTCTTGGGGTTGACAGCCCGAGTGACCACCTAGGTGTGTGGCGGCCTGCTTCCTCTTCCCCAGGCCTCGCGCTGCGCTAAGCTCTTCAGAGGAGTCGCGTTAACCCAGGTCCGCAGCGCGCGCAGCCTCTGCCGGCTGCGTTCTGGCGCTGCCCGGGGATGTCCCTGAAGCCATGGCCGCGGAGGAGGGGGGGTGGGGAACCTGACTGCCCCCACCTCTTCGTTGTAGGAAGACTGGGGGACTTCCAGTGTGGGATCTTCTTGCTGGGACGTTTTGATATACTCCTAGGCAAGGTGCAGCAGGGGAGGAGCGAGGGCTCTGTGCACCCAGCAGTGGACAGGAAAAAAAGGAGGCTGGGTTGTCAGGCCTGGCTGGCGATTGATCTTGGTGCTTCAGTTTTCCAGTTTATGGAATGGGTTAATGGCATGTGTTTCTTCTAGGCGTGTTTTTTTCTGGAAGAAATGCCCCATTTGTAGCATTTATTTCAATCTTTTACCTCATTATTCTTCCTCACGAATCATTCCTTTCTTTCACTGTTTTGTACTCCTGTTTAAAATTTAGTTCTCAGGTTTGTATGAAATGTTTCCTTCAGATGAAATAAGTAAATTTTAACTTTTCGTTTTTTAGTGGTTGTAATCATTAAGCTGGACTTTTAACATACGAGTATTTTTAACATTTTTTATTTTAAGGTGTGAATTTAAAACTTCAGTAATGGAGTTAGCCCACAGTTTATTGCTAAACGAAGAAGCTTTGGCTCAAATCACTGAAGCAAAGAGGCCAGTTTTTATCTTCGAATGGTTGCGATTTCTTGATAAAGTCTTGATTGCTGCCAACAAGGTATGGTATTGCTCCCCCCCCCAAGTTGGTTTAACACAGTCAAGAATATTATGTGTTCATGATTTGTGAGAAAGCATTTTTGGAACGGTTGTGGGTCAGTTATGGATCTTGAGACTATTACACTGTAATAGGAATTTCTTTCTGTACTTTTTTATTCTGTGGCAAAACCCAAACCTCCTTTAAACCCACCTTGTTGCCTTCTTCATGTCTGTACCTGGACAGCTGAATGTGACTGGAGGAAAACATGACTGTATGACTGCTGTCACTTTAAATTCATCATCTCCAGCTGCAGGTGGTCCCTTGGTGTTGTCTAGCAATCCCGATGTCTTCGTTCATCTCTCCAAGGAGTTAATAATAGACTTTCCTTCTGTTTTCTTCATCCTGCATAGTCTATTCCATTATCTGTGTGTGGCTTTTTATTATCTGTGTGTTTTATTTTCTGTCTTTAAAATTAGATGCTTTCCTCAAATGTCTGATGCTCTTTGGTTGTCTGCTTAAACAGAAGAGTGAGTAGTAAAAATGTTTTCTGGGCAGGGTGAAGTTTGTTAACTGCACTTCACCTTAGGCTAGTCTAGTTCCTTGAGGACCCCTTGATGCTAGTACCATGGGGTTTTTTGGGCTAGTCATTCCCCAGAGGACACTGTTCTACTTGTGTTCTAGGGTGTGTGACTAGTTGTTCAGGTTCTAGGAATTGAGGGAGAAGGCTGGGGACCTGAACATTCAGTATGTAAACTTTCACTCAATCCCCATGTTCTCAGTGCCATTTCCCAGCCCACAGCGGTGCCTGGGCTCCGTAAGTCCAGAACAGAGGAGGGAGATAGAGGAGTCTTACAGCCTCTTAGATTCTCAATCTTTCCCTCCATTTCTAGACATAGCTTTCCCTATGTGCCTAGAGCCTCAAAACAGCAACAACAGACATGAGCTTTTAGAGGATTTTTTGTTGTAAATTGGGTCTCTTTTCACATTTCCCTGTTGGGGACACTTGACTTCCATATTTCGCATTCATTCTTTTCCTCTTTCTGTACGCTTGTGGATTTTTGCCTTTTTTGGGGGGGTTGCCCTTTAGTTTTAAAGAAGCCGGTTTTAGTAAGGCTTCTTTAACTAGACGTTCCTATTTTCTCTTAAACCCCCTCCAATTGGGTATTTGTTGCTTCTACTCCACTGAACAGCTCTTGTCCAGTCATTAGTATCTCAAATTGCCCAAACCAATGGGTCAGTATTCTGTACTAATGGACATAGTTGATCTTCTACCTGAAACACATGGGTATTTTTTTTATTTTGTTGTGAAAATGAAAAATACAAAAGAATATATACAAAGTTATCCAAGGTATGAAGCATAATAATAGGAACATCTGTACACCCTCCATTCAAATTAAACAGTTGATTTTTATTGTACTGTGGATGCACATTGCATCCTATTTGTGGTTCCGAAGACACCATTTGTTTTCAGTTCTTTTCCTACTTCACTAGTTATTCCTCATTCCCATTTGTTGGTTCTTTCTCAGTCCTGGGCAGCCTTCTTTTTTTTTTTTTTTTTTTTAAATCTATTTATACAGCCCTGGCTGGTGTAGCTCAGTGGATTGAGCGTTGGCCTGCAAAACAAAGGGTTGCCAGTTCAATTCCCTGTTGGGGCACATGCCTGGCTTTTGGGCCAGGTCCCCAGTAGGGGGTGCATGAGAAGCAACCACACATTAATGTTTCTCTCCCTCTTTTTCTCCCTTCCTTCCTTCTGTCTAAAAGTAAATAAATAAAAATCTTTAAGAACTAAAATAAAAATTTATTTAAAAAATCTGTACTTACTCTTACGGTGATATCTAATCTCATATTTTTACTACCATCTATATAGTAATGACTTCCAGATATACCGTGAGACACTCTACTGCTTTATCTTGGCTATCTAAACAGCATCTCAAAGTTAGAACAACATGAACAACGTGTTCGGAACTAAATTCTTGACTTCCCCCTTCCAAACCTGTCCTTTCCCCAGTGTTCTTCATCTCAGGAAATGACCGTTTCAGCCTTCTAATTATGCAGGTCATAAACCTTAGAAGCATCCTTGACTTCCCTCTTATTCTCAAATTTCACATCATATTCATTAGTGAATCCTATTGGATCTATCCACTAAATATGTGCAGAAGTAAATTACTTTTCATCATTGTTACCATCCTCATCTCTTATGTGGATTATTGCAAAAGCTTCCTAAGTGCTCTCTGTGCTTCTGATGTGTACCTTGCAGAGTATTCGTAGCTCAGTGGTCAGAATGAGCCTGTTAAGACATTTAGATCACGTCCTTCCTCTGCTTCAAGCTCTCAGAATAAAATAAGACACAATCGAGTCCCTTTTACTCTTCTGATTCCATCTCTTGCTACATCCTGTCTCTTACTCTCCTAGGCCTAAAGGGCCTACTCACTGTCTTCAAGCATGTTAAGCATGTTCCCTCCATGCCTTTATACAGTTCCCTCTGTCTGGAGTATTCCTCTCCCAGATATTTGCATATCTCACACATTCGCTTCTTTCTAGAGAGGCCTTTCCTCACTAATCAACATAAGGTAGTAAGCACACTATTTATTCATTTAGTTGGTGAATTCCGTGTCTCCTCTCTAGCATGTAAATTTATGAGGGTATAGACTTGGTCTGTTGTGTTCACTGTTACCTAGAATATTCATGCTTAGAGTAGTGCATGGCATATAAATGCACAATACACATTGAATGAATGAATGAGTGAGTTTTTAGTATTGATTATGGGTAGATCTGAATATTTTTTCTGTTTTCTAGGGCTCCTTCAATGTTTCTTTTGATTTCCTTCACTGACTTAAACAATGTTTTGGACTACTGACTTCGCTTTTCAAGGAGAGCTTATCTGGGTTCTAAGATATCAGTTGTCCACATGCTCAATATTATGTACTTAGACTGTGGTTTACTTCTTAGTGAGTTGGCGTGAAAACTTGAGTCAGGAGTAGTCACTTTTGTTGGCAACTAACTTTTGGCTTTGGAGGGGAACAAAGGAGACTATTTAATGTAGTAATGAATGATTCATTTCTTGCTGAGCTCACCTTGAAAATTCTCACTTATGGTTTTATACCTAATGTAATATAGATTTGAATTATCAGAGTGCCTTAACTAAGTATTTCTTATTCTGACTAAAATGTAACAAAAGTACATGTAAGAAAAAAACTGGACAGAGACAGACTCATACAGGGTCTGACACAAATAGCGCCCTCTTTTTATTACAAAGTCATAAGCATGTATTTTGTAACATGACACCATCACACTCAAGCACACCATAGGACATTTTAGGTGAAATGTTCAAATTAAAACGATCAATTATTACACCTATTATTATTGCCCTACCAACCACACTCAAGCAAGCCTTACTTCTGTTGGACCCTGTAGATGGAGAGCAGATGATAGCTACTTGGGGGCAGAGGGTGGGGGTGAGGGGGTAGAAGGATCGAGCAAAAAGGAAAAGGACTCATGGATATGACAACAGTGTGGTGATTGCTGGGGGGAGGAGACTATAAGGGGACTAAATGGTAATGGGAAACATACAATAAAGATTAAATTAAAAAAAAAACTTTTGATGTTCTTTATTTTCTTTTATAACAGACTGATGTTAAGGAAAAACAGAAAAAACTTGTTGAACAATTAACTGGATTAATAAGTAGTTCACCTGGACCACCTACGCGAAAATTGTTAGCTAAAAATCTTGCGGCCCTCTATAGCATTGGGGATACGTTCACTGTTTTTCAAACACTTGAAAAATGCAATGACATTATCAGAAGTAAAGACGACACTGCAGCCTATTTACCAACAAAATTGTGAGTATTTTGAGATCAACCCTTGAACATATTTTGTGTTTTCAGAGTAGCTTGTCTTAATAAGAGGCTGTCAATTATAAAGACCTCCAAGTAGATTGAACCTGAGGCATGCTGCTGACAATAAAAGCTCCCCAAGCAGGTGTGGGAAGGGCTTCTCTTTGAACATTGGCTCCATTGCCACTGGGACTTCCAGCAAACTACAGAGGATTGGTGTAATGTCAGCAGTTTGCATCAGGTAAATTGGTAAATTGGATGGAGATAATATTTTAGGCTGGGATGGAAACAGAGCATCTGTAGGTGATGGGATTGAGGCAGGATTGGGCAAACTAGAGCCCATGGGCCAAATCCAGCCTGATACCTCTTTTGTAAATAAAGTTTTGTTGGGATGCAGACATGTCTGTTCATTTAGGAGGCAGCTGCTTTCATGCTATGATGACAGACTGGCAGAGTTGAGTACCATTTTGCCTGCAAGTTTGCTGACCCCTAGATCAAGAGCTTAACCCAGCTCCTAGCCCATACTTGTGGTTTGGATTAAGGGCAGACATTTTTGGAGCAAGTCTTAAAGATAATGGCTATCGGGACACCTTCTGTAAAAGAGTTAAACAAGAGTGCCATAGGAGAAAAATAACACCTAAATAAGCTTAGCCGTGCCGTGAGGGAAGAGCATTGTCAAGGAAGACCACTCAAAGAAGCATCAGCGAAAGTAGGTCAACCATCAGGGAAGGAAATAGGGAAGTTAGTCAAGTAAGGGGTTAAGATAGGAAGAGGGGAAGATGGATGTGATAGGCTAGGGATTGGCAAACTGTGAAAAGGGCCAGAGAGTAAATATTTTTGGCTTCGTGGACTGTACAGCTCTGTCAAAACTACTCACCTCTGCCACAGACAATATGTAAATAAATAAGTATGGCTGTGTTCTTATAAAACGTCTTTTAAAACACAGGTGGAAGACTGGATGATGGGCGAGATTTAACCTGCAGGCTGTAGTTTGCCTACCTACTCTCTAAAGAAACTTCTCACTGGAAACAAACATTATACCTTATTTACATTACAGTACTTTTCAGAAAGATACAAGATAGTGGAGGAAACAAGTTGTGAGGGGAAGACGAGTTCATTTCTGGGCATGCTGATTTTGGACTTTCAGTGGCAACAGCCGAGTGACTGTGTAGTAGGAAGTGAAAATCCTGGTCTGGATTTTAGAGAACTGAGTTGAAAATGTCGTTTTGGTGATAGAGTGGAGATTTGGGAATAGGCTGAACCCTTTGGTGTGGGTAAATTCACCCAGGAAGAGTGCACTACTGTTTGAGGACAGAAGGTGCCAAGCGGCCAGGGCCAGTGGACAGTAGCTAACAGAGGAAATGGGGGACTTACTTGGAAGGCTGATTCTTCTTCGGTCTGTTTTCAGTGGCACAGATAAGTCGTAATTAAACTGTGTATCGCTTGAGATAGGTGTAGATCTCAAAAGTTGTAGAAGAGATTCGGGCATATTAGTGCCTTCTGGTTTATTTTGGAGTTTGAAACTGTGTTAACCATTTTGATGATTTAGTTTTCTACCCCTTAGCAGATCCACACATGATTTTGTAGTTCTGCTTAAGTAGAGTTTATTAAATATTACATATCATTTGTATGTATTTTCAGCAGATTTATGGTTTCTATTTAGGAATTTCCTAGTATATTCTGGTATGTGCTCTCAGTCATCTTTAAGTTTGTAATCAGCCTGGAGAGTAGCATGGGATTTGGAGTCAAGAGGTGAGGTGATGGTCGATTCCCTGATTTTACCGTTTCTTACGCGTATGGTGGTGAGCTAAATTTCTCTCTGCCTCCGAGTGACTGGCTGAGGACACATAGCTGTTGGGTGGCAAGCTCCAGGATTTTGTCATCCATCTGCCGGACTCCCGAGTATGTGCTCTTGACCTCTGTGCCCTGCTCCGGCCTCTAAGCCAAACTCAGTTATTCACGTGTTTACTGTTTACATGAGTGATGGGTGGGTGGTCTCCCCCTTCCTGAGGAGATAGGGTGCTGTTACATTTCTTCTTCTAGGTAGCCAAATGTTGCATTAAAACCATTTAGATTAACTTTTGCAAGTAATTGTTTACTATTATTTCTATGCTAAGTAGCAATACAAAAATTATGATAAATTTCCTGTTTCAAGGTTTACATTTCCATTGGCAGGGTAAGAAACAGCTGAATAAAATGGTCAAGTCACAGCACAGTAAACAATATAATTTTGTCAAAAATGAGTGGCACACATTGTATATGAGAGAAGAGAGGGATCTTGGTGGCTTGGCATAATTTGAGAAGTCTTCATAAAAGGAAAGCTTGGGTTTCTTTCCAAAGGATGGGTATGATTCGTTATGTAAATATATATTTGTTCTCCTAACAAGAATACAATTTTATTGACCATAGTATTTGTTGTAATTATAAAGAATAAATGAGGTGGTTTTTTTTTTAGTTGAAAATTAAGGTTTCCTAGCCAAAAGTGTCCTGCACAAATACAAATTGATTTCTGAAAATGAGAAAAGTATTATTAACCTGAACAATTACTAATGAAAATCTCACTTCTTACAGGGCTGCAGTGACTTGTATTGGAGCATTTTATGAAAAAATGGGGAGAATGCTAGGCAGTGCATTTCCAGAAACAGTAAATAATCTTTTGAAATCTCTGAAAAGTGCAGAGGTAAGTTTTACAACAAATATTATTTACATGTTTTGCTAGTAGCAGGAGTTAAATGTCATTTAAAAACATATGTTTGCCTTACACTGCTTAGCAGGAAGGTAACTTAAAATTACTTGCAAAAAAGGAAAGTCTTGCTCCCTTTTTTAATGGATGATGCCTCATCTTTTAGGGAGTGGGGAAAGAATGCTTTTCTTTGACAAAGAATAGGTTTACCTATCATTTTTTATTTTGCCTTATAATGCTTTTGCATTACCACTTTATTTTTTGTACTATAGCTACTAATGTATTAGTTTTCTAGGGTTGCCGTAATAAATTACCGCAGTGTGAGTGGCCTCAAACAACAGAAATGTATTGTCTCACAGGTCTGGAGGCTAGACGCCTGAAATCAAGGTGTCAGCAGGGCCATGCTCCCTCTGAAGCCTCTTGGGAGGAATCCTTCCTTGCCTTCTTAGTCTCCAGTGGTTACTGGCAGTCCTTGGCAGTTCCTTGGCATTTAGTGGTTTGTAGGTGCCTCCATTCTTTGCTTTCCTTGTCACATGGTGCTCTCCCTTTGCACCTGTGTTCTATGTCCAAAGTCTTCTTATGAGGATACCAGTTATTGGATTAGGGTCCATCCTAATCCAATATGAACTCATCTTTACTTGATTTCATCTGCAAAGACCTATTTCCAAATAAAGTCATGTCAACAGGTAATTGCACTTAGGACTTGAACTACTCTTTTGGGTGGAGGGATGCTATTCCATCCATAGCAGTTAATATCAAGTAAAACTAGTTGTTTTGTCGTGTCAGTTTGTTATTGCTTCTGAAAATTCCTTGTCAACTTGAAGTTACTAAAAACAGACTAAGCCCTGGACTCTCATAGTCTCAATTCCCTTATATACGAAAACTGAAGAGCTCTGGGAACTCTTTGTCTATTTGTTTTTTAAATAAGAGTTGAAGGGATATTGTCAGGCATTAGACATATAAAGATAAATAAGACAAGGTCCCTGACAGCAAAAAGCTTACAGTTGGGTGAAAGAGATCTGTGTTTGAGTAAAAACACTAGAAACATGAATCAAGCATTATAAGAGTATGAAGATGAGTTTGAATTCATCACAAGAAAATGAGGACTTGGCATATCTGTGACAAAATTTTTAACCGTATTGGATGTTTTCCTTATCTTATAGATGGTTTACATTACTTCTTAACTGCTTTTTTATCTAACCTTTAACATTCCGAAAGTTTGGATCCTTGAGATCTGATACTAAGGCTTTTGATTTTGTCTTTATATTTTCATTATATTGCACTTCAACAGGTCATGGAAACATTGGAATGTGTTTACTTGCTGTAACCTAATTTCTCAGAAAGATACAATTTAATTGAACTTAGTAATTATTTTTACCTTTCAGGTACTCTCTAGAATACTTAATTTTTTTTATTACTTACTGTGTACAATTTAGAGTAAGAGCATTAGGCCCAGAGAACTTTTGTGTTTGGTATGTTGTTGTTTAAGTGTAGAATTTGCTTTACAGTATAGTTTTTAAGCTTTCTTTATGTTTGAGTCTAGTCTCAAGGGCGAAGTGAAATCTTAATGAGCCTACAGAAAGTTCTAAACGGACTGGGTGGTGCAGCCGCTTCTTCTCATCGTGATATTTACAAGAATGCCAGGTCCCTCTTGACTGACAGGTCGATGGCAGTTCGCTGTGCAGTGGCCAAGGTTAGTACTAGACCCGTTGATGATGCTCCTTATCCTGCCTGTTCTTTTAAAGTTTTAAAGTATGATGGCACACTGTTTGTCCCCATGGATTAGTTTCATTTCACTCAATATAAATGGAATCATGTAGTATGTGCTCTTTTTTTGGAGGGAGTCAAGCTTCTTTCACTTAGCATACTTATTTTGAAATACATCTATGTTGCTACATGTTTATTTAAGAGTTTATTGTTTTTTATTGCTAAGTAGTATTTCATTATATTTCACAATTGGTTTATTCCGTCACCTATAACAGACATTTGGGTCGTTTCTAGTTTGGACTATCACAAAAAAAAGCTGTTGTGGACATCTGTACAAGTTTTTGTGTGGATGTATGCTTTCCTTTCACTTGGGTAGGAGTAGAATGGCTACATTATATTCTAGATTTATGTTTCACTTTTGGAAAATTGCCAGTTATTTTCCAAAATACTTGTACCATTCCAGTTTCCCCTCATCCTCACCAATGAGAATGAGGGGTATTCTAGTCATTTTAATTCTAGCCCTTATAGATATATAGTGGCATCTCATTGCGGCTTTCATTTGTACATCCCTAATGACTAATGATGAGCATATTTTTAGATACTTATATCTAAATCTTATACCTAAGACCATCAATATCTTCTTTGATACAGAGCCTATTAAAAGCTTTTGTGCATTGTTTTATTGAGTTGTTTTCTAATTATTAAGTTTTGAGGGTACCTTATAGGTTCTTTATATATTCCTGTATCAGATACATTATTTGCAAATATTTTCTCCCAGTCTACAGCTTGTCTTTTTACTCTCTAAATTATGCCTTTCTAAATAGGGAAGTTTTGAATTTTGTTAAGTCTATTTTATCAGATTATTTTTTGTGTTGTTACTAAGAAAACTTTTCCTAACCCACAGCTTCACCTGTGTTTCCTTCTTAAAGTTTTATAGTTAATATATTATTTATTTTGAGTTAATTTTTATGCATAATGTAAGTTACGAATCAAAGTTCTTTTTTTGCATGTGGATATTCACTTGTAGTACAATGTTGAAAAGACGATCTTTGCTTCATGACTTGCCTTTGCACGTTTGTTGCAAATCTGTTGTTCATATAAATGCAGGTCTATTTTTAGGTCTTTATTATGTCATCATCTATCCTGATGTCAATAACACTTTCTTGATTATTGTAACTTTATAATAAGTCTTGAAATCTGGTGATATCAGCCCTCCAACTTTTTCTTTCTCAAAATAGTTTTGGTTATTTTAGATTCTTTGCATTTCCATATGAATTTTAACTTATCTATCAATTTCTACAAAAGTTGCACGATGGGATATTGATTCAGGTTGAATTGAAAATACAGATCAATTTGCAGGGGGTTGACAGCTTACAGTATTAAGTCTTCCAGCCCATGAACATGATATATCTCTCATTCATTTAGGTCTTCTTTGATTTCTCTTGGCAACATTTTGTGTTTTTCAGTGTATAGGTTTTGCACATCTTTTGTGAGATTTATCCCCAAGTATTTAATATTTTTATACTATTTTAAATAGTATTGATTTAAAACTTTTTGAAATTTCGCCCTGGCTGGTGTAGCTCGGTTGACTGAGCATGGGCTGCGAAGCAAAGGTCACTGGTTTGATTCCCAGTCAGGTGACATGCCTGGGTTATGGGCCAGGTCCCTGGTTAAGGGGTGTCCGAGGGGCTACCACACAGTGATGCTTCTCTCCTCTTTCTCCTTCTCTTCTCTCAATAAATTAAAAAATTAAAAATAAATAAATGGAAAAGATAAGACTTAAAAAAATTTCTAATTGTTTAGCAGTAACATATAGTAATACAAGTGGTTTTTGAACATTGATCTTATATTCACCAACCTTGCTGAACTGATCAGATTTTTTAACAGAGTCTGTCAGATAGTCTGTGTAGATAATCATGTTGTCTATGAATAAAGACAGTTTTAACTCTTTTCCAGTCTGGATACCTTTTATTTATATTTCTTTTCTTACTCCACTGACTGGCTGGATCCTTGCGTACAATGTTAAATAGAAAACATGAGGGCAGACACCGTTTCTTGTTCCAGATCCCTAGGGGAAGACATTCAGTCCTTTACCATTAGTGCCAACACCGTTTGTTGAAGAGGCTATCTTTACCCCATTGTGTGCTCATGCCCGCTTTGTCAAATATTAATCGACTGTAGAGACTTGGGTTTATTTCTGGGCTCTCTGTTCTGTTCCACTGATCTAAGGGTCAGTATCCTTTATAACTCCTGATGTTCAGTGTCTTGAAAACTGTGGTTTCATACATTTTGTCAAATATAGTTTGATTCTTTCAGGAAAGTAAATCTGGTTCTTTTTACTCCATCTATGGAAATAGAAGTTTTAGGACTTAATTTACTTTTCTTTCTTTTTCTTTTTTTAATTACAGTGTCTACTCGAACTGCAGAATGAAGCTGTGTTCATGTGGACTGCTGAACTGGAAAACATAGCCACTCTCTGCTTTAAGGCTTTGGAAAACTCAAACTATGGAGTACGAGTGGCAGTGTCTAAACTCTTAGGGACAGTCATGGCTACGGCATTGATGCCAAAACAAGCAACAGGTACCATTGTTTGCCACCCCTGATCTAGACTGTAATAGACAGTTGAAGGTATACAGAATGGTTCCTTCTAAATGGGTTACTACTTATAGGCAAATCATTTGAAAGGATTTATATTGTCAGGTAGTTGTCTACGTTTTCATAAAATTGAAGTACCAAAATAGCATTTTCCTTGATACAGTCAAGACATTCTTTTATGATTATAATGTACAAGATACTATGTAGCAAGTACATTGGACATATAAGCAAGTAATATTTATGAGAGGTTTTGTATTGTGTTCAAGGGATTGGAATCTGGCACTTTATATGCTTTCTTACTTTAAATCTCTGATGACTGGGTCCCCATTTGTAGCACAGTATCAGTTTTCATTTGTTTCTTTACTGTCATTATGAGCGGGATCACAAGCAGCACTGACTCTTCATGTGACTTCTCCTGTGCCTCACAGTTTCATAGGCTTTGGGGACAGAGTGGGTGCACACTGAGCAGGCCAGCTCTGCTCTCGTCCCCACCACTGCTCCCTCTCTGCCTGGAAGAAGGAGAATCAGATGCTATGGAGCCAAGTCCTAACTCCTAGGTTTATTAGCTATGAAAACCCCAGCTGTGTTTTGTTCATCTTTAATAATAATTATTTCAATCTGTGAATAAGATGATGATGATGACAGGTAACATGTGGTAAGTGCTGTGTGCCAGGCGTTGATTTAAGCACATAACGGAATTGTTTATGTAATCCTCACAAATGCCATATGAATTCTAAGTACGGTTGTTATTCCCATTTTATAAACAAGGAAATTGAAGTTTAGAGATTGCATAATTTGTGTTCTACTAAGTGTTAATATTGTCAGAGCTGCAGTTAAAACCCAGGCAGTCAAATTCTAAAGCTTACACAATTGATCATGAGCTTTATGTCTCTCCCACAGAATTCTTGTGAAGATTCTGTTTCCTATTGTATGTGAAAGAACTTCGTAAAATATGAGCCTGTATAGTAGGGATGGCAAGTCAGTTGTAGTTAGTGACTTCGTAATGCATTGGTAACTGTTGTAGAGAAAGCAGGGTCTTAACAAAGTCTCTTTACGTCCGCTTCAGCTTTGAGAATGGGGCTGTCTGTGGCCACTCAGCAGCATCTGCAGGGCGTAGGCTTTGTCATTGCTGTCTCGCACATTCCAGGTCACGTCGTTACTGGACTCGTCATAGATTTAGTGAGCCGATTTTAATTTCTAGTTCCTTCTGGTCTTCTTAGCATTTTTGCTTCAAACTGAATTTATTTTTACAAGTACGTGGTAAATTTTAAAATAATAGGAAACTAAATGACCTTTTCTCCTTTGTGGTAATTTAGGTATGCTTAAAAGTAATTACTTGAATTTTAAAGCTAGATTATTAGAAAGTATTATTTAACTAATATCAAAATATGTTTATTTATAAATTTACTTTTTTTCCTGAAAGTAATGCGCCAGAATGTGAAGCGAGCAACTTTTGATGAAGTCTTAGAACTCATGGCCACAGGATTTCTGCGTGGAGGGTCAGGTTTCCTAAAGAGTGGAGGAGAAATGTTGAAGGTTGGAGGGTCTGTGAATCGTGAAGTGAGGGTTGGAGTCACACAGGTTTGTAATACATACTTATGAAAGAATTCTGTTCATAGCTCTTGTAAAAATTCACAGAAAACTCTTACTAAGTAATAGTGCACATGAAGAGATTTTAAAATATTTTCTGGTTTATTTCAAAAGCATTTCTTTTATCAAATTAATGAATTATATTTAAACTTCAAATTGCATGCTTACTGGAAAGGTAGATACTTAATGATATATAAATAAGCCTGCGTGTACTATAATTATATAAATAGCTAACAATTTTTTCAGAACTTTTTAGAAAATCAGATGTGAAATAATTCAGTTGTAATTGAAATGTTATTTATGTAGCTGGGGGCATTTAGATTTTAATTTTGTTCAATGACCCTGTAGCTAAAAGTATTATTTAATACTTTGGCTTTCCATAAATGGTTAATCACCAATGTAATTCTGAAAGTAAACCTGACCTGGAATTATAATTTTAAAATAGTAATTAATAGCAAATAAGATCCTATAATTATGATCTAATGATAATTAGTGCCTAGTAAGATGAAATGTTTCCTTGTGATTTTAATCAAAAGCATTTTAATTATTTCTTATTCCTGAAGTGAGTGTAAATAGAAGTAACCATTTTTATCTTAAAGTCAAAATCAAGTGATTTGTAGCTCTATGTCTATATTTATTTGGAATGTTAGGGTTTCTCATTCTTCATAACCAGGATGAGCTCAGCTTTGCCTCCTCTATACTCTCCGTTCTTCATGAAGCTATTGTCTTAACTGTTTTTTAGTCAAAGATAATTCTATGCTAGAGGTACTAAAAAGGTCTCATGAGTTAAATTTTCTCTATTGTAATCTCAAATATAATTCATTTGCATGCTGTTATCACTTATTTCTGTGGTTGCTTTATCTGTCATTTCAGTTCGGTTACATACATTTATTTGTATGCATTAAGTTGTATCTTAATCTGTTTATAGGCATATGTTGTTTTTGTCACAACCCTGGGTGGTCAGTGGCTGGAGCGTAGCTTCGCTACATTCTTGTCCCACGTACTGGATCTGGTTTCCCACCCTCGGGCAACGCAAACACATGTAGAGGCCGTGTACTCAAGACGGTGTGTTTCCTTTATTCTGAGAGCTACTGTGGGCAGTTTGCTAGGTGAAAAAGCCCAGATTGCAGCTGCCAAAGAAATTTGTCAAGCTATTGGAAAACAAATGAAAGCAGTAGGTAAGGACTGATGTAATGATGCTGTTGACTCTCATGGTTATTTAACTCTTTATTATTATTTCCAATAGATACTAACAGATCTGATTAGTGTATACCTTTTATTCTGGGCTGTGTTTTAATAGTCATTTTTATTGAGTACTCTTATTTGAAAAGGAACATATACTTTTAGTGAATAAATTTACAAGTAGTTTAGTTATAGTTTTTGTTGTTTATACCTTACGTAGCAAACCATTTTTAAAATGTACAGGGCTAACTGAAAACTATAAATAGTGAATTAAAGAGTGTTTAAATTAATGAGGTATATAAATCTGTAGATATGTTAAATTAGCAATATATCCTAGGTTTATGACTTAAAATATATTTGGACATTGGTTCTTTGAAGAAATGTTTTGGTTCCAGAAACAATGCCAGATGGCAGTAGTAAAACAGTGAACCAGATATAGGTAACTGCTTTTCAGGCAGCTTATAGACTAGCAATCAGACAAAGAGTTTGTGTATTTTAAGTCCAGGACTGTCTAACAAAAGAAGAGGTATTTAATTAGAGTACATAATGTGATAATCTGTTGTACTCTATTATTCTATATTATAAATTTTGTAGTATGTTTGTAATGAATGCAAAAAGAGTAAGACATTTGAGTTATTAATGTTAAGGACATAGATTAGCCATTTGATTAAAAAATCCTAAAAACAATCAAATACAGTGCCATATATCTGTAATTTATGGGGCAGTACGTATTCTCAGTTAGAAATCTGACAAGGGATGTACAGCGGTCTTATCTTAAATCCATTTCAAGCCAGGTAGAAGTTAAAAGATGAGGGGAGAGGGCACAAAGCTAATGGGGACTTTGAGAAACACTCTAGTAAGAAGTTCTAAAGCCACTTTCTTTATAAATCCATATTCTGGTCAGCAGTTCGACAACAATACTATTATACCAATATATTACAGTACTTGAAAGTAGCAGTAATAATAAGAAGTAACAATAATAGCTGCTAACATTTATTAAGTGTGTGTTGGGGGCAGCATTGCACTAAATTCCTCATAGGCATTGACTGTTTAATCATGACTCTTCGGAATCGGCACTTAGCCCATAGGGTGAGTGTCTTGTCCAGTGCTGTACAGCTAACGTGACTGCTGGAACTGGGATTTGAACCCATCTTCTTTCTCTAAAGTCTGTGCTTTTGTACCCTATGGTTCATTGCTGCTTGCTAAGATTAGGTACTCTTCTAGAGCAGACAAAATATCTCAGTATATATGTATTTACTCATCACCATGAAGTCATGAAGTAAGGTTTTTAGGTTACTTCACTATTAATTACACACATTTTCTGCTGAGAAATAACTACAGACAGAATTTTAACACTCAGGCATCAATTGGGATGATTTAAGAATGTAATTGTGGTAGCAGGATTCAAACTACAATATAGCTGTTAAGTGCTGTGTTGTCGTTCCCCCTGCTCCAAATAAAGTTGTTTCTTAACTATACCTGTCTGCTATACTCCTGTAGCAGCCAGGGACGCTTGGTCTCATACATATCATAAAAAACAATAATAGTAATAAATAATAAATAAATAAATGAAAATAATGTAATTGCGGAGATCAAGGAAATGGTGTCGTGGTTTAGTTCACACTCATCAAGTCCGTGATTTTGTGTTTCCAGAAGCGGTAGTGAACGATACGAGTAGTGAAAACAAGTCGGGAGCTGCAGACATCGCAGCCAGCCAGCACGTGATGGTGTGCGCCCTGCAGGAGCTCGGGAGCCTGGTGCAGAGTCTCAGTGCCACTGCCTCCCCTCTTATTCAGGAAGCTTCTATAGGTGTGATCATCCATTTGCTTGCTGAAATATTTTTTCACTGCTTTTCAAAGTTATAGGTGTAATTGATAATTAATGCCTGGTCAGTTGCTTGTCATGAAATTAGCAGTTTAGATTGTTCAACGTTGAGTTTTATTTACTTTAAAATTCACTGTGATAGTCTTGAATTAAATGGTGAAATAAAGTTTGGGGAGACAAATCAAAAAAGCCAATGACTAAAATTTGTTGAATACTTTCATTTAATTTTACATCAACACTTATATTTTATTGAATATAATTATACTGTGTTCTTTGTAGAAAATGTTATTTTAAACTACTCTGTGGTTTATGAGGTAATATATATGTTTTTGGCAAAGTTCTGAAAGTATTTGTGTGAAACCATAATAATTTAAATTATTGCATTGTATTGGGTTGTCCAAAAAGTTTGTTTAGTTTTTTCTATATGAGGGCTGTAGTAGTGCTTAGTTGTTTTTAACTTCATTCAGAACAATTTTGTTAGATTGTATCGTGACAGTTGTCATATCAGCATGCATTGAAAAAAAATCAGAATTGGTGAAATTTTGTGCAAGTTTATTTTATTTAACTTTATTGTATTTTTTTCCATTATCATTTAGCCCCCTTATACTTCCCTACCCCTAGCAATCACCACACTGTTGTCCGTGTCCATGAGCCCTTTTTCCTTTTTGCTCAACCCCTCCAATCCTCTAACCTCCCCCGCAGCTGACATCCTGCTCTCCATCTGTGAGTCTGCCCCCATTTGCCTTGTTCAGTTAGTTCATTTCGTTCATTAGATTCCACATAAGAGTGAAATTGTATGGTATTTGTCTTTCTCTGACTGGCTTATTTCACTTAGTATGATGTTCTCCAGTTCCATCTACACTTTCACAAACAGTAAAATTTTCTTCTCTTTTTATGGGCAAGTAGTATTTCATTGTGCAAATGTCTCATAGTAGTTTTATCCACTCATCTATTGATGGACACCTGGGCTGCTTCCATGTCTTGGCGATTATAAATAACGCTGCAGTGAACATGGGGGTGCTTATGTCTTTTTTGAATTAATGTTTTGAATTTCTTCAGATACATTCCCAGAAGTGGGATAGCTGGGTCAAAAGGCAGATCCCATCTTAATTTTTGGAGGTAACTCCAAACTGCTTTCCACAGTGGTGTGCAGCCATTTTGATATTGAAGGTAGAAGAAGATATGCAACATTTTTAGCATATTATGCTTTATTATTTAAAGAAAGATAATAAAAACACAACTGAAATGCCAAAAACAGTTTTTGCAGTGTATGAGAAGCTGCTGTGACTGATGAAATGTATCAAAAGTGGCTTGTGAAGTTTCTTGGTACTATTGACATTTTGGCCAAATAATTCTTTGCCACGTGGCCATTTTATTCATTGGAAGATGTTTAGCAGTACCCCTAGCCTCTACCCACTAGAAGCAGGAGATTACCAACATACTTAGGATATCCAAATCAATCAAGTTATTGGTGAAAATGGAAAATGTGTCTTTTATTTTAGAGAAAAAACTAAACATTTTGGCCAACCCAATACATAGTCTTTTAGTTCATGAAATGGTTTGACTTCATTAGAGAGTAATTTTTTGAGTATTTTTTTATTAGGACTTTTGGAGACTGTGACTTCTGTGCTGCTTCATCCAAGTATAGCTGCTCGGCTTGCTGCTGCGTGGTGTTTGCGCTGTGTGGCTGTGGCACTGCCTTTCCAGTTGACACCATTTCTGGACAGGTGTGCCGAACGGCTCAACAACTTGAAAACTTCACCAGAAGCTGTTAGTGGATACAGTTTTGCAATGGCCGCCTTGTTAGGTGGAGTTCATCAGTGTCCACTGGGCATTCCTCATGCCAAGGGGAAGGTAGGGAGAGGTCCTAGACTTGCAGGCACTGTCATGTGGGCTTTAGTTTTTATTGGAACACCTTCCGTGTTTAATGTTGAACTAGGCGATCAGGAGACAGACAACAGACTTATGATGATAATATAAAACAGCGTTCTGCTAATACAGAGTCGACAGACCCTAATTAAAATTTGATATTTAATTCTGACATAGGAATAATAAATAGAATTTGTTTGGGTATAGTATACTTTAGAATTTGTTTTAGAGGAAAAACCCTAAATAATTACCATTATTTAGAATAAAAGCTTTTAGCTTTTAGAAATAAAGATTCACACTGCTGTATTAAAAAATATTAGGAGAATAGGCTATTGCCATATTTAGCATTTTGATAATTAAAGTTGAATGAGCTTATGACTCAGTTTTCTTTTGATTTCTATTGTATGTCCTACTACCATCATGTAGGTTTTCTTCTCAGAAATATTAAATATTTTTATAAATATTATTTGCAACTCTATATAGGCAGATTGGGGCTAGATTTTAACTTCTTTTTTTCCTGGGTCATTAGGCCCATGTCCATTCATTTCTGTGAGCTCCATAGCTACTACTTGAGTCTAGGCATCCATCTCCCTTTGCCAGGTAATTGCCTTTGCTCCGGCTAATCTCTTACAATAGAATTTTGTCCGCCTTCTTGTTCATACGCCTGAACCAAACTTACCTATTTGTTTAAAGGCCCAATTCAAGTTCCACCTCTTTTGTGAAATCTCTTCAAAACTCTTCAGTCTTTGGTAGCCTCTTTGACCACTACCACCTCTGTACTTTGTCATTTAATCATTTGCTGCTTGTTTCATCCCATTTTTCCTTTGTCTTCTCTGAGATTAAGCACCATAAGATTAGCTGAATGGCAGTTTCATAATAGGACTTCATTATGATAGCACATAATAGCACTTCAAACCTTTGAATGTAGGATAGTAGTGCCAATAATACTAATACTACTTGTCATGTGGTTACATGGACCAGCACTGTTCTGAGTGCTTTCCTGCATTAATTTATTTAATCCTCATAACAGTGGAGTAGGCACTTTTATTCCTGTTTGGCCAGTGAGGGACCTGAGGCAGGGACGTTCACTTGTCCAGGGCCAGAAAGCAGGAAACAGCAAAGCTGGGATGAGCCCAGGCAGGCTGGCTCTAGAGCTCATGCTTAACCGCTGTGCTGGGGTCTCCGCAGTCAGCAGTGCAGTCAGGATTAAGTGGGTCCTGATGTCGTCTCTTTAAAAATGTGTTAATAGTAACAACAAAAAGAGGACAACTTCTTTTTAATAAAGTATATTAGCTATGCATTTTCTTGTTCAATTTCTTTAACTTTTTTTACAGATGGTAGTTAGTATTGCTGAAGATCTCTTAAGAACTGCTGCCCAAAATAGCCGGCTGTCCTTACAGCGCACCCAAGCTGGATGGCTTCTACTTGGAGCACTGATGACTTTAGGTATAATTATATTTGAGTAGGACTTTTGTCTTATTCTATAACTGTCAGTAGACAATACAGAGAATTTAATTTAAAGGTGTTAAACTTCACATTCAAGATTTTGAATGAGATTATAACATGGTAAAGATGTTTTTTCCATCTCTTAATATATTTCTTTTTCTTTTTGGCAATTTCTGCTTGAAGACATTTAACGAGAAAGTTGTTAACTTAGTTTCATCTTTACCATTAGAATAACCAAGGTCTAACTGACTAGCTTAGTGTTAATCAAGAGAGATGAGAGTGTGGGGGGCACATTTCATCCCCAAAGTAAAGATCAGTGACATAATTTTTGTAGGGTGATAATGTCACCCTACTGTATTGAAACTGTATTGTTAGTACTGCTTTCTTGGGGTTATCCTTGTGCATTTCACTTTCCAAAGTGCCACGAGAAATCTGAGATGAGGCAAAGTGTAGCACTGTACATAGAACAGAAAGACATGTTATTGTGACGAGTTGTGTCTACCCTTTAGTTCACATGTTTAGCTTCTGCTATGAAGTCTGCGTGTGTGTGTACAGTTACCACTTTGAACATGTGTTTTTTGACAACTGTGCTTTGATCTAGTTTTTTAAAGAAAAGAAAAAGTGGTAACTTTTCTAGAAATTTATGTTAAGTGTATTAAGTGGTATGTTAAATGAATTCCTTAGCAATGTAAATCTATATTTACATTGCTAATGAATGTAACAGGAGCTGGAACCGAGGCTTGCTAATTCTAAATATGCTGCACCTGTATAAAACTAAATTGACTGTATATAGTCCCCCGCCAGGTAGAGAAATATATGTGTGTAGGAGTGGGCATATATGTTTATGTACATATATTTATAGAAAAGTCATCATAAAATGTGTTCCAGAGATATCTTATCATTGATAACATGTAATTCACCATTCTGAATATATTTGGGTAATTTGTTTTAGATTACTTAGATTACTTTTTGTGGATTTGTTTTATATTGGTGTGCAAAAAATATTGATACTTTTTAAATGAACTTTTAATGCTTTAGTAGATACATATTTTATGTACTAAATAAGAACATTTTGAAAATGTTAGTATTAGAGTGAAATGCTAGCTGTTGTTAAAGCTTTAAGGGCCTCTTTTCAAATTTTTTTTTGTTGTAGTGTATGTTATAGATACATGGCTGTGCATTCTCCTTTTCTTGGTTAGGACCATCTGTCGTTCGTTACCATCTACCGAAGATGTTGCTACTGTGGCGAAATGTTTTCCCTCGTTCTTTAAAGGAGTTGGAGGCTGAGAAGGCCCGAGGCGATTCTTTTACCTGGCAGGTAACACTGGAAGGCCGAGCTGGCGCTTTATGTGGTAAGAACTGAAAGGGATGCACTTTCAGACTATTATTTCATTACCAAAATGTTTGTGAATTGACAGAAAATCATTACTATAGATTTTTATTTTAATATATAATAAGTTTGTTATGTAAACTAATAGATCTTTATATAAAGCTTGTAGATCTTTAGATTTAGAAAGAAACTTTATAAATAACCTACACCAGTCTGCTAATTGTGTAATAAAAGTGAAATGGAGGCTGAGAAGGAGGGTCGAGTTAGTGAAAACAGGAGCTAGAACCCAGGCCTCCTAATTCCTAGGTACCACAGTCTTCCACCTGTCAGAGAGCATTGGGTCACCAGGTAAACACAACCGAATGGGTGTTTAAAGGCAAATGAAAGTCAGGATTACCAAGTTTATTGAGTTTGCAATTAGTCTTTCCTTAATGGACAAATAACTGTCTCCTCCCATCATTTTCAAATCCGAAAACATTGATAAGTTTTTCAGATGTCAGCATTACAAAAATTATGAATAAAGTTGTTTTTGTTCAGGAGTCAGCAACTTACAAGAAAGGCTCAAGTTTTGTTCCATTTGGGAACTAGAATTATACTGGGTGACCCTGTTCTTTTCTGGTTTATCTCAAGGTGACAAGTGCTTCTTTTCTCAAACTGTGGGAGCCAGATACAAGAGTGGCAGGGCAAGGTGTCAGTTTTGTTCTCATACATCTAAGAGCTGCTTTAGTCTTAGTTCTATTGCTAAAGAGCCAGTAAACATATTCCTTCTTGCTGGGCCATTGTGGCCATTGATTCTGCTTTGAAGTTGCTTTCTTTGTAATCATCTAGGTTCATGTAGGGTTATAGATCTCTGAATTCCTGCTCATGGAAATCTCCCTAACAGATATCTCCCCTCTCTCCATTTCTGCTGCCAGTCCTTCTAGTTCTTCCTAATGATTTTTCTCTGTAGTTGCAATTGGTTCTTCTTTTGTTTGTCCTGGTTTTAGAACCTTATATTTTATAATAAGAATTGTAGGCACCTTTATATAATTTTATAAATTTATTGATCCTCACAAAACTTGCTCCAAATCTGTCCTCTTAAAAATTTTGTCTAGCAATGAGGAGTTTTGTTGCACATTGTCCTGAACTCCTAACGGAAGATGTGATTAGAAAATTGATGACCCCTATTGAATGTGCCATGACTATGATGTCACAGTAAGTAAACATTCTGACAATTAGTATCCAGTTTTACGTATTGATAGTAATGTATTCTGATTCCCTCTAGTATCATGTAGGAAACATGTAAAACCTTATTTTTATACAGTGACTTTTTAAATTGCATTAATGATATATACTGAAATAAAATTGTACTTTGTATTGTATCTGTTACTGACAGTAAAGGTCACAAAATAAACTGAAATGAAAATGTAATAACTAGCAAAGTACTATCAGTTTGATGGTACTTTTGAAACATTGCTGAAAAAAGTGGTTATAAGTAATACTTATTCCAATAAGATGATACTAACCATACTTTTGATATTTTAGCATTCCATCTGTAATTAAAGCTCATGGAGCTCATCTGAAAGCCAGTGCTGCAATGGTCCGTTTAAGACTTTATGATATCTTGGCTTTATTACCTCCAAAAACATACGAAGGTAAATAAAATTTGTGGTACCCGATAAAAGTTTCCCAGTGTATCTTTCCAGTTCTCTCAGTATTAGAGTTCTGACCATGGCACTCCCACTGACTCACTCTACAAGGGAAGATAGCCGTTTCCTTTTTCTTTATAAAGACTGTGGTCACAGCACTTACTGGGTCCCAGGCCTCTTTCTAAGCTGTATACATGTATTAACATCTTTGACTTTAACATCAGCCTTATGGGGTGATTAGCTCTATTTTATAAATAAATATTCTTGGGTACATGTAGGTGATAAAACTTGCCCCAGTCTAAGGGCTAGTATGTGGCACAGGTTGGATTCAAACCCAGCTGGTTAATCTTTTAAGTCTGTGCTTTTAATAACTGTCCTCAACTGCTTCATATATATTATAATATATACGTAATAATTTAGGAATCTAGAGGTAGGCTAGTAATGAACTTTGCAGAAATTAAATATTATATAAAATGTTAATGTTAAATTAAGTCATTGATTTTTTTCCAGTTTACCCATGCCCAAGAATTTTGATATGCTCTAGTTCAGTGGTTGTATATCATTGTGTAATTAGTAATATAATAATCATGTCATATTTAATATATTTAAAATAAAGAATCTATTCTCTATTTGAGTTTTTGGTTGCTTTAAATAATTGGGCTAAAAGGTACAATACAATAGTAAAAAAGTACCATTATTATGTATTTAAAATGGCATTAAATATTTAACATACATTTTTATAATAAGAAATAGGAACTTAATTATTTTATTTCTGTGAACATGTTGGTGCTCTTTGTGGGCAATGATTGTAATTTTCATAAAAATTACTCTTCTTAATCTGATCTGAAGTTCTATTTTTTAGTATCTTTCAACGCACTTCTTAGAGCACTGGTGGCAGAGTTCACGCTGACTGACAACTCAGCCAATACAACTACCTCACTCCTGAGATCCCTCTGTCATTATGATGACAGTGTTCTTCTTGGTTCCTGGCTTCAAGAAACGGATCATAAGTCAATTGAAGACCAGGTAGGAAACCATGCAGGGAATCGAAACACTTGCTTATTTGAAAACAGTGGTATTATTACATATTATCATTTAAAAAATATTGTAGACTCAGGTTTTCATTGAGCTTTTATAGGCATTTAAAGATGGCTTCCCAATTGTGGATAAGTAGTGAAAATGGTAAACCTGCGGCAATACTCAGAATTTGACAAATTCTCTTTTTTCAATAGTCTTTGCATTTAGATACCATGTGGTGTCTGCAGCAAAGATCAATTTTAGCTGGTTTTTGGTTATTGGTGTTTTGTTTGTTTTAGTTTGTTTTCTGATAGGTTGTAGAGGAATGGGAGTTAGTAGGTTGAGCATTTAGAATCTTTTGCCCACTGAATACATTACCTCTTACGTACTTTTAAAAAGAGTTACTCAAGCTTCTTAAAAGAAGCTTAAAAGAAATTTTTGTGGTTTAAATTGTTTCTGATATTGCTTTGCTTATACGTTTTATGGTGGGTAGCATAAAAATGTTTTAGAATGAACAGTCCTTTTCTTAATATTATATAAGTTGTTACAGATGGCTTTTTTAAATGGCCAAATTACATTGTTATCTACTTAAAAATTTTCAGACTCAGTTATTCTGTGGTTTTAAATGTTTTCTCCTCCTCACCTGTTCTGTTTTTGACGTGCAGTTTTTAGTAAGTGAATTTTCTAAAATGGGTTTTGAGTGAATTTTGTGCATCCTTTTGCAGCTCCAGCCAAACAGTGCGTCTGGCAGTGGGGCTCTGGAGCACGACCCCTCCTCCATTTATCTGCGCATACCTGCTGGAGAAGCGGTGCCTGGTCCCCTCCCTCTGGGGGTCTCGGTCATTGATGCTTCGGTGGCTCTTTTTGGTGTAGTGTTTCCTCATGTTTCTTATAAACACCGGTTAGTAGAATGTCAGTCAAGTAATTTTAGCTAAATATGAATTTCATCCAAACAGTAGATTTTCCCATCCCAGTAACTCTACAATAAGGTGTATTACTAATTAAACAATAGACTTATAAAAAATTTAATAACATAAAGGGCAAATTACATGATAAAAAATTACATGAAAAAATTCCACATAATTTGGAACTATTTTTAATGTTTAAAAAATATTTTAATTATTTTTAGAGAGGGGAAGGAAGGGAGAAAGAGAGGGAGGGAAACATCAATGTGTGGCCCTCTCGAGAGCCCCCAACTGGGTACCTGGCCCGAAACCGAGGCATGTGCCCTGACTGGGAATCGAACTAGTGACCCTTTGGTTCACAGTCTGGCACTCAATCCACTGAGCCACACCAACCAGGGCTGAAACTATTTTTAAGATTTGACCCTGTGTACCAGCATCTGGTATCCACTATAATAGTTTATTTGCCATTTTATAAGTAGGTTTTGATTATATTTTTAATTAGGGATATCAATTTGTTAAGTCTTTTTGTTACTGAAGAAATATCCCCCAATAACTTTTGTATGTCAGGTGATCCATGTCTGGAAATTGGGAAATTAAGGTAACTGTTTTTTTCCCTAATGGGACCTTAGGACCTTTTTTGTTTTCTGTGCTCTATGTCCACAGGTACTGTCCCTAAATTTAATAGGCATTTTCCCAAAAGGAAGATGGAAAATAAATTAATGCAGGACTTTCACAGATAATTTGTTTGACAAAATATGCCTTAAAACATTATTATATTTATATGTAAAAAATAACACAAATGTTATCTTTTTAAATGTGTAGGTTACTTGGTTAAAGACTTCTTAATTTGAGGGGAAATTTTTAAATATGCAATTTCACTTTATGTATATATCTTTAAGAATATTGGGTTGCTATATAACTAACTGTTTAAGAACATTAAATGTGAAGGAACCTTATAAAGCATCTGCTTTGATGTCCTTGTTTTAGATCTAAGGAAATTCAGGTCTATTACTTCATGGTTTGTCCACAGTAATACAACTAGCTATGAGAGGTATAACTAGAACCCAGGAATAAGTTAATTGTAGTCAATGACTTTTGTGGAACAAGGAGATGTAAAAATAAATAAATTTTATTAAAATATAATAAATAACAAATAGTTTTGGAGAAACGAGGAATAAATTATGGCAAGACGACAGGCTGGAATACTTTTTACAGACAATGTTTTATTTTATTTATTTATTCATTCATTTATAGAGAGAAGGGGAGGGAAGGTTAAAGAGAGGAAGAGAAACATTGATGCCAGAGAAAAACATGGATAGGTTGCCTCTCACATACACCCCAACCAGGGACCAAACCCTCAACCTAGGCGTGTGCTCCGACCAGGAATTGAACCTGAGACCATTCATTTTTCTGGTACAATACCCAACCAACTGTGCTACCCTGGTCAGGGCTACAGACAATGTTTTGACATCACAAAATGCTCATTATGCTATGTTAAAAGAAAAAAGTAAAATAAAGGGCAAGAAGTAATCTCAGTTCAGTATTTTAAAATTCATAAAAATGTACATGTGTATACAAGTATAGATATGTATACATAAGGAAAAGGCCTAAAAGAAAATGAATGTACCTGAGTGTCATAGTGGTAATGTCTGGGTAATAACTTTTTGTTAATAGTTTCAAACTATATTAAATGAATATTTTGTAAGGAAAGAAAATGTAAATAAATTTAAAAAATATTTATGCATTTGAGGTCAGGTATAGGCAAATGATGCTCATCGGTAGTGTTGGAGACCATGTGTGTCTTCTTACCGGTGTCCTTGAGTATTGAATGCCCTGCCTTTTCACCCATCCTTGGGGACGTGTGCCAGAGCCAGCGGAGAAGTAGTCAGCTCTAGTCCCCAGTAACTCTAATGGGATCGTTTTACCAGAGACAGGAACTATGTGAGTTTTTGAAGGGTGTTTTGACCTGAGACCCATGACCTACTGTAAATTGAGCTTAAATCCTAATAGTGACATGAGGAAGATTTTGATTTCCTAGTTTATGTCATGGTTACCTTAGATAGAACTAAATCCAACTTGCCTAGATTCCTTTACCTAACTCTTATTATTATTTTTTTTAATCCTCACCCAATGACATTTTTTAGAGAGAGAGAAAGGGGGCAGGAGGGAGAGAGAGAAACATCAATCAGTTCATTTGCCTTCTTGTACACATCCAGACCAGGGATCAAACCTGCAACCTGGATACATGTCCTGACCAGGAATCGGACCCAGAAACTTTTAGTCTGTGGGACAATGCTCCATCCAACTGAGCCATGCTGATCGGGGCCCTCATTTCTTTTTAGGGGAATCTGAAATGATCTCATTCTCTTTTATCAGAATAGTCTCAAATTACTGATTTATTTTTGTTAACTCTCATTTAAAAATTTAGAAATAATAAAAAAATTCACTTCTAATTTTTTACATTACAAATAATTGACCCAATCTAATTTTTTCAAAAATCCTCCTATTAGTTTCCAAAGATAAGGCATGAGGTACTAGTTTTTCTATCTGAGAGTATTTGAAAAAAAACTATGCCACAATTTTTTACTTCTGCCTTAAAAATCTTCCACGCAGGTACATAATTAATGATTGTTATTCTATTCAAAACAACCTTGAACACCTGCCATATGCCAGGCAGTTTGTTGGATGCTGGTGTTAATGTTAAAGTCCCCTGGAATTATGGCCTTATTTTCCTAATCGAAATGGTGTGCAATCTTTGTTCTTGTTCCAGTTGATAACTACATGTTCATAGATTAATTCAGGAGGAGGACATCTGGTTTGGACCAGCTGTGGCAGTGAGATAGAGATGAGACAGCCAAGGCATTATTTGTTAAACTATTAGCTCATACTCCTCTTATCGATGATTTTTTGAGCCATGTTTGAGTAAAAAGTTTTGTTAATGTGATCGTTCTTCCACTGTTATAGACTGCAGATGTTGGATCACTTTGCTGAGTGTGTCAAACAAGCTAAAGGTGTCCGTCAGCAGGCTGTGCAGCTAAATATTTTTACTGCTGTTCTTAGTGCACTTAAGGTATTTACTTTTAAAACATAATAAATATTTTGAACTAAGATATTAATGCCTTTAACAAGGCAGGGGTATCTAGACTATTATCGTGTTTAAATGTATATCACTTGATAACTGTCTTCATATTAGTTTAATTAAATTACTAGAAACTTCATGGCAGGCTCATTGTAATTTAGTAAGCATTTTATATTTTAGTAATGTTAATCTTTCAGTTTGACCCATTAGATTTTACAAATGACAGTTCTTTTAGAATTTTTAAAGATGTCTAATGAAATCTGATAATCTACTGAAGGTTAATGAGATAAAGCTAAGTTTGATTTGTGGTTTAGATCATAAATCAGGAGAGGCTATGTTATATAGTTGAAAGAATTCTGCATTTTGAGATTGTGTCACGGTTTGCTACTCACTTGGTTTATATCTTATGTGATGTCTTCAACCTTCATTTTAACCTCAGTTTCTACATGTGAAAACTAAAATAACCACGGTTTTGCGTATCTCTCAGAGTTTGTGCACTATACTGTTCAACCTGCAGCCTCTCATGGTGTATTTGAACATTTTTTATATTATTCAGTACTAAGCTTATTGTAAGGTATTACTGTTTTAAAGTAAAATGGCACAAGTACAAGTCTTGAATGGCAGGAATTAATTCATGTTTTGTAAACATCAGGGAGAGGGGATAAAGGCACAGGTAGAAATGTAGGTTTGTACCATTTATATAACCATTGGTATATGCCCCATTCAGAGACCATCAACTTACACTAACACTGAGTTTTTTTGAAAAAAGTGGGGTGGTCTTGGTTTTCCTCAGTGGTTGGAAAGCTAGTGAACCAACTGTAATACGGCTCTACAGTGTACTTTTCATAAGTATGCTGGCTAATGCCTCTGCTGCAGGTAACATTTTTTCCCAGGCACCATAACTTGGATTTTTTTGGTCTCAAGTGAGTAAATTAAGTTCTAGGACAGTAGGTTTAGCTAGAACAGAGATATTAATATCTAGAATGATGAACAAACTGTATCAACATTCAGTTACTGATTTTTCTTACCTCATTTAGCCTTTAGATATGTATTGGATGTACCCTTTGTGACATAATGATCTCTTCTGGAATTTTTATATAAATGAATCAAAGTTTCATAGTCACCAGGACTTCCTTAAAGTCGTGGTAAATTTCAGTCAGCTGAATAACAGTTGATTTACTAATATAGTATTCTTTATATATAAAAACAACTTTTAAGTATTAGTGTTTAGATACAGACACCCCCAGGGATTATTGGTTTTAGGGTCGATTGAACTATGGCTATGTTATGTATCATGTTCTGAATCATGTTTAGGAAAGTGATTACCATCAACTTAACAGATACTGATTCTAGGCATAATATATACACGTGAAAGATGACTGAAGAAAATAATATGGCAAGATATATGTGTATTTACCAAGTTTGTAGCACATTTTTTTCTTCTATTTAATGTAAATTATGACTTGCCTTTAAAAAACCCCCATAGGGCCTGGCTGAAAACAAAAGTACTTTAGGACCTGAGGAAGTACGTAAATCTGCTCTGACGCTGGTTATGGGCGCTCTTGACAACCCAAACCCCATCTTACGGTGTGCTGCAGGAGAAGCTCTTGGAAGGATGGCTCAGGTGGTTGGAGAGGCAACTTTTATTGCTAGAATGGCCCAGTACAGCTTTGACAAGTAAGTGGGTCTCTCAACCAACAAATAGGTTTCTCATATAGACAAAATGTCTTTTACGTACTATATTTTTCAGGCTATAAGATGCACCCCACCCCCCCAAATTGGGGAGGAATAATGGTTGTTAATACTGATATTGAGTTCCGTTTACATTTACATTGCTGAAATATTATGTTATTTATGTTATTAAATATTTTACCACATTTTTTGCTTCAAAAATTTGTTTCTATTTTTCTCTAAAACCTAGGTGCGTCTTATGGTCTGAACAATACAGTAATCAGTAATTACATACTGGACTGACTGTGCAGATGGTATAGCATGTGATAGTGTTTTGTTATTTCATAATGGCTTCATTTTTATTTCAGTAGTTAATTTAAGTCTAGAATCTGGCTAAGTTGTGAGGTACTTTAAGTGTGGTGAGGGGTACATTTAGCTTTTGCATGTTACATACTGGAGTCAGGAAGATTGTCAGTAGGATCTCCCTCAGTCGTGTGCACTCTGCCCTGAAGAGGTGCTCTGGGGTCCTACTGCAGTTCACCCACATTGTTCTGTTAGTGATGAACATTTTTAAATGAGTCATTCTTTTTTCTAACTGCTGCTAAGTTTATCATCTCTTAAATTATCCCTGAAACAGAGGATAAAGTTAGCATTAGGTTTTAAGGATTTCTTTTAATATTCATTAAAAAGAGCGATCTCAGATTTCCAAATAAGTACGATTAAGATAATAATGTGCAGTTATTAGTGACTGTTGGTTGTTAATCAAGTACTTAAGTAGAGAAGTTAAAAATCAAGAATGGTCAAGAACCAATACTTCAGTTATATAAATTAATCATTCTTAACTATTACTGTATTTTGAGTACTAATTATACTAAACTAGGTCATAATCATTAACAAGAAGGGACATGGGGAAGCAGTGCTTGTGAGCAGTACTTCTGAGGAGTTGTGGTTCCTCTTTATACTTTCTTTTCAGTGAAATATATCACTTTAACTAACCATTCTAAACTCAATTAACTCTTGTTTGGGAGTGGAGCTAGAGCGATCCTGATTATAGTCTTGTGATTTCCAGAATAAACTCCTTTTTGTGTGTGACTTATAAAGCTTGTTATTGCCAAAGGGAAATAGAAAACCAACTCCTGGAGCATCCTTTTTTGCCAGGTTGAAATCGGCTCGAGATGTTGTATCCAGGACTGGGCATTCATTGGCTCTGGGCTGTTTGCATCGTTATGTTGGGGGTATTGGCTCAGGACAACATCTGAAAACCAGCGTCAGCATTTTATTGGCTCTGGCACAAGATGGAACATCCTCTGAAGTCCAGGTACAATGTTAATTTTTTTATATGAAATGTTTAAGTAATGTTTTAGAAAAATTATTTGCTATATCAAATAGTAATGATTCTGATAGGTTGGTAGGAAAGATGCGTTAGGGCCTTCCTTTGTTATTTCGTTTCATGAGTCTTCTTTGTAATCCTGTTTAACAGGATTTTGTTTTTTAACCTTATCTTAAAATTGTCTTATTCTGGGAATTTAACACATTTCACATATATTTCTTGAAACGTACTTTCTTTTTATTATTTATTTTCTTTTGTACTTGTTCTCTCTCCCCCCTTTGCATTTTCTTATATTTGTTAGATCAGTTTTTTAAAAGATTTTATTTATTTACTTTAAAAAAGTAAATTACTTTTAAAAGTACTTTAAAAAATTTAGAGAGAGGGGAAGGGAGGGAGAAAGAGAGGGAGAGAAACATGATCAGTTGCCTCTTGCACACCCCCACTTGGGGACCTGGCTCACAACCCAGCCATGTTCCCTGACTGGAAATCAAATTGGTGACCTTTTGGTCCAAATTAGGACATTATACCATAATTTGGATCAAATACATCCCTTCAAAGCTAATATTTCAGTATATTTCTTTACAGAATAGTACAACAGTAATTCTTAAGTTTTCCTTACTTTTTTGAGGATCTACTAAAAAATCATACTTCACAGTTGTATGGTTGTCTACACATATTTAAGTTTAATTATTGGAGACTTACTGTTCAATAATGTTTTCTTTTTTTGTGCCCTCAACTCCTATCTTGAGATCTTTGTTCTTAGGAAAACTTGCTGCAGCAGTAATTATTTTAGGAAGGGATTGATTGGTATGTTTTTGGAATCCTTGCTTATCTAAAAAATAGCTTCTATTGCTTTCACATTTAGATGATATTTTAGTTGGTTATACTGTACCTGGCACACAGTCCTTTTCTTTTGTTATTCATAAATGTTTCAGTGTTTCCTGTCCTTTGATGTTGTACATTAGAGGCTAATGTTAGCCTGATTATTAAAAAATTAAATTTAATAAATATTAACATCTCAGTTTTTTATATTTGTTTATTTTTTTAATTAGTGATCTTGTTGTTCTATTGCAATTGTCCTGATTTTTCCCCTTCTGCCCTCCTACACCCATTCCATCCCCTGTTCCTGGAGTCAACCCTCACCCAGTTGTCCATGTCCATGGATCATTCATACCTGATTCTTGACTAGTCTCTTCCCCTTCTCTCCACCCCCATCCCCCTATTCCCTCCTCTCCGGTCGGTGTCAGTTCTGTTCCTGTTTCCACGCCTCTTGTTCTGTTTTGTGCATTTGTTTGTTTTGTTCATTAGGTTTGTCTTATAGGTGAGATCATATGGTATTAGTCTTTCACTACTTGGCATATTTCCCTTAGCATAATATTCTCCAGATTCATCCCTGCTATGGTGAAAAGTAGGAGCTCCTTCTTTCTTTCTGCTGAGTTCTATTCCAGTGTGTAAATGTACCACAGTTTTTTGATACATTCATTTACTGATGGGCACGTAGGCTGTTTCCAGCACTTAGCTATTATAAATAACGCTGCTATGAACATAAGGGTGTGTAGGTTCTTCTGAATTGGTGTTTCAGGATTCTTTGGGTATAATCCCTGCAGTGGAATTGATGGATCAAAAGGGAGTGCCTTTTTAGTTTTTTGAGGAAATTCCATACTGTTTACATAGTGGCTGTACCAGCCTGCATTCCAACCTACACTATATTAGGGCACCCTTTTCTCCACATCCTTGCCAGCATTGGTTGTTTGTTGATTTGTTGATGATGGCCATTTTGATCATCGTGAGGTGGTATCTCATTGTGGTTTTAATTTGCATCTTTCTGATGGCTAGTGATGTTGAGCATCCATTCATATGTCTCTGGTCCCTCTGTATGTTCTCCTTGGAGAAGTGGCTGTTTAGGTCCTTTGCCCATTTTTAATTGGATTGTTCATCTTCTTGGTGTCGAGTCCTGTGGGTTCTTTATATATTTTGGAGATCAAACCCTTGTCTGAGGTATCATTGGCAAATATGTTTTCCCATATGGTTGGATCACTTTTCATTTTGATGATGTCTTCTTTAGCTGTGCAGAAAGTTTTTAATTTAATGTAATCCCATTTGTTTATTTTTTTTATTTCTCTTGCTCTAGGAGATATATCAGCAAAAATATTGCTGTGTGGAATATCTGAGGTTTTCCTCCATATGCGCTCCTCTAGGACTTTTATGGTGTTGCGACTTATATTTAAGTTGTTTATTTTTGTGTATGGATGAAGTTGGTCGAGTTTCATTTTTTTTGCATGGAGCTATCTAGCTCTCCCAACACCATTTGTTGAAGAGGCTATTTTTGCTCCTTATTATGCACCTGCCGTTTTTGTTGAATATTAATTGGCCACAGAGACTTGGGTTTATTTTTTGGATCTCTATTCTGTTCCATTTATGCCTGTATCAGACTGTTTTGATTACAGTGCCTTTGTAGTATAGTTTGATACCAAGTAACATGATCCCTCCTACTTTGCTCTTCTTTCTCAAGATTGCTGAGGCTATTTGGGGTCATTTATGGTTCCATATAAATTTTTGAAATATTTGATCTGTATCTGCGAAATATGCAGTTGATATTTTAATAGGGATTGCATTGAATCTGTAAATTGCTTTGGGTAGTATGGACATTTTGATGATGTTAATTCTTCCAATTCATGAACATGGTATCTGCTTCCATTTATTTTTATCTTCCTTAATTTTTTTCTTCAGTATTGTGTAGTTTTCTGAGTACAGGTCTTTACTTTCTTGGTTAGGTTTATTCCTAAATACTTTATTTTTCTTGTTACAATAAATAGGATATTTTCCTAGTTTCTGTTTTTGATATTTCATTGCGTACAAAATGCCTTCAATTGCTGAATATTGACTTTGTATCCTGCTGTTTTGCCAGATTCATTTATTAGGATGGGTACTTTGTTGGTGGAGCCTATGGGGTTTTCTCTGTACATTGTCATGTCATTTGCAAACAATGTCAGTTTTACTTCCTCCTTTCCAATTTGACTGTCTTTTATTTCTGTTTTTTGTCTGATCACTGTGGCTAGAACATCTAGTCCTACGTTGAATAAAAGTGGTGAAAGCAGACATCCTTGACTTATTCCTGGTCTTAGGGGGAAAACTTATAGTTTTTGCCCATTGAGTTTTATGTTGGCTGTAGGTTTCTCATACACGGCCTTTGTTATGTTGAGGTATACTCATAAATGGGTGCTGTCCTTTATCAAATGCTTTTTCAGCATCTATTGATATGACCATGTAATTTTTGTTTCTGTGGTATATTATACTTAATTGATTTGTGAGTACTGTGCCATTTTTTCATCTCCCACTTGATCATGCTGTATGATCTTTTTAATGTATTGCTGGATCTGATTTGCCAATATTTTGTTGAGGATTTTAGTATTTACGTTAATCAGATATATTGTCATATAGTTTTCTTTCTTTGTTGTGTCTTTACCTGGTTTTGGAATTAGGATGATATTGGCCTCATAAAAAGAGATTGGGAGCCTTCTCTCTTCTTGAATTTTTTGGAATAGTTTGAGAAGAATAGGAGTTAATTCTTTAAATGTTTGGTAAATTTGCCTGTGAAGCCATCTAGTTCAGGGCTTTTGTGTGCCAGGTTTTTTTAATTTGCTTTAATTTCACTAGTTGTTATTGGTCTATTCAGGCTTTCTGCTGCTTTTTGAATTAGTTTTGGAAGATTATACAGTTCTAGAAATTTGTCCATTTCACCTAGGTTGTCAGTGTCTTGGCATATATTTGTTCTGTAATTCCTTACAATCCTTTGTGTTTCTGTATCTCTTGTAACTTCTCTTTTGTTTCTGATTTTATTTATTTGGATCCTCTCTTTTTTTCCTTTATGAGTTCGGTTAAAGGTTTGTTGATTTTGTTTATCTTTTCAAAGAACCAGCTCCTGGATTTATCGATTCTTTAAATTGTTCTTTAGTCTCCATGTCATTGAATTCTGTTTTGATCTTGAGTGTTTCCTTTCTTCAACTCACTCTCGGCTTGGTTGTTGTTCCCCTAGTTCTTGTAGATGTAGGGTTAGGTTGATTATTTTAGATTTTTCTGTCTTTTTTTTAGGTAGTCCTGCATTGCTTTGAACCTCCCTCTCAGGACTGCCTTCACTGTGTCCCATAAATTTTGTGTTATTGCGTGTTAATTTTCATTTGTTCTAGAAAATTTTTTATTTTTTGCTTGACCTCATTGTTACCCTGTTCAGTATTTGATAGCATGTTATTCAGTCTCCATATATTTGAATGTTTTTGAGTTTTTTCCTTGAGGTTGGTTTCTAGTTTAAAGTCATTGTGATCTTAGAAGATGCTTCATATGATTTCAATTTTCTTGAATTTGTTGAGGCTTGTTTTGTGTCCTGTCATGTAATCTATCTTTGAGAATGTTCCTTGTGCATTTGAAAAGAATGTATAATTTGCTTCTTTGGGTTGAAAGGTTCTGTATATATCAATTAAGTGCATTTGATCTAAAGTGTTGTGCAATGCCACAATATCCTTGTTGATTCTTTGCTTGAAATATCTATCCATTATTGACAACGGGGTGTTAAAATCCCCTGTGATGAGTGTGTTGCTGTCTATATCTTTCATGAAGTTCTCTAGATTTTCCTTATATATTTAGGTGTTCTTATGTTAGGTTCTTATATGTTTACCAGGGTTATACAAGGTCCGGCAGAAGTAATGTCTCCTTGAAAGTAGTTGGTACAGTAACAATATGGGTATAATAATTTATAGTTTTAATTTGAACATTTCACCTAAAATGTTATATGATATACTTGAGTATTGTATTATTATGTTACAGAATTACATGCTTATCATTTTTTAATAAAAAGAGTCATTATTTGTGCCGGACCCTGTGTATATTATAGTAGAAGAAAATTAGTTCATCACTGAAATTTTATTTCTGACAGTCAAAGCCATGCTGGAGAGAAACTTTAAACATAGCATTTGTATATGTTACTTTTATTGTTGGCAACTGGTAGCTTATGTGCTATCTCTTATTTCTTAACAAATATATTTTTAAATATTTCTAGGTTATAGATTAAAAACTAAGATGATGGTATTTACTAAAATTTAACTTAAAAACTAATTTCATATACTCTGTTTCTGACAACTAAAATTGTATTTTATTCCAGACTTGGTCTCTTCATTCTCTGGCTTTGATAGTGGACTCCAGCGGCCCAATGTATCGTCGATATGTGGAACCGACATTATCTCTAGTCCTTACCTTGCTGCTGACAGTTCCACCCTCACATACGGAAGTTCATCAGTGTTTGGGTAGATGCTTGGGTGCTATAATCACTACTGTTGGCCCTGAGCTACAGGGTAAGTTCATCTTAAATTAGAGGAACTAGACAGATAATGACTATCTTTCAGTTTCCTGAATGTCATCATCGTGTTGTTTAAAGAAATTTGTAGTAATAATAACCATTACTATGAACTGAATACTTACAGTTGATGGAAAGCGTGGAACTCTGCTTTTTACATGTGTAAAATATTTTGTAAATAACAGGTTTATTTAATCCCTGCAATAAACCTGCAACTCACAGTGTTTTTTGAAGTCTTGAACAGAGAAAACATTTCTAAATGAAATGTGAATCGGTGTCCCATTAAGGTAAAGATGAAGGTGGAATTCCTTTGGCCTGGAGAACAATTCACTTGTATTCATGAACTTTTGCTTTGCTATCTTTTTAACTCCAAGGATCAGGAGCATAGTTTGAAAAACCACTTCCCTAAGGTAGATAATATCATCTAATTTTTCCCTGTGAAAGTGAGCTCAGAGAAGATAACTAACTTGCTTAGAGGTACTGAACTAATGAATAGTAGATTTATGATTCTGAGTTCCCTATTCTTACCACTGAGTTACACTGAAATAATCCCACTAATGGTTCAATTAAACGCTGAAGTCAGCAAATTACTGTGAATTTATCTTGAATATATAAGTTACTTTCAGATTTTATGTCAGTATTTATTAAATGCTTTCAGTGGGTCAAGCTTTTTATAAACATCATCTCATTTAATTATGATGACAATCCTGTGAGATAAATATATCTCTCCTTTTTACAGATGAGACACTGAGGCTGAGAGAGGTCGAAAGTGTTTTTCAAATATATATATTTGAAAATCATATATATATGCCACTGAGTAGTTGGAATCAGAAATGAAGCCCGGATCAATATCCTCTGCTTGTATTCTTAACCATCATGGACAGATATTTTTTAAAAAGAAAGCAGTGGAAACAAATCTTAAGAAAAAAATGCTAGGAATTGAAAAAAATAGGTGATTTAGATATATTTCTTTTTTGGACTCAGTGTCCTCTTTGAGAAAGTTGATAGTTCTTTCTTCAGTAAACATCAGAAGGATATGGAGAGAATAAATATGTGACTTTGACTAAGTACATGTGTTTATCAGGTGCTTGCAGATGTGATGATGATGAGGTAATGCGTATTTCAAAATAGAATGTGACTTCTGTGATTCTGTGATTTCCTTGTTTAGTCTTCCTATGTGTATAATATCATTTTACACTGGTAAAAGTTTTAAATCACTTATATTTGGCAATTAAGACATTTTTATATAGATAGTACATAACACTACGACTTATTTTTTCCTACTGTCTCTGTAAAAGTTGCTATTACAGTCGTCCCTCGCTATATCGTGGTTCACTTATTTGTAGCTGCACTGTATTGTGGGGTTTTTTAAAAACCCATGATAGAGCATATGAAGAGCGTATGAAGTGTTTGTAAGAGTGTGGGAAAGGTTAATAAAAGGGTGGGAAAGGTTTATAAGAGTGTGGGAAGGGTTTATAAAGCCTTAAAATATATATAAATAAGAAAATAAATATAACACTGCTACTTCTCAGATTTTCACCTATCATGGGGGTCTCTGGAACGTAACTCCAGCAATAGGTGAGGGATCACTGTAATCTTACTTGGAAAATGGGATTTTAAGTTATTACATAATAGAGATGATAATGTTGGTTTAGCAGAGAACCAGAAATGAGGACTCTTTTAGCTCTTTCAAATAAAATTGGTGGATTTAAAAGACAATATAATTTTTCAGTAAATAAATACAAATCTAGCTAAATCTAAAAGAAGTACAGTATTGTCATCTATATGTCATTGTGTTTTGAAATCATTTCCAAACAGTCTGAATAGTAATTGGAAGGTAGGTTATTTAGAAAATAATTGTTTTCTAGAAATATTTTCGTTGATAGTAATAAATAGTGGTATTGTCCGTTTTCTTTTACTTTCCTACTAGGAAATGGAGCAACGACTTCTACAATTCGTTCTTCCTGTTTAGTGGGCTGTGCGATCACCCAGGACCACTCAGACTCCCTCGTTCAGGCAGCCGCCATATCTTGCCTTCAGCAGCTGCACATGTTCGCACCACGGCATGTCAATCTCTCTAGTCTTGTCCCCAGCCTCTGTGTAAGTATGGAGCTCTTTCACGTATTGATTTAGTTAGCTCCAGTGTGTTTCCCAAAAGATCAAACTGGACCAAAATAAAAAAAATGTTTCCTGGATGGTGAAATCTAGGGCTTCATCTTCAGTAGTCGTTTTATGGTACCTTTTTTTTTTTTAGTGATTTTATTTTTTACATCTTAAGTATTTTGATGAACTGTTTATTTCTTGGCTAGGAATGAATGTAGCATGTTTTTAGTCTTACCCACTCAGAATTTTTTTTACAAATTTTAAAAAGTTTTTATTGTTTATTTTTTTAGAGAGTGGGGAAGGGAGGGAGGAAGTGGGAGAGAAACATCCATCAGTTGCCTTTTGTACACATCCCCACCAGGGACCAAAACCACAACCCAAGCATGTGTCCTAACCGGGAATCGAATCGGCAGCCTTTCACTTTGCAGTATGATACCCAACCAACTGAGCCACACTGGTCAGGGCTGTTTCCTTAAGTATAAATTGATAACCTCTGAGACTCTGTTGCTACCCTCACAGTTGTTAATTTATTCACTCAACAAATGTTTGGTGAGAGCCTGCTCTGTGTCAGGCACCATGCAAAGTACAGGGGATAGATTTGTGAGGGAGGTAAGATGAAGCCTCTGTCATTAATGAAGTTTATAGTTCCAAGAGAACAGTATCAACAGTGATTATTTACAAATGAGTTAGAAAACGCTATAGGAGAGCGTTTAACAAGGAGCCTATCATAATTCAGACATTCAGAAAAGATTGCCCTGAAAAAATGTGATATTTAAGGTGTGATCTTCAGGATACATAGGAGTTACTTTGGGAAAGAGCAGGGTATTGGAAAAGACAGCATTTATTTTTAGGCAGAGGGAAAATACATGAAAGGCCCTGAGAAGGAAGGAGGGGTGCATTTAAAGAACTGTTTAGTCGTCTGGCAGAGGGGTGCAAATAGAAGCCCAAATACATTGGCTTACAGGTAGAATATGCATAGAAACTTCTTCCCAGAAGTTTGACTGTAAAGGAGAGGACAGAGGACCGGGGGTGATAGACCAGAGAGTCTCTTTTTCTCCTACTGTAGCAAGAAGAGAGCAAGTTTAAATGCTGTTGGGACGAAGCCAGTAGGTTTGGGGAGTTAAAGGTATAGGACAGAGAGGGAGTAATCGTCCAAGGTTTCTCATGGGGTAGAGTTTCCAGGGCATACGGAAGGGGATAGCTCTTCCAGAACAACCCCAAGAAAGGAGAGGATGAGTGTAGGTAGAGGTGCATTTGTAGATTTGGTGGCTGGAAGTGGAGGGAGTTATCTAATGATTTTTACTTCCTTAATGGAAGGAAGGACAAAGATCCGTGAATGAGGGAGCAAAGAAGAGGGTGAGAAGTTAGAGGAGAATAGGATATGGGAGTTGGAGGAAATGGAGACACACAAAATCCTGTGGTAGGACTGAGGGTTCCCTAGAGGTCAGTGGCCCCTTTGGCTCCATCATGTGATGCAGGATGGTACCAGTTCACCACGTTGTGAGATTTTTCTCCAGCACCTGTAAACAAGGTGGGTGCAAGCATCAAGCAGCCACACTTGGCTGCAGTCACAGTTGGGCTTTGGCCGAGCAGATTCAATTAAATGACAGCAGGCTGAGGGAGGTGAGGAAGTTAACAGGACAGCCCTGAAATGGTGGGTTAAGTCTCATTTGGATAAGGGAGAAAGGTAAAGACAGGAGGAGGCTGATGTATAGGGAGAAGGAAAGGCACTGTAGATGAAACCCTGGGAAGACATTGCTGAGGAAAGGGAAGAGGTCACCCAGGATGTGGTGAAGGAGCTGAAAGGCCATGGCATTAGGCCTCGTGTGGTATATTTATTTAGCTTTACTCGGCAAAATTTGCTCCTGTTTCACCACTGACCTCAGGGAACTGAATTAGTCCCAGATCATCAGGGAGTTTGAGAATGCCACAGGGCAGAAACCAGATGCACGAGAAATGTTTACAAAGAACACCCACAAAGAAAATGGTCAACTAAGAATATACACTAGATTGAATTCTGCAGTGTGACATGTAACATCCTGGCAAAAGCCATGGCCTGATGCCCAGGCTCTGAGGCCACAGATGGCACCTCTTGAACAAGGTGAACCTGTTACTGGATACCAGCTTAGATAGGCAACTGACATGTGATGAAGATGCAGACACACACTCCACACTCTGCTTCCTCTCCTTTTTTTTCTTCTTAAAAGGTACTGTTGAGGTTGACCTTATGAGACAGAACACATTTAAGAGGACCTGAGAAAGTAATGACATGACTTTGTTTATCTCAGTGACAGTTATCAGTAAACCACAGGAAATGCAATGACTTTTCTTAAGGATTAAAGTTTAGATGACAAAGTTTAGTAGGATCATGTGTAAAATAAGGTACGGAAAATATCCTTCTGGAACTTACTAAATATATTGTATTTAGTAAGATTCTTAGTGCCCAGGTCTGGAGACAGTTATTTTCACTACCAAAATATTCTTTATATATTTTATTGGTATTATTTTTCTAAAAGGCCATTATTTGACTATATTTTTTAAACAATTGAGGCTGTTAAATGAAGAGCCCCTTCACAAGTTAGGTGTTTATATGTCTTCATGATGCAAGTACAATTAGAGCTTTTTATAAAAAAATGTCTAAAACTGTTACGGTTTCCAGGTTCACTTATGTAGCTCCCATTTGCTACTTCGGCGAGCGGCCGTGGCGTGTCTCCGGCAGCTCGCACAGAGGGAGGCTGCGGAAGTGTGCGAATATGCCATGAGCTTAGCGAAACACACAGGGGACAAAGAGAGCAGCGGTGCCAGTAAGTTATTTTATAAGCCAGCCTTCTCTTCATTTAAATACTTTAGTGTTTCCAATGACTATTACTTATTCAATAACATTATTTTGCGTGTTAAAATATGGTCAATTTTCTTATTCTTTGAAATTCATTATCACCTTAAAAATTCGAGGGTTTTTTTTTTGGAATTTTATACTTTTACCTTAAAAAAATTGTATAGCTCAAAAAATAGCATTTAGTATCTGAGTACTCTGCCATTTCTTGAGAATGATTAAGCTGTATAATGGATGACTAACTGCGGGGGTATTGCGTGGTATCACTAACAGACTTCTGAAAAGAGAAATGATTTATTTTGAAAGCTTCCAGTCTTTGACTTTAGTCAAAGTTAAAGTTAAAGTTAACTTCCAGTGAACTTTTCGTGATATAACTTTTCCTCTAAGAGGTAAGGCCAAAGTAACCAATAATCTGTGAAATATTGGTAGGTCTTTTGGTAGTAAAAGGTAGATCTTTGCTTGATTCAGGTCCTCATGTCTTTCTGCTTTCTGAGGGCTTTTAGTATAGCTTGAATTCATAGCTGGTCTTTCACTCTCTAGGGGTAGGTGATTTGGGAACTTTTTCAGAGCTTAATTGACAGATATTTTCCCTATTGTGGGAGAAAAGCCTGACAGCTGTGGGGGGTGGGGGAGAGAGGACTCCATGAAAGAAGGTGAAGGGATTAGTGACAGAACATATATGCATGATTTACAGACACTGACAACTGTGTGAGCACCGCCAGAGGGAAGGGGGAGAGGTGAGTGATGGGCGGAGGCAGGCCAAGGGAGGGAAATGAGGACCTCCGTAATAATGTCGACAATCATTTTTTAAAAGACTTTCTAATGCATTGAAGTTACTTGGAGACTAAGAAGAAAAATACCAAAATATCCTCAATTTTAGAATAGTATAATGACAATTCTATTAACAAACATACTGAATTCATTCTTAGGGCTGCCAGTTTTATTACTTCTTCTGTTTATGAGAATGACAAGATTTTCAGATAAAGCAAGAACTTTACTACTAATTCATTAACTGTATTATTTTTTTATTGTATGTTTCTTAGAATGGATTTTTCAGAATTTTAAATGAACTTTTAGGATACAATCTATTTATAATTTCTGTTCTTGCTTTATAGAACACAATCCATTTATAATTTGTGTTCTTGCTTTATAGATATTTAAAAAAATATCTGAAGTATGAGACTAAATAAGTTTCAGTTTGTTCTTCCAACAAATATAGCAAAAAATTTTCAGTCCATTAAATTAAATCTATTTAGAAAATAGATACCTCTTTACCTCTCTTGTTAGAATGAAATATATTTATTAAGCATCATTCCCTGGAGATTTATTTAAAATACCTAAGCATATCAGTGTTACATGTCAGGGTAATTTACCTTTAATTGTCAGATTAAACGCTAATCTAATGATGTGTAAAATGGAGACGGCAGATAAATACAGCCAGCTGGTTTTTTTGCTATTGTGAATTTACATGTAAGTCTTAATTCTTAGTATAATTGTTACCTACAATATACAACAAAATCTTACGTGAGTTCATCTGTGATAATTGCTTTTCAGATGTCAGCCCTTTTGCACCTGGAGTTAGTTCTCAGAGTGATATCCATTGCCGCCACCAAGGTGTTAACATAACAGAAACGGGTCTCGAGGGACTTCTGTTTGGAATGCTAGACCGGGAGACTGACCGAAAGTTATGTTCTGATATTCATGATACTTTGGGACATATGCTTTCATCACTGGCTGTAGAAAAACTTTCCCACTGGCTAATGCTTTGTAAAGATGTCCTGGCAGCATCTAGTGGTACGTACTTAATATAGAAAATATGTTCTCAAAATAATGAAAATTCTTTCACTGCTGATATGTACCCATATATACACATATAAGTATGTACATGTATAGGTGTATAAATTTGATCTTACATTTAAAATTACTTACAGTTTTTAATCTGTCTGTAAAAATGTTGATGAGTATATTATAAACTCGTGACCTTCCTTTATTTTTTGGAAAATGACTAAGTTCAAATGAAATTTTCCTGTATAAAAATCCCAGGTTACTGTGCTCTGGCCAGTGTTAGCTCAGTTGGTTGGAATGCCCACCCATAAATCGAAAGTTGCAGGTCTGAACCCTGATTGGGGCCCATAAGGAGGCAACTGATCAGTGTTTCTCTTGCGCTTCAATCCCCTCCCCCTCTTCCTGTCTCTAAAAACAATGAAAAAAACTGTCCTTGGGTGAGGATAAAAGAAACAACCCCATGTTACTCTGTAGATAGTACAGTGTATTAAACTAATGAAACATGTAAGACGTTTTTTTGCCCTTTCCTTGGTTTGTTATTCATTGTCTAAAAAAGAAAGCTTGCCAGTTCTGTTTTCTTTTTTTATTAGAAATCTAACATCGTTATTTCTAAAGCATTATTTTTGTTATATGTCAGATGGTTTAATAGGCTTTTATTTTTGTTACAGATATGAGCACGGCAACTCCATTAGGTAGTGGAAAGGATGAAGAATCTGAAAAGAAAGATGAGATGGATGATGACACCATGTTTACCACACTAGGCGAAGAAGATAAATCAAAGCCGTTTGTGGCACCTCGGTGGGCCACCCGGGTATTTGCGGCTGATTGCCTGTGTCGAGTCATCCATTTGTGTGAGAATGCAGACCAGGCTCACTTTGATCTTGCCATGGCACGTTCTGCTAAACTTCGAAACCCTACAAGTAAGTTTAAAATCGGTACTTCTTTTCCCAAAAGTATTTTTATAGGTTTACAATATTTTACTGCTATGTAACATGCTTTATTTTCTTTTTTTTCCTGACAAGTCTATCAAATTTCTTAAAAGATTGTATTTATTTTATTTTTAGAGAGAGGAAGGAGGAAGAAAGAGAGGGAGAGAAACATCAATGTATGGTTGTCTCTCACACTCCCCCTACTGGGGATCTGGCCTGCAACCCCCGCTTGTGCCCTGACTGGGAATCAAACCTGCAGCCCTTTGCTTTGCAGGCCTGTGCTCAATCCACTGAGCTATACCAACCAGGGCCCTTTTTTTCCTTAAGAAAATTTTTTTTTGTTCATTTTAGGGAGAGAAGGGCAGGGGGAAGAGAAACATCGATTTGTTGTTCCACTTACTTATGCTCACTGGTTTCTTCTTGTATGTGCCCTGACTGGGGATCAGGGCAACTGATGGCATATTGGGATGACACTCCAACCTACTAAGCTATTGGCCAGTGCCTAACAAGCCTTAGACCAGGGGTGTGCAACCTTTTGCATCTTTGGGCCACACTGGAAGAAGAATTATCTTGGGCCACACATTAAATTCACAAACACTAACAAAAATTGATGAGCAAAAAGATGTCCATGCATAATTTTTGTGATATCTACCACCACAGGTAAGCAAAAAAGTCCTCACATAATAACTCTAATAATTATGCAGTGGCCCTTTTGATAATTTTAAAATTGTTGAGCCGGTCCCAAGTTTGTGATCACTAATATAGAAAATGTATATATCTAAGTAATGAAACATATCTGTTTGAAGTAAATTTAGGATTTTGTGTTGGGTCACGTTCATAGCTGTCCTGGGCCGAGTTCAGGCTGTGGACTTGGTTTGGACACTCCCGCAAACTGCTACCTTTCCTCCTCCCCTCCCCACCTCCCTCCCTTCCTCCCTTCCTTCCTTATATCTGTGTATCTGTCTCATTTGTCCTAAGGATAATGATGGCAGTAACTTATGTTTCCTTAGTTTTAACAACTTGGTGTTAAAGCTGTCAGTTTGGCACTCTGTTTTACAGAAATGACAAAACTTTAAGGCGTGTAACGTTAAGTTTTGCAGTCTGCAGCATGGAGAATATCAGAATTTATGAATGCCGTGGCAGATTTCAAACTCTCAGATTTTAGAAATGCTGTTAGGTTTTTCGAGAAGGAGGAAATTGTTTATTACTGAAACTCCTCACTGTTTTTAGTGTTCGGTAAGCTTTTTGTACCACATAGCCCCTCCATCAGATATTAATGAGGAATTTACAAAGAGATTATGAGGTCCAGTATCTTCATTTTCCCAAGACAGAGACCCAGACAGTCAGAGAGCTGTTCAGGTTCTGTGTCTTGTATTTTGTTGTCTCTCTATTTCCCTGTCATTTTGTAAACATCTGGAGACAAATTGTATGTATTAACAATATTGACATCTGTATATTTCAGTTTACTTTATTGTGTTTAAGAAGTAGCAGAGCCTACAAATGAATTAAAAAACAAGCAAAAAGTAGAACATGGAACACCATGTATAAAATGTGAATCTGAACACGAGGTCACAGCAAAGCATGATATGTCATAAACACTGTCTTTATTCCTGGTTGGAGCACCACATACCCACCTGAAGATACTCTGTGACTACTCTCATGACACAACAGTAGAATTTAGTAGTTGCTATGGAAATCATATGGCTGCTGGCCATGCCGAAATATTTACTACCACATTGTGCTGTGTATAATGTGTACTTTATGCCCCAAGTTTTTAGGGAAAAATAAGGATGGGCATTTTACATGGGTAATACCTGAAATACCTTGTATCTGTTCTTGGGTTTGGAATTATTTGTTACATAAAATGTCTTTTGCCATAATATGTTCAAAAATAAGTGCTAAAATTCTTTTATAATATAGAAGACAATCATCTAAATATAAATAAATAAGTAATTGAATTTAAAAATTAAAATGAAAAAATTTTTTTCCTTAAAGTTTGGGCCAGAAAACATGGGTGCGCATTATCCATGGGAGTGCATTATACGGTAAATACATATATCTGGTAGCAAATATGGTATCTAGTTCTTTACAGAAAACGTTTGCCAATCCCTGTTCTTAATGAATTACAGACTCCTTTGGGGAAAGTTATGATAATTAGTTTACCAGTGTTGTTGAGAGGTTATGATATACAAGCTTTCTTGCAAGTATATCTGTGCTATTTTTAAGCACACTGAAATATGTGATTCATAACTGCTTTATAAAAGTTTATTTCATTTTGTATGTTTATTACACCTATTTTCAGAAACGTTTCCTTTTGTCTCCCATTTTTATTTTTAGATGACCTCTTGGTACTTCATCTTTCTGACCTGATTCGCATGGCATTCATGGCTGCAACTGATCACAGCAACCAGTTGCGGATGGCTGGGCTCCAAGCTCTTGAAGACATTATCAAGAAGTTTGCATCTGTGCCTGAGCCAGAATTTCCAGGTCATGTGATTCTGGAGCAGTATCAAGCTAATGTGAGATATTCTATTTATTTAAAAACTTAATATTGATATTTTGGGTGACCATTAAAGGAGTGAGGGTCCCCTGGAGAAATGTATTTGCAACTACAACCTTTCGATTCATGTGGAAGGCGTATACCCTATAGCCGTCATATGTTACATAGTTTGAATCAGTCCACAGTTGCGGAAACAATAGTATAACACTTGTCACTATTTTTAAGTAGTGATAGCACGTTGGTGATAAACCTAGAATAGAAATTGCAGCCTGGCTTTCCTGTCTTGTGTTTTACATATTTAGCCATGCCACTTAAAGATAAAGAGCACATTCAAAGAGTGCTGTGGATTCATTCCCATTGTTTTTATATAGCCAGACTTTCTTTGTAAGCCTTTTTTAAAAGAAGGCTTACAAAGGCTATTGTGCCCTGTATGTTGAAAGAAATTAACTGTTAAAAAAACAGCAGATAAAATGTTACTGAAAGAATTAGATACTGTCAGAAAATTTTTCATTTCATTCTAAACAGGCAGTTATTTCTCCTAAGGTTTATTCCTTATTTGTGTTCTTCAAGTGAGGCTTATTTGATGTGATCCTAATAATGGTGGGTTATGTAAAGGAAAAAACTTATGTTAGCAAGGAAAGAATAAACATCTTTTTTACTGTGATTATACCAAAATCTTGGTTCTGGACATACCACAACTTATCTAAAAACTGTGCTCAAACTTAAACAAAATATAGTGAATAATGTATAATCCATTGTTTTTCCCTCATAAGTACAACTGAGGAAGTTAGTTTCTAACCCAACTGGCTACCGAAAACCTGAATATAATTGTTTACTCCCAAATACTCAACCTATTAGATTGAAGGTCATCTTTTTGTTAAACATTTTATTTAGAAATAAAATCAAACAGAAATTTTGCAAGAATAGTACAAAATCCTGGCTTATACCCTTCATATCTGCTAATTGTTAATTTTGCCTCATTTGCTTTATCGTTGATCATGTCTGTCTCACTTCTTTTTACACACACACACACTTTTATTTCTAAACCATTTAAAAGTAAATTATTTAAGTCGTGTCATTACCCTTGAACACTTCATTCTGTATTTCCAAAGGACAAAAACACTGTAGAACATAATCAAGAAGAGTTATCAATTTCCGGAAATTCAACATTGTTATACTATTTTTGTATGGTCTATCATTCCAGTTTTATCAGCCAACCCAATAATCTCTTTTGTAACATTTTTGTCCTTCAGTACAGGACCTAATTACCACCTCTGCGGTTAGCTGATTATCGCAGTACTAATATTGCCTTTAGTAGCCATGTATCTTTAGTCACAGAGAAGGATTCTTGCTTCATTTCTTCACTGCTATTGATACACTTTCGCAGGTGAATCTCTAGTGAAAGGGAAGACATCTCAGTTAGGAGTTGACTACATCTAATTCCTTATTTGGCTCTTGCATATTAAATCTGAGGTATCTAAGAATCTGTAACTGATGTTGGCTTATTAAAACTCAAGCTCAAATTCCTTCACTTATTGCTATAACAACAGTACCTAAAATAAGATTTCTTGAACAATCGTCTTTTCAAGCATCTCTTTTTGAGGTGAAATGATTCTAAGTTTTTTTAGTGACTGTGAATTTTTAGGACTAAGTTATTTAACAGAATTGATTCAGTTATATAAGATTCCCCTACGAAGTAAATATTGTTAGAAATATATTTAGGAAAACACAGGGAAAAACAGTTTTTTAATCTTCAGGAACATGTAACTTTGTCTGAAAAATCCTGTCTACAATTTAACAAGAACAAAGGAAAAAAAACACAATTCATTGCCTATTTGGTTTGTATCCATGTGGATTTCATAGTGGTAACCTTCTAGAAAGCAAAAGAAAAATGGCATGGCTGAGTTTAGTGTAGCCGGAAAGAAAGATGACAGTGACATAATAAAAAGGAAAGGAATAAAGGTGTGTTTTCATCTTCAAAGACAAAAGAGGCTTTATGTTGAGGACTTAGTTTTAAAAATAAAATGCTTGCACTTACTTTTCTAGGTGGGAGCTGCTCTAAGACCAGCCTTTTCACAAGATACCCCGTCAGACATCATAGCTAAAGCCTGCCAGGTAAGACGAAAGATAGGTTTTCTATTGTTATTGTCTGTTAATTCATAGGTATCTTAGAATTTCACTTCCAAGAAAGAACATAGAAAAATTAAATAACATTTTTTTAATCTTTATAATGTAACAGTGACAGTTTTCTTTTTATTCTGTATCAAGTAATGAAATAGAAACTATTAATTACATTCCCTTTTTGTCATAACATTTATTTTTATCTTGGTAATATAACAGTGACAGTTTGCTTTTTTATTCTGTATCAAATGATGAAATAGAAACTGTTAATCTCATTTCCCGTTTTTTGTCATCGCAGAGGACATGACTTTGAGCTACAGAAGCTCTTATATAACCTAGAAGCGAACAGAAACATGACAGTCATAAGAGGAGCTAAAATAAAAGGTCTCAAAAATCTGGAATAATTAAAGAATGTATAGTAATGATAATTAGGAGACAACAGATTTTTTTGATGACAGGCTATGAAAACTCTATGAGTTTTCTGGATATTGTCCAAAAAAATATCATAATATGGATATTTCATTGCAAAATTAATCCCAGGGGATTAGTCTTACATTATTGTATCTGAAGAGAATCACAAAAGCACGTGATTCCTACACCTTTAATAAGTTTCTCTTTTTATGCCTCATCTTGAAAAAGGATTCATGCATTAAGCTCTAACCCTTCAGAAATCAGATTCCTCATTTGCTTTCCTAAGGGTAGAATAGAAGTAACTCTCTCCTTGCATGTTTTCTGGAGCACAGAGCTGTGGTTTATCATTATTGCTTTGAATCCACAATCAAGCTACATGTGGGCTCTGTGGAGAAAATGTTCTGTGTTGCAATGATGATTTGAAATTTCTGACTTTGTTCTCTCTGGGGCTGAATAGATTTATACCTCTTTCTTCCACTGTTAAGAGTTATTTCTCTGAAGCCAGCTGTCTGAATGGTGGCCTTAAGAGAAACGAACTCCTCCCACTAATTGCAGACCAGAGACAGAAGAGGGAGCCTTGTTTAAGAAAGAGGTCTGGGTGTTGTGGTATGGGTACAGACTTTGGAGTGAGAGCAGGTCATTTGCTTTGGAATGCCAGCAAACCTGAGAAGTCACAGTCAGGTAGCATAAGTGTATCACAGTCGTGTTTCAGAGCATAGTATTTAAGCAGAGAAACCTCTCACAAAGCTCCTCATCATTAGAAAAGCAAAACCTATTAAAATTTTATCTTATGAATGAGTAGTATGAAAATTTCCTGTTACTGAATTTGCCTTAAACGTCTTAGCTCTTATGTGGCCCTAGGTGCTTCTTTTGATAAGCAGTTTCTTCTTTTATAGTGGCAGGCATAAATTTTTGACCTCCTATCCTTCTGTTTCTGGAAGAAAACCTGATTTTGCAAAAGGTGAAGCAGTTTCCTTCTGGGAAAGTAAGGACTTGGCTTTAGGCAGATCGTGAAACGTGTCATCCTAGGGTAATTTTTAGAAATTATAGGAAGACCTTCAACTGTAACACATTTGGGGATGGTAATCTCTTGGTTAATCAAAACATTACTTAGAGTGGGAATCATAAACATACTATACACTTTAAATATTGATTTCAGCTTAAAACTTATAAATGTACATTCATTCACCATTCTTTTGATATACGACCAAGAAATTTTCTCTGAATATGATTTTGCTGATTCAGTGTTGGCTTTTTCTTCCTACATTAACCAGACCCTATTGAAGTAGCTGCAGTTTCTAACTTGATGTTCTTTAAAGTGGAAAAAGAGCTTGGGTCTTTGCAAAGTAAACTTAGTGCCTACCTCAATCTTTACAATTTTCCTCAACTTACAGTTATCTTTCTACCAGATTTCACAGAAATATTCTCTGACAAATCTCTCCAATATGTCTCATCTGCTTAGGAGTATTAACTGTTTTTATGCTTACATTTAGTCTTTTTCACTTTAAATGTCATTTTCAACATTGTTTTGATTGGTACTTTATTTTGCCATCAGTATGTTTATAATCGGTCTTCAATTTTAAAATATTCTTATTAATTTTATTCAATTTAGTTTTCAATTCACTGAGAGTAAGATTGTAAAAGAATGAAATAGTTACATAAATATTTATTCTCAACTTTTAGAATGTTTTTAATATAGGACCACAATCCACTAACCATGATTCCACATCCAGATGCTCTGAAAGCCAGGAGCTTTTTCGTAAGTTCTTTGGTAGCAAAACCTGAGCTGACTCTGCTCATTTGACCCTGACATGAAGCTTAGTGAGACTAGGATATTGATTAATCTCTTTTAGTTTTAGTGTGACTTGTACTGCCTTTCATGTGAGAAATATTCATGTTTCAAATATGGGGTGCTGCCACTCATCTTGGTTGGTGTCTTTCTTAATGAGGTCTGTGTCCCTTGTTACCTTTACCAAACGTTGTGAACTGTGAAACATGTCTTGGCCCAAGGATTTCAGTTAAGAAAGTGAGTACATGTAATTGTTGAGTAAAGCTGGCCCTATCAGACCATGCCTGCCCTGGTGACATTCTTCCCTTGGCTCCAGTTATCTCCACTTCCTGGTTTCCTTTTGTGTTTGTAGCCTTTCACTTTCTTTCATTGTTTATTCTTCTTCGGTTTGTCCCGTCAGTGTAACTATTTTTCCTGTGTTCTGTCCTTAAGGCTTTTTAAAAACGACATCAATTCCTGAACAAATTCATCCAGTAACATTACTTTAGTTACCACCTTTGTGTGAGCATTCCTGGGTCCACACAAGTTACCTTTAACCTTGCTCCTACCATCCAGACCCAACTTTCCAGTTGCCTGCTGAATATCTTTTTCTGAGTCTCTGACTGGTACTTTAAACTCAACATGTCAAAATGTTCACAGCCAGTCCTGGCTGGTATGTCACGTGGGTTGAATGTCATCCCGCAAAGTGAAAGGTCGCTGGTTCGATTCCCAGTCAGGGCACATGCCTGGGTTGTGGGGCATACAAGAGGCAAACCGATCGATGTTTCTCTTGCACATTAATGTTTCTCTCCCTCTTTTCCTCCCTCCCTCTCTCTCTACAAATAAAGAAATAAAATATTTTTTTAAAAGTTTCACAACCAAAATCATGCTCTCTAACTTCTCGTCTCCACTAAACTCTTTTATTTTCTTACATTATCTCTCTTAGGCAGTGCTGTCGCTTCCTTCCATTCATCCAAGATCGCAGCCTTGGTGATCGGCATTTGGCAGTCTTTGATCCCTCACATTTTTTTGCATGTCCCTGTGCACCACCAACTAAAAATATTTAATTGATTTTCAGGCTGTGATTTCTACTTGCAGCTTTCTCCCTGATGCCTCTCCTTTTTCATTCCATTCCCAGTTTGATTCCTTTCGTCTCTGTTCCATTATTTTGTAGTAGTCAATTAACTGAACACATTGCTTGCTGTCTGTACATATTTCTTCCTGTACTGGAGCAGCCTTTATCCTGGAGCACAATTCTAATAATATCTCCCTGCTCGGAAGCCTTGGGAACTCATGATTGCTTACCGAGCAAGTCTGAATTCAGTCCTAATGGAATTTAAATTGTACTGCGATCTAGTCCTGGTTAACTTTCCTACTCTCATCTCTTCCTCTGTGTAACTCCCCTATATGTATCCTTCCTGAAATCTAAACATTCCCATTTTTCCTGCCAGAATTAATCCCTCCCTTTTGTATTTTAAGTGTACTATTATAGTCTTAAAACTTCTCACAGTTCAGTCTGTTCTTCCTTGAGGACAGGGACCAGAATTTTTCCTTTACTTAAGAAAAAAAAAAATCTCCTCTATAGCACCCAGAATAACCCTTAGGCTGTAGTAAGCAGAAATGTTGTTGAATTGAAGAATTATTCATGACTGGCCTGATGTAGGTAGAAAATTTTTTTCTGATAAAATTTCTGCCCAGTTAGACCATGGAAACATGATTAAGTAAATATTATTTTGTTTTCTACATTAAGTGTATAATAAATTCCATACTTGTTTTGTTAGTAAAACTAATATTAAAGCATAGCCTTGGGGTTTGTTTTGTTTTGTTTTATTTTATTTGCTTTGTTTTGTGTTTCTTCCTTCAAGGAAAAGAATTCTATTTATTCTTCTATATGTTAAATGTTAATTTTTAATGCAAAACTTCAGAAATTTTCTTTGGCTAGGTATGTAGTACATGGATCGGAAGTGGAGTTGTCAGCGATCTCAACGATCTTCGCCGAGTACACAATCTGCTTGTCTCTTCTCTGGACAAAGTGCAGGCTGGGAAAGGGTCGTCCAGCCAGCTGTATCGAGAGAGCGCCGCAACCATGGAAAAGCTGGCCGTTCTCAAAGCCTGGGCAGAGGTAACCGTGGCCTTTTGCTTTTGAACTTTCTCCATGCACGAGAAAATGTTTCTCTACTCTTACAGGCACAAATTTATTTTTTTTATTTTTGTGTTCTTTAAACTGACCTTTAGCCCTGAGTGGTGTGACTCAATTGGATCTCAAAAAAACCTCTTATTGCCCTGGCTGGTATAGCTCAGTGGATTGAGTGCAGGCCTGCGAACCAAAGGATTGCGGTCAGGGCACATGCCTGGCTGTAAGCCAGTTCCCGGCAGGGGATACTAGAGAGGCAACCATACATTGATATTTTTCCCCCTCCCTCCTTCCCTTCCCCTCTAAAGATAAATAAGTAAAATCTTTAATAAATTATTTAAAAATAGCACCCCATCACTTTACAAAAGCCTCTTATTAAATCTTTGAAAATAATATTTTTCAATAAGTTTTTTAAAACTTCTATATCGAGGAAGGGCTCCCCTTATTTACTATGGGGAAATTAGGCAGAGAAAACATACAGATATAAGTAATAGAAAATAATTTAGGCCAAGTCTTTTGTTTGATGAAATTTGCCATCATTCATTGATACCAAGGCTATAGGGTGCTAGGCATTTTTGCGTTTTGTTTTTTAATAGCTGGTTATCTCTAGGAACATGTGAGTTTGTAAGAAATGGTATTAAGTGAATAGGAACAAATTTATTTTCCTTATTAGATATTACACAGGAAAAATACAAAAATTGAAAGTATAAGTAAAATGAAGAAAATAAAAACCACAATATGTCCGAAGAAACCTGAAACACTGATTGAAAAGAACATAAGCCCCGCCCTGTGTCATGACAGTGTTGTTTACAGCAGCCAAGATCTGGAATCACCCCGGTGTCCGTCAGTAGAGGAGTGGATAAAACAACCGTGGTACATTTACACAATGGAACACTGCCGGGTCGTAAAAACGAATAAAATTTTATCCTTTGCAACAGCGTGGATAGACCTGGAGGATATTACGCTAAGTAAAATAAGCCGGTCAGAGAAAACCAAATACCATATGATTTCAGGCATGTGGAGTTTAATGAAGGAACTGTACTAACAGGTGAAATAGAGACAGAATCATAAATAAAGAGCAGGCTGGCAGCTCTCTGGAGGTGTTTGCAGGGTAGAGGGATTGAGCAAAAAAGAAAAAAGCACTCTGGACGTGGACAGCAGTGTGGAGATCGCAGAGGTGGGTAGGGATGGAAGAGGGTATACGAGGGGTAAATGGTAATGGAAACACATACAGATAAAATCCACACACAATTCTATACCTGAGATGCATTCATTCTTTACACGAACCATCCAGTATTTTTTAGGTGGGTGCCAGGCACTGTATCTAGGCACTGAGTGTAGTAAAGTTCGGAAGATAAATCAGTCAAAACAAGTTTAAAAGAACATTCCTTTTTTAGCATGTTTTTCACTCCCCTATCATTATATCAGTGTGTGAGTTCACGGGAGGCTAAAACCATGTACTGTTTGTCCTCACTGTCTTGGGTCCTAGCACAACGGCAACTGCAAGGCAAGAATAAGCCCCCGGCAGGGATCCGAGGAGCGGATGGTCAAATATGCTGTAGTGCTGATGAGAGGTTTTCACAGTGTCAGCATGATGATAAACGTGGGTGTGGGGGAAGCAAGTTTGAGAATACTAGAAAATATGAATGTGATAGCTTTATCATTTGGAATCCAAAGTTCTCATTCTTAAAATGAATTGTTCTCTGTTTCTAAATATTCATGGTTAGAATTTCTAAACCATAACTATTACAGACCATGGCAGTGTTCAAGAATGCTTTTTCTAAAAAGTGAAGGTTCATTGTTTCCTGTAACCATTGTCTAGAACTTAGAATGACTGCTCTGTAGCTGTGTGCTGTTGTAGCCATAGAGATAAGACCCTGCCACCGAGAAGTTGATGGTGTATGTGCACGCCCATGGACTTCCTCATCGGGTACAGTGAGAAAAAGCACTGTGTAGGGGAAACCAGTTTTCTCAAGAATTTTACCTAGTGCAATTTTCTTTCTTCTTCTCCCCCTCATTTTTTTTTTTTTGCTTTTTTCATTGATGTGTAATTCAGCTTGCGTGTCCCATTTACCGAAGCTCAAATGAACAAAAACAAAGAAAACAAACAAAAAATAACTTCAACAAAGAGGAATCTTTAAAATTATGTTTCAGGAAGTTGCAAGTTTTAAAAAATTTTTAAAGTTTCATATCTTTTTGGTTTTAAAAAGTGGAGAGAAAGGATCTAGATAGTGTATATTACTAGTAGATGATATTGTTGGCTCAGCTCTCTGTTGTGAAGCCTAGGTTGCTAAGTATCTCATAAGGATACATAGAAGGATATTTATGGAAATCCATCTCTGACTTCTCTGCCCTCTTCTTTGAATGCTGGATTGTGTCTAGTAAGTCTATAAAAGTGGAAACTGTAAACAGGAAATTATACTCTATGGGGAAAAAGAAAAGAAAAACACATGTAAAAGGGGGCATTGTAAAATGGAACAAGAGAAGCCAGAAAAAATTCAGAGGATCCTACTCAAAGGATATGTTGTGAGTGGAACACCAGTGAGAAGTCAGAGCAATGAAATGGATTGCCTCCAAGGCAGGGAGCATTATTCTTCTGAGGTTATCAGGAAATCGTGAGGTTGTATATTCTTTATTTATATTCAGTTGCCTTTTGATGACTGCATGCTCATAACAACTTAGAATATGCCATTTAAAAAAATTATGCCATTTTTTCTTCCTGAATATCTTACTAGGTATATGTGGTTGCTATGAATATTAAAAAGGAAGCAGAGTCTAAACCAAAGGGAGCAATTAAAAATACTGATGATGATGATGATGATTATGGCACCATAGATGAGCTACCGCCAGATAGTTTAATAACACTTGTACAGCCTGAACTGCCAACACTCAGCCGCCTGTGGTTAGCAGCACTAAAAGACTATGCACTTTTGACTTTACCAGCTGAATTTGCGAGTCAGCTCCCCCCAGATGGTAAGTACTACGTTCAGAGTTTTGCTTTGGTAATAATTAAACAAAATGGAATTGTTGGACACTAAAAACAGCAGTAATAACAGCATCTTAAATTTCTGTGGACTTCAACTTGGCATTCTCTCATGTAGAGCATGTTTCTCCATATTGAATTTGTGGGTTCAACCATAGTATTAAATTTACTTGTTAGCCAAAGCAAAAGTGTTCTCACTGCTACAGTGCTAGCTATGAGCCAGGGTACTCTAAGTAACCATGCATAACCAGTCAATATGCATGAGTATGATGAAGTATATTGCTGTGCTGGCTGCCAGTGTATGTGTGCAAGGACAGGCAAGGAAGTCCTCAGTTTGGTAGTGGAAACAGGAGGTAGGGAAAAATGGGAGAAGAAAAGTAAAAAAAAAAAAAAAAAGCAGCAGAGCCCCCAAGTTGTGACAGAAAGAGAAAGTGAAAAGGGTTTTCTGAGTCTCTCCAACAATGAAGATGAAGCCTGTGGCCAGAGGGTGGAGAGAGGTTAGAGAGGATGTTCAGTGGCTTGGGCAGTTGCAAAGGAAAGGCTGGATGCCCCCGCATGAGTGAAGAAGAGACAGGTGCTCCAGTTCAGCAGCTGCAGGAAAGATGTTAGTTTGGTGGCTTTGTAAGGAGGATAATGAATGTCTTTGTCCCCTAGGGATTCTTTGTTAAAACCTAATCTCCATAGTAATCATAGTAATCATAGTAGGAGGTAGAGCCTTTGGGAGGTACTTTGAGCAGGAGAGTGTGCAGCCCTCATCAATAGGAGTAGTGCCCTTATCAGAGGCCCCGCCCCAAAAAGAGACCCCTACCTAGCTCCATAACCCCTTCCAGCATTTGAGAACATAGTGAAAAGGAAAATCTGGAAGAAGGCGCTCAGTGGATCACACTGGCACCCTGGTCTCAGACTTCCAGCTTCCAGAACTATGAGAAATAAGCTTCTGTTGTGTATACGCTATCCAATTTGTGGTATGTTGTTACAGCAGCCCAAATGGACTAAGACAGTATGTAATGAGTATAAGTTAGTGGCACGTAAATGAGTGAACACTTAGAATAAAAATAATATTTTTGATATGATTGTTTTATAGGTGGCGCATTTTATACTCCTGAGACTATCGATACTGCTAGACTTCACTACCGGAACTCCTGGGCTCCCATTCTCCATGCAGTGGCACTTTGGTTAAACAGCACAGGATTTACGTGTTCAGAGTCAGCAGAAGCAGCAGCTGTATCTGGTTTACAAAAACGTTCTGCCGCTGTCAGTTTAAACCAAGCCTCAGGATCAACACCTAGTGCTAAGTCTTTACCAGAAATTAACCAAGACAGAATGCACCTAATTTTAGGTAGGTGAGCCATATTAAGGTATTTCAACACATATACCTTCTGAAAAGTCGTATCTCGGGAAACTTCCTTCTACCCTCTTAGATTCTGTGACTGAACCAAGAATTAAACCCACATAATACTGATTAACAGGAGAAAAGCGAACAAAGTTATTTAATATTTTCATATGTACACAGGAGTCTTTAGAAGGAAAATGAAGACCCAGAGTAGCCATTAGGCCCCAAATCTTATCTACTATATTACACAAAGAACAATACATTGTAGAGCTGTGGCAAGACACAGGGGTTTGGGCCAGGGGCAGCAAACTGTGGGACAGTGACTAGGAAGTAAATGGGAGAAACTAATGGAATTAAGGGTTATTTTAGGAGGTTGGTTTGTACAGGCCTGTTTTGACATGGACTCCCAGTCTCTGGTGATAGGAATGTTCTTTTCCTGATACAGGGAGGGCACTATTATCGGGAGAAATTTTATGACCTGCTTTGAGAAGAAGAGTCAGAAAGCCCTTCCTACCTATATACTTGCTGTTTCTCCAGTATCTTCAGCTCAAAATAATCAATATACCAGAGTGGCATATTTTGATGTGGGATGATCTGACCTCTTTCATATCTTTCTTTTTAATGCTATGGAAAGTTTTACATAGCACAAGTCCGAGAAGGAAAGGAGGATTTTAAGCACATTTTCTAAGGTGTTAACTAAATTTTTAATCTAGAAATTTAATTGTTAATCTAGAAATTTAAAAATGGCTGTAAAAATTATGGCTATCACCTTTATTCACAGAGCAACATTCTTTCAAGAAACAAAGTAAACTTCTTTTTTAACATTTTTTTTGTTTTGTTTTTGGCTTGGCACTTAACAGATCATTCTATGAGGAAATAATAAAATGCAAAGTTAAAGTAAATTGGAATAAATCTTAATTTATAATGGCTTTATCGATGTTATACATCATAACAAAGCTCTTAGTCATCTTATATTTTTTGGAAGGGAAAAGGAACATACTTGTTAATGCAAAATTATAGTTTGTCAGTAGATTTCATAAATGAAAATGTTAACGATTTACAAAACAGTGACCTTACCTTTATGCATATCAAGAGCAGTTATAACCCACAATATTCATTGTGCCTTGCCATTTAAAAAACTTGGCAGGCATGACAATATTTTGGCAACCATTTAATGAAATGTAATTTTATAGTTTTCACAAATTTTTTCTTAATGTGTTATTTTTAAATGTCCTAGAAATAAAAAAATTGAATATCTTCTTAGTCAATGTGATGATCTTAGGACTACCTCCCCACCTCCAATTTGATTAGTAACATAATTGCAAAGCTATAATCTATTAAGTTTAGCTGCTTATTTTGGAAATCATTTTGAACTCTACTTTAAGGCATTAATATATATACATGAAAGTAACTTGTTAAAAAAAAGTAAATATGAATAGAGAAAAATTTGGTATGAGAGCAATCGTGTTTTGATATCGACAAACCCGTGGTTTTATTTTGTACATCACAGGTGTGAGTATACAGTTCCTTTGTTCCCCCAGACCTGAGGAGCCCGTTGAGCATGTCACAGCTTGTCTGCAGGCCTTACATACCTTATTCGACTCTCCTTATGCCCGGATCCATATTGCAGAAGATCAGGTACAGTCTCTTCCTGTAGATAGATAATTAATTCTATGCTTTGTTTTCATGATATTTATCTTAAGATAATTTTCTCACATATGAAATCTTATATAGTAATTACTCAGGATTTTGTCTTTATTTAAGACCCTATACTGAATTTGGGATGTCCAGGCACAACTAGACTGGTGACAGTCACTATGCCTTCTTTGATTTATTCATCAGCAGACAAGTTAAACTAGAAACTTAAGGGATGACCTCAGTCCCAGTTTATGATTCTACTAATAAAGGGCTAAAATAATTTATAAGGCCATTAAAGAATTGATACTACTTTTACATGTTTGAGGAAGTTTTCTGTCTCAATGCAGGGTTGTTATCGTTTTGTTTTGTTTTGTTGCACTGGCTTAACTACTCATCTCAACAGTTTAATGATTGACTTTTCCTCATTTCTGTATGGGCTATTTAGAGGACTTGATCTATGTTTAGGATGGGTTCTATGTAAAGGGCTTAAAGTGAGTAGTGATAGATTTGAGGTATTTGCTGAGACGAATGGAGAGGGACTACCAGCAGTGCCTGGAATCTCTGGTAGACACCTCTTGGGTGCTCGGTTTAGCCTGAAAATCAAAAACTTGGATGTCACTGGACTCTCACAATACTGCTCAGTTCAAATAGAGGAAAGAGGAGAGCGATCATTTTTAATAGGAAAATATTTAATTATATAAACAGCAAAATAATTTGTTGACTGAAAACATGTTGAGATAAAATGTGACCATTTCTCAAGACTGTGATGATGTTTTTTTCTGTTACATAGTCCGATGTGCTAATTTTAGCTACCAAATTTATTGATATACATATTATCTTAGATTTTAATAATATAAGTTTATCCTTTGAAATGAAAATTAGTTAACTTCATCTGTGTTAATTCATAACAGCTGATTGGTGTTGAGTTGCTGAGTGTTTTGCACCGCCTCTTACTGACCTGGAATCCACCATCCGTCCAGCTGCTGGTTACTGGAGTCGTACAGCAGATAGTACGAGCTGCTCAGGATTATTTGCAAGAAAAAAGAAACACTCTAAGTAAGCACTAAAAATTATACTAACTTTGACATAGATCTTATTTGTACTCTCATTTTTAAAATACTAATGCCACGGAGATATTTTTAAATAAAAAATTAATCATACATTGAGATTTGCAATTGACTTTGCTTTCATTAAAAAGAACCAAATTAAATTGCTGATAGTCAACTATTTTTCAGCTTCAAAGTATCAACTTCATAGGGTTATACTGAATATATGTGTTACTCCTATTACGAAATACATTCTTTTTTTTTTAAAGATTTTATTTATTTATTTTTAGAGAGAGGGGAAGGGAGGGAGAAAGAGAAGAGAAACATCAGTGTGTGGTTGCCTCTGGCACGCCCCCATCTGGGGACCTGACCTGCAACCCAGGCATGTGCTGGGAATTGAACTAGTGACATTTTGGTTTGCAGGCCCACGCTCAATCCACTGAGGTACACCAGCCAGGGCATGAAATACGTTCTTAATAAAAATATCTAACAAATTTTTTTCAAGTGAAAAATGGATTATTTTTTACTTTTAAAGAGAGGTCAATAAACAGAATTCTAATAAGGCAGATAATTATTCTGCAAAAGACATGTTATATCAGTCAGTATACATTCAGTTATAAATTCTTTTGAAAGAATTTCTCAAACATATTTATTGTGTTGTTTTATCTACTATTTGTTGTCATTATTATTATTTTGCTGGAAACTCACCAAATTTTCTATTTACCCAAGATGAAGATGACATGGAAAAAGAGTCCTGTCCCGTGTTAGGAGAAGGAGGTGACAGCGGTGGTCTTATTCCCGGAAAATCTCTTGTGTTTGCGACGATGGAGCTGTTGATGTTCATCTTAGTGCGGCACATGCCACACCTCAGTACCAAGATGTCAGACTCCCCAAGTCACATAGCTGCTAAAACCCGGCTTTCAGAAGAAAGTGCTCGTCTAGTGGCAGCCACAGTCACCATACTCTCCGACTTACCGTCCCTGTGTTCGCCTGCTGGTACAGTATTGGTCACTCTTTGAAAGTGCATCACGTTATGGTAGACAAAGATGAGCTTGCTTTTGATTTTAAACACTATGATGACTTACTTTCCTCTTAAGTTTCCGTGTGAAGGGAGAGGTTGTATTTTTAAGGGTGTATTTATATTTAGGATTTTAGTATATTAAATCTCATTTCACATGTATTTCTGACAAACTTCAACAAAAAGATAGAACCACACTGAGAGGGAAGACACTGAATTTTAGCAGACAAGCACAAGGTGGAATTACTAAACCCTTTAGTGTCTGATCTGGTTGCCACTTTGAGCAACATTGACAAACTATAGAAAATCAGAGGAGAGTGACAACCAACTCTAAGGAGTAACTGAAAAAAAATTGTAGCTAAACAAAGATAATAGCTATTGCACTTAAATAAAGAACTACTGAATGGAAAAGTAGATGTCCCTCTGTTTATCCAGAAGGTAGAAATGATATTATTGGGAGACAAAAATAAACTAGAGCTCAATGTAAGCCCACAAATGTGAAAATGGTAGGCTTTGCAGGCAGAATGCAATCACAGAAAGGGAGAGCTGTGGAAGGAGCCTGTCATTAAGTGGGAGGTTGAATTCCATGAGCTTGAAGCTTCTTCAGCTACAATCTAGGATTCTGTCATTTCTTTCCCTTCTTTTGTAATCCTTACCTAAGGATGTATTTTTATTCATTTGAGAGAGAGAGAGGGAGGGATGGGGGCTGTAGAGAGACTGAGAGAGAGAGAGACAGACATTAGTTTGAGAGAGAAACAGTGATTTGTTGCTTCCTATATGTGCCCCAACCAGGGATTGAACCTGAAACCTAGGTTCCCAGTCGGTATGCCCCGACTGGGAATCAAACATGCAACCTTTTGGTGTATGGGAGGATGCTCCAACCAAGTCACCTGGCCAGGGCAGACTCTGACACTTCTCATTTGCTTACCCACATACTCTGTTTATCATTACCTGGCTTGGTTAGGCTGACTTTTGTACACTGAAGATTGATTACATATCTTAGAATTGCTACAAGATTCACCAAGTTACTCAGCTACTTTTCAAGGTATGGATATAGTAGTGTTTTCCATCTTCCTTTCTTAATTTCATTATGAAGGACATGAAATACTAAATAGATAAAGTACTGGAAATAATAAAAACAAGGCTAGTTGGAAAAAAATACCATCCTCTTTGAAATAAATTGCCACTTTTCTTATTTTCTTTTTCAAACATTAAACTATAGTAATAGTAATGCAATGAATTTTATGTAAAGAAGGAAAAGAAATAATATTAAACCATAATCAATTGTAAAAAATATAAACAGTGAAACAACTGAAATATGGGAACTGAAGAGTTATGAGTAACCCACTTTGTTTTGATTTCAGGATGTATGACTATTCTGCCCACCATTCTGTTTTTAATTGCAAGGATATTGAAAGACACGGCAGTAAAGTCTGCAGATAATCAGGTTCCTCTGCCAGTTAGTGCAGCTCTTCAAGGGATTAAAAATATTGTGACACTGTCATTGGCCAGAACGGAGGACACTCAAAAACAGTGGACAGCTCTCATTCGTAGCACCCTTGCATGCATCCTGGAATATTCTCAACCAGGTAACCTAGTCAGAGTTTAAAGTTTTTAATCGATAGGCTATCTCTTCTCTAATTAATTAATTGAATGAGCTTGTGAATAGAATTACTGTATAACACTGAATCAACTCAGAAAGGTGTTTTGGTCATGTCTTTCAGATGTGAACTTTAGTGCCCTTTTGGATATGGACTCTAAATGCCCTTGTCTTAAAACTTAGATACATGTTGGGAGGTTTGATATGACCCCGTTATTTCCTAGCTACTTCCTTACTTTCTGGCTCTAAGATAGAGTGGGCTCATGTTGTATTATCTCTATTACTGAAGCCACAGTTGAAGAATAAAATGTTAATTTCTGACAAAAAAAATTGCCTGCAATGGTCCCAACTCTGAATTAGAGATTGTTGTCATTTCACCTAGAGTAATATTCCTACTGTGGAGTTTATAAGTTTTTAACATGTATGACTAAGGTTATTATAGATTGGTTGAATCCTTTGAATTTTACATCACTTTTTTTCTTTATATTACATTAGTGGACTATTGTATGGTACCCTCATTATAAGATAAACATATATATTAAACGTATATGTAATTCTGATAAATAACTGATTATCACTGGGTATTTGCAGCTGCCACATTAACCCAAATTCACATATATAGAACATTGGTAAGTTCAGTTGTGGAAAAAATGATAATCATAAAATCGTTTGTCTTATTTTATGTTTACTAGTATTGTTCTTTAAAATAAATGTACATATTTCCTTTCTTTCTAATTATATACTCTATTTTCATTAGGTTTATTATTTCTGAATAAATGATTGAAATAGCAAGAAATTCCTCTAAAATTATGAGATTACTATCTTCAGGAAATTGTGCAAGACTCTTTTTTTTACTTATGGTTGTGTAGAATTTGTAGAATTTCACATTTATTAAATAGGAAGGTGATATCACTAAGAAAAGTCTTTTCTGGATTTTTAAATTACTTAGAATATTTTACCAAAGTCATCTAACTTTGTTGGAAGGAGAGTATTTGGAAATGTTTGATTAATCTAAACTCAAAAAAAGTTAAATGACTTATAAGTAATTTTATATTTCCATATTATTTTTTTATCTTTCATATCTAATTAAGCTTTTCATACTAGAGTTCTTAGGACTTATGACTTACTTTGTTCAATTAATATTGTACCATCCAGAAAAACAAGGAAAAGGGACTTAAATGTAGAACTTCTAATAAAGTATCTCCTCTGTCCTCAATAGTAGATGAGCTCTATTCATGAAGTTGTTCATGGGCTGTGTTAGATTGAGACACACACTGCTATAAATGTTGTTGGGGAGAGAGAGGGTAATTGTTCAAGATTGAAATTCCAAAGCACGTTAGAAACAGCACACTGCATTCATTTTTCATATACTTCAGTATTTCATTATTCATCTATTTCAGAAGATTCTGTGCCTTTGCCTGATGAAGTAAGCATGCTGACGGCGATCGCACTCTTCCTGTGGTCTGCTAGCAGTGAAATAATAGGAGTCCAGTCATTACAGAATGGCTGCATGAGCAGATTTAAAACCGCATTAAATTCGTGTGACCCATGGGTAAGTTGCACTTAAACATAGAGGTGAATATTCCGCTTTATCAGGAATATTTCAGATTGATTTGTTAAAATGTATGATATAGCAAATGAAAACCTAATATTTACTCTATACCTTTTAAACAGAAAAACTCAAAAAGATCAGAAGGTTTAGACACTAGGAGGGACTTACATGTATGTTAATTTACATGCGCAGAAATTCTCCAGTACCTAAAATATTTGGTTAATTCTGGTTTATGTTGCTAGCGATTTTACGAGTCTGTGATTGTATTTTTCACTGTTTACTTAATGATACCAAGGGCATTAAAAGATAAATTTATTTTATTGCCTGTTTTAATGAATCAATTGGAAGCTAGTTTTTTCAGAAAAAAAGTTTGTTTTACAATGTTGAAGTCTAAAGTAATGTTTCTCATACCCTCTACACATCTGAAAAATTTCAGTTTGGTAACATGATCCTAGACTTTATACTGTGTCCCTGGATCAGAGATCTGTATCTGGGGATTTAGTTCCAGCAAGGTTTGCCACCCTCCCCTCTCCCAAAGTGCTGAAGCAGTTTCTTTCCACTCTTTGTCCCATATGTTAATGGACCTTCCTTTCTTCCCTTGCTTCCTTCCTGCCTTTTTTTTTTTTTTTTTAATTAATACGGAGTCTTTCTAATCTAAAATTGATCCAAGGAGACCTTACTTTCTAGGCCTGGAAAACCTCAATTGGCATAAGCAGTCATTTCCAGGGAATTCAAATGGAGTTGAGGTGCCTAAGCAATTTATTTTTATAGCTTTGTTTGACATCATTCAGTATTAGCCTTCCTATTAAATAGGCTAAAGTGGGAGGGACAATTGTATTAAAAAAGAATTAAAAAACAAATTAAAATGAAAATGTCTGGTGTTTAGCTTCCCCTACACTGTAGAAATGTACAAATTATATAAGCATGGTACTTCAGCAGTTAACTTATAAATAATATTTATTTGATTAATTTATTTTCAGTTGTTTTTATTTCATTAGCTTATTAGCAGTCTCATTATTGTACTCCATTTCTATAAGTAGAAAGTAGCATTGACTAGCCCTGCATTTCTGTTTTCATTCTGTAGTATTACATCTTCTCAGTGTGTATTAAGGTGCAATGTGATTGTACAGCAGATAAGAACTATCACACATGTTAAGTAATACAATGATTTTCTTATATAGGTTCAAGCCAAATGTTACCAGCTTCTCCTCTCAGTCTTCCAACATTCCAACCGTGCCCTTTCAACTCCCTATATCCATTCATTAGCTCCAATAGTGGTTGAAAAGCTAAAGGCTGTTGAACGAAATAGACCAGCCAGTAACACAGAGCTTTTAGCTGTTCAAGAAGGAATCAAAGTTCTTGAAACATTGGTTGCTCTTGGGGAAGAACAGAACAGTAAGTATTTTCTTATAAAAGTCACTAGTCTGACATGAAGATCTATATTATATAAATCATATTTGATATTAGACACAGGCTATTGCAACAGTGAAACTAAATCTAAGGCTAATGCTGTGCAAAAATCAAAGGTAGATGTAAATATTTACTAAAGATAAACTAAAGGTAAAAGGTAAATATTAATGGAATGTGATAACATTAATTAGGAGGATAATATCAAATAAAGAAATCAAATATCAATGTATAAGATATTAAAATTTTTAAAATGCTAATAACTTACTCTAACTCTTAAAAGGCATGCTGTAGTACAAAAATCTGTATTCTGAGTGAAGCAGTCCATTAAAAAAATGAAAAAATCTTGATGATGCATATTATCGATATATCTCACTAATACTGCAATACAGTTATTTATATTGATATTTACCATAGATAGTGTTAAGTAATACTACAATAAGTTGTTATATGAAATATAGTAATATGATTCCAAAAGGGTAAATTTTCAGCTTTTAAATTTATCACTCAACTTTTTTCACATATGTTAATTTTTGTTTTTAACTTTGTAGTATCCACTATAGAAACAGGCTGTGAATTTTTTCTTACCCCAAATGACCAAGTTTACAACCTGAAGATAATAAATTAGACTTGCCTATTAACTCTTTTCCATCATCTTTATTCAATCTATTACTCCAAACTTGTCCTATCTCTTTTTGGAACTTCTCTAGGATTCTAGAGAAACCTGCTTCCTATTCTTGTAAATACACAGTTAAAATAGTTTGCTAGCAGAAATTCCCATCAGATATATCTAAAACAATTTCTCTCTCCCTTGTTTAAGACTTTTGAGTAATTTCCTCTTGCTTTACTTCATCAAGTTCAAATATTTTTTCTTGGTTTTCAGAGCTTTTTATTCTGTTTCCCAGCGTGTATACCTACAAACCTGACCAGTCCAGTTTTCTCACTCTGCTCATTTTAATCCGTATACATTGTTGGTTGTATCTTCATTCTCTTCCAGTGTTTTTTTCTCTCCCTTTTTAAATAAATCTACGTCATGTCTCAGTTCTTCAAATGTTGCCAGGTTATTCACCCATTCCGATGTTTTCCTTCATACGGTTTCTTTGGCAATTGTAATCAACCTTATGTTATGGCCTTGTTATTTTAAAATAATTACTAAAACTATAAAATCCTAAGGTATTGCTGAACTGCGTGTGAGTCTTTTGATGAACTCTATCTCCAATGTTACCTATAGGTTTTTAGCACATGGTTCTCTAGTTCTATGTGCTGTATACATACGCTCTTCAACTAGGTAATAAAAGCATTAGGTGGAGGTGAAGTATATATTTCCTAAAATGCTTGGCACATTTCCAGATACTTGATGGATTCTTAAATAACTTATAATAGATTTTTTCCAATTAATTATATTTTAACTGTTAAAACTAAAAGCTCACCTTTTAAGCTACTGTTGGAAAGCTCTTCTGTTTTAGTAAGCACAAAATGTACTGAAATAATTTCATATTTAGTTGACAATTTACTATTATATTTTCATGATAAAGGTCAGTCTTATTATACAGTACTACTATCATTCTTTGTGAGGGAACATGAGCTAAATCTGGCTGATTGGAGAACTTGCTTGGGACTTTTAAAATGTCAGGTGATCATCTTCTGAAATTTTAACATGGAAAAAATTCAATTAGTCAAAAACTTCTGAATGGTCTCCAAGAGAAAAGGTGCATGTATGTTTATTCACTCATTCAACAAATAGTTATTGGATACCTCACCATTTCCTAGGTCCTGTTCTAGACATTGGTGATCCAGTGTGAAATAAAACACACAAAGCTCTGATGGAGCTTCCATTCTAGAGGGAAACCACAGGCAACATTTTCTCCCTCTCAGATAAGTTTTATTTCTTTTATGTATAGATAGGCAATTCATATGCATGTATAGTGTAGACATATCTCTACACAATTTTACAGAGTTAAAATGGCTAAAACTATATTAATTTTAGATGTAGACATGATAGTGAGATACAGAAATGAATAAAGGTTGTGGAGGAAAACACGGAGGAGGGAAAGAGGAAGTTCAGGGCCAGAGTGAGGTGGGGGTTCTGGAAAGGCCCCAGCGATTATTATCTTTGATGACATCAGTGAGGGTTGTATCCCACATTCTGTAGCAGACGTTTCCTGCTCCCCTGCAGCCTTGGCTTTGACTTCACGTATTGCCATTCTACCACAATTAGCATTCATTAAAGCTGGGGAAAGAGTTATTCTCAATGTTCATTGTAAGATACACATATATATGATTACATATTTTTTAAAAGAAAAATAGCTTTAATGAAATTTATATTCCAGGATGATGTTAATATGGACAGACAGAGAGACTAGTAAAGGGAATTAAGCCTCCAGCAAGTTTTTTTTAGGACTTGGAATTTATGTCCGCCAGGCATGCGTTCTTCTTTTATCCTAGTATGTATGTATCCCTTACTTTTGAAAGATTTTTTTCCCCTTAACTTATGGTGAGGAAATGATGAAATGGGAAAGAGCTGTATTTCTATTTTAAAGAGAAGGAAATATCTTGTCTTAGTTAAATCATAGTAAATAGATGCTGTTCAGGTTCCTGTTCCCTACTCCAGCCTCCCTATTCTGAATTACTCTTAAATATTCTACCATCTCACCTTCAAAATACATTCTACTAGGTGGCAATTGTAAAAGGTTTATTACTTTTTAATCTTTTAAGCATTGTTTTTATTTTTTAAAATATTTTATTTATTTATATCTAAACAGAGCGGGAGAAAGGGAGGGAAACATCAGTGTGTGGTTGCCTCTCGCCTGCCCCCAGTGGGGACCTGGCCTGCAACCCAGGCATGTGCCATAACTGGGAATTGAACTGACAACCCTTTGGTTCACAGGCTGGTACTCAATCCACTAAGCTACACCAAACATTGTTTTTTAAATAAAACACACACACACACACACACACACACACACACAAAATATACTCTTAACAAGCCTGGTTTCCTACCCTAACATAGCTTGGGCATTTGGTATATATTTAATAATAATTATGAGTTATCATTGAGGTCTAAAGAAGATTATACATGTTTATTTATATTTTATTAAAATTCAGACTCCTGTGCCTCGTTTTAAAAGAAAAGTCGACTGTCATTTTCAGATTCATGATCATCATCAGACTAACCTTGTTATTTGCAGGAGTCCAGTTACTTGCTCTTCTAGTTCCCACTTTGATCTCTTACCTGCTGGATGAAAATTCTTTTGCCTCAGCAAACACAGCCTCCAAAGATCTTCATGAATTTGCACTCCAGAATTTAATGCATATTGGACCTCTGTATCCACACGCTTTCAAGACAGTAATGGGAGCCGCTCCTGAGCTGAAAATACGTCTGGAAACTGCTGTTCGAGCAAGCCAAGCCAGCAAAGCTAAAGCTGCTACCAGGCAGCCAGCCCCTGCTATGCCTTCTGCACCAACGATTAAGCTAAAGACAAGTTTTTTTTAACTTGCTGTTCCATTCATTTTTATTTATATTGTCAACTAGAAGCTAATGAGTGATAGCCACTGAATCATTCCAGACTGTAGGTTTTACTTTATTTGTATATTGGTATTATATGCTTCCAGGTAGGTTGGGTGAAATAATGCTCACGCTGCTTTCTTGTTTTGGAGTGATTTATTTTATATAATGTGGTAAATGTGCTTTCATTTTTCTCTTGATACTTTTTCTGTTTTATTAATTAATTTATTTTTTAAACACTGAGCCAGACTTTTAAATTTAAATGCGAAAAATAATTGTATCATGTAGTTGGGCTGCTTATTGATATTGTCAGAAAAAATAGGTAGGATTCAGCACCTGTCATGAAAACTTTACTTGAAAAACTTTACTTGAGTTTAAATTTTGAAGTTAGCAAAATAATGTAAAATGCCTGTTTTGTTGTGTATATAATATGAATAGTCACATTTCCTTAAAATGTGGCTATTTCTTAAAAGCATTTCTCAAAATGCCCTTACCTTTCTAATAGGTCTTTTTAATTTCGTATTAGATTACTAAATTATGCTTGTGTGTTTTTTGTTGTTAACCAAATTAAAACTTTCATTTAAGATCCATTAAAATATTTCAGAGGTGGAGTAATAGTCTGCTTTTTTTAATGGCTTGGCCTCAGTTATGTTTTATAATTACAGAGCCTTGAGTTCTGGCTGTGATGGTCAGTTTCGTTCATCAGATATTTATTGAGTGCCTATTGTGGACAAGGCATCAAGCTAAGTGCTTCAGGACAAACAGAAATGAATTAGTAGTAATAATAGTTATGCCAATGTCCAGTGCAATGGCAATTTACAATATCAAATAGGTAATTGGTGAAATAACGCTTGCCACCATGTTTAGCAAATTTTAAACAGCAAGTTTTACCAGTGTTATATTGACTGTATTCAAAAGCAAGTCATCTTTCTGAACATTTATACCTGTTTGTCATCTAACTCCTCTGTAATCTCTCATACCCCCACCAATTGGCAGCTCAAAAATCCTTGCCTTTCTTCCTCATTCGGTAATTTAGGCCTCAGATAGGTACTTTCTCTCACCTATTCCTCATTGACTTTTATCTCTGCAGGGTTGTTTTTCATTTCAGACTTGCTTTTCTGAAGTTATTCTCCTTGTTTTTTGGAGAGGTTTTTTTTTTGTAATAGTTTTATTGAGTTATAATTCTCATACTATATAATTCATCCATTGAAAAATGTACAAATCAGTAGTGTTTAGTATATACACAAAGTAATACAACCATTGGTAAAAACAATTTGGAACATTTTCATTATCTCATAAAGAAATGCTGTACCCCCCACAACGTTTCTATCTCTCTTTTTTTAAATATATTTTATTGATTATGCTATTACAGTTATCCCATTCCCCCCCACCTTTGTTCCCCTCTGCCCTGTACCCCCTCTCACCCATATTACCCACCCTTAGTTCATGTCCATGGGTCATACACATAAGTTCTTTGGCCTCTCCATTTCCTAAGGTAGTCTGAACCTGCCCCTATTTTGTACCTACCATTTAACTTCCCATTTCTCTTTAATCTTAGATTACTTTCTCTTTTTATTCTCCTATTTATGAATACTTCATATAAATGAAATCATGTAATATGTGGTTTTTTGTGACTGGCTTCTTGACTTCACATGTTGTTGATCCATGTGGTAGCATATACATCTGTTCTCTAGCCCTTTTTATGGCTGGATAATATTCCATTGTGTGAATGCCACATTTTATTTATCCATTCAACATTTGGGTTGTTTTCCCCTTTTGCCTGTCATGAATAATGCTTCTGTGAACAAATGTTTACAAGTTTGGGGGTAGACATATGTTTTCATTTCCCTTGGGTATATAGCTGGGAGTGGACTTCCCTCCTCACTGGTAACTGTTCAAGTCATTAAGGGCCTGCCAGACTGTTTTCCCATTCCTTGTTTCTTGTAGACATAAAACCCTTTCACTCACCTCCTTAAAAAGTATGCTTATTTTTGACTTGGCTACTTTCTGCTGTTCTTGGTACCCCCCAGAGTTTTTCTGTAATTTTCCACTTTGCAGTAGAGTCTTTGTTTCCCGGTTCGTAGTAGACTCCATCGTGCATTAGCAACGGTTGTGCCATTTTTCTTCTCCCTGTCTCCCTTAGGCTTTCTCTTTCTCTCTTCACCCCTCCCAATACATCTTTATACTTTCTCCAGACTCTTCCACACCACCTAGTTCTTGTTTTCTAACATTATATCTATAAAATATTTGTTGGAAGAATAGCATTTTTCAATTTGTTCCATTGCCCAACCCATGAGATTTTCTCAACCCAAGTAAGCATATTTATGTAAAAATATCCAAAATCAAGAAGCTAAGAGGAACATCATGATAGCCAGTGGATTCTTTCAGAAGCTTACAATGAGCAGTCTTACTGTTATAAGAAATAAAGTATCCTCTATTTGCTTTCCAAATTCTTGTTAATAATATCACACTGCAACTCCCAAATCAAGTGTCCCAGTACTAAGTAGGTTCTGCCATCAGGGAAAGAACTTTGGACAACGAAAACCTGTGGGGGCTTCGGTGTCCCCATCTACCAGATGAGAGGAACATTTACTAACTATTCTCTCCATGATCTTTTGCACATCTAAAACAGTACATATGTCTATTTACCCTGCCCCCATTTTTAAATCAAGAGAATGACTCCTTGGCCAATCCTTTAATATCAGCATATTATATTATTTAGTCTGATAAGTATTTTTTACATGTATATAAAGTGGCTATCACAGTGTGACAGTATAACATACATTAAATTCAAACAGCAGCTAAAATATTGCAGAGTATCACTTTCAAGAAGAGCTGCCATTTCTGTTGAGTGTCAGGCACTGCACTAGAACTTTATATCCCTTATTTCTTTTTATTCAAACAATGCCAAGGATGGATATAATTAGCCCAGTTTTCAAAATGCATTTAATTATATGAGTTACTGTGCTTCACATTTTCTTCATTCTTAATTGGAATTTTTAGGTTGGTGCCAGAAATGGCTGGAGTACAGCTATAAATAAATGTCTTGCCTTAATGCTTCACATCAGATGGATTCTTTTTAAAACCTGAGTCAATCATTAAACATCCATTTATAATTCTAAAAGCTTATAGCATTATTATTTATGGGCTTCACAAAATTTTACTTAAATGGGAACTACATGTCTTAATCATAATTTAGAAAAATTGTTCTGAGCTAAGTGACTAAACAAGCGTGAGAACCATGCACACACAAGCGACCAGGACAGCTATTGTTTCTCTTTCCTCAGGAAATCTTATTCACAGCCTTGGTTCCCTGCCCACGTGACCTGTCTCTTTTGGCCATTGGAACTCTGGGGTTTTCGTGTCAGGCCTTGTTTTCCTCGTACACATACACTATATACTTCTGTTTGCTCTTTTCCCCTTGACTTTGCATGTGAGTCAAAAGAATTCATGAAAATGTAAGTGATCTTGTTTTACATTTACAACACCTCACTCCTGATTACTTATCCTCTCTTTGAATCTCTTCCTTTTTTTGGTGGCTACTTACATTTTAATAATAATGCTGCATTTGACTTTTTAAAAAGGAAAACTTGCAGATTATTTCCTGGAGTAGTTCCTTAAAGAGGTTATAAAAATACGACAGGATTGAATTTTGACACATATTGCTTCATCTTAGTTGTGATGGTTTTTGAAATAACAGATGGGAAATGAAACTGGATCTTTTCCAAATTCTAAGAAAATGCTTGCAAGTACCCTTAAATCTCCACAACTATTTTGATATACCTAAACACTTTTTTAAATGACATTTTAGTTGACTATGAAGCTTTATGAAGCTAGTAGAAAGCCTCAGTAGAGCTGGGCTGTTTTTTTAGTAAAAATAATGCTTGTTTAAAATAAGGAAGGGTAAGTCCTTCTCCACACACTGTGGGGCCTCAGTGTGTGTGCATGGTGGGCCGCTTAGCGAGTTGAAGGGTCGTCGTTTAACGCCACACGTGAAGGGCAAAGACAAACTAGTGTGTATCCAAGACGAGATACAGAAGAACTGAGTGTAAAAAAGGGCAATATGATCATTGATCTTCAGAGAGGAGGGCCAGTTGGCAGACTGCACCAACAGGTCAGTGTTTCAAATAAGCAGGGTGCAATCAAAGTAAGAATTTCCTAAGAGAGCTATTGAAAGATGATTGTTTTATTATAGTGCATTTCCTGTCACAATGAGAACTTGAATTCCTTTGTCAGAGACTTCGTGAAAAGATTCTCTAATGCTGTCTTTTACTCATTCATTGGACAGTTATTTATGGGATACCTACTGTATACCAGATATTGGGAATACAATAGTGACCAGTCAAGCAAAGAATCTGCCATATGTTTACATTCTGCCTGGAAAGAGAGAAAATAAGCACAGGTTTGTGATATGATAGAGAATAATATGCAGATAATTCCTTCCTACGGTCGTCTGGAGCCCTAGCCGCTTCAGACTTGTGTATGTGACTACCCACATTAGCTGTGTCAGAAGCTCCTCAAACTCAAAGTTAATTTACACTTGCGCTCCTCACCTCCTTATCTAACATCTGCTTCTCAACTCATGATCTGCCAGCAAACAGTGCAAGTCTTTTAACCTTTTGGGTAGCCACTTGTAAATCTTAGCTTCATCCACGACTCTTTCCTCACTGTGCTTAATGCACTGCCCTATTTCCTAAATACCTGCTCACATCCTTCCATGTGTCGTCATTGCCATTGTTAGCACCCTAATCCAAATCAACACATGTGACTGCAGCAAGCAGTGTTTGGTGTGGATGGTTAGGTAAGTGCACCTGGGTTGGAATCTGGCATTGTCACAGGCTGTGTAACCCTGAGCAAGTTACTAGTTCTCTTTGTGCCTATTTCTGCATCTGTACAATGGAACAATAATAATACCTCTCTTATAGACTAGCTGTGCAATTAATGAGTTAATACTTGAAAGGACTTTAAAATAGTGCCTGACCTTTAGAAAACAATTCAGAAGGGTCAACTAATACTATATTTCCCACACAGAAACTGAAATGAGCTTTATTCAAATCTGATAACTTGCTGAAAACTCTTCAGTTGGTTACTTTACCCATAAAGACCATTTCCTTAAGATGACCCTCCAGCCATCCTGCCTTTTATTTCATCTGGCCCTGTGGCCATTTGTTGTGTACCTATTTGTCAAATGAAGGTAACGTTAGTACTTACCTCATGCGATGTTGTAGGGATCCAATTAATGCATTCAAAATGCATTATTTTAATTGAGTATATGCTCAATAAGTACTGGCTAGAAAAATAATTGTTATTACTTTCCTCTTGTTCTTTATTGTTAGCGATATTGGACTTCTTTCAAGTTATCAAATGCACTGTATACCTCTTCTATGTAGAGTGTTTAAATTTTGCTTAAAAAGCTCTATTTCACCCTTTTCTAGATAATTTATTCTCATTTCACATTTAATCTGGTTACATTCTCATAAAAATGTTGCAGCATTAATTTGGTTATGGCCATAAACTAAAAACTAGGATCTAAATTATCTTGTGTTCCTGTAATGAAAAGGTGTGTATTGGCTCTTTAACCTTGAACACTCTGGTTAAAATGAGTTCATATGAAAGTGTCTATGAGCTGGTTCAAACCACTCCTCTTGTTACTTCATGTCCTGCAGCTGGGGGGACATCTGGGAAAGGAGATAACATGGATAATGGTAGAGTTTGCCATTACAGGGAACAACTGCAAGGGCTCAAATTAACATGGATTGAACAACAATCAGTAGGATGCCGGGGGCCTGCAGAACAGAGGGAGGGGAAAGAAGTACATGTAAACTAAGTTAAATCTTGTTTCAAAAGTTAAGAAAACGTGGGTCTTCAAAAATTAAAACAAAACCGTACTGCATCTCCTTAACCTGATTCATTTCTCTTGCTTTTCTGACACAAAGCCCAGATTTCCCTTCCCACCCCCCACCATGTTTGTTTGTTTATATATATGTTTAAAATATCACATATGAATTCTTTTTTTTTTTAAGATTTTATTTGTTTATCTTTAGAGGGGAAGGGAAGGAGAGAGGGAGAGAAACATCAATGTATGGTTGCCTTTCATGCATCCCCTGCTGGGAACTGGCCTGCAGGGAACTGGCCTGCAACCCAGGCATGTGCCCTGACTGGGAATCAAACCGCGATCGTGTGGTTCGCAGGCCCGCACTCAATCCACTGAGCTACACCAGCCAGGGCTGAATTCTTTTTAAAACAGACTTAATTCATGGTAAAGGACTGTCAGACAGGAGTTGGTATGTGTGCGGGGTGGGTGATATTCTGAACAGTTCAAGCCAAAATGAAGATTGGGTGTTTTCTTCTGAAAGAAGGTTCAACATGGAAACGAGTATGTCTCTGTTGCAGAGTTGGCAGGAATACAGAGCTTATGAAAAATGTTCTCCTCTCCCCATCCCCTGCCCCAATTATTTTTATGCAATGGAGATTACATTAATTATTTGAAATTTAGTCCCTGCCTTAGAAATGGGGGGACCATGGTAGATGAAAAAAGAAAAAAGTAGAAAAAGAAAATCTGTTGAGTAGAGTTTTTATTCACTTAAAATTTTAAGGAGGAAGTTAAGAAGCAAGTAGTGGAGTTGATGGGGAGAAAGAAAAAGAGTGTTCAAACCCAGTTTATGTGTGCCTACAGAAATAGAATCTTAAGTTGCTTGCCATCAATATTCCAAGAGAAGTCTTGGTCAACTTCAGATCTCTATCAGTGTAGTATCTCCCTATGTCAGATACTTAGATTTGTTGAAGCTATCCTGACTTTAGATTTGAAGTATTTACTTCTCTAAATATTAGCCACCACAATATTAAGATCGATTTTAATTTTAAAATTAAATTTTGTTTTGTTAACCTTATTTACATCAATTTAAAAACTTTAATATTAAAATTAAAATCAGGCAACTCTCTAATGTCGACCATACTCTTCCAAAAGAAAATAGTAGTAGTAATGATAATAAATAACAGAGGCTGTTTTTCCATTTTCTCACCAGACTGTGATGTAGATTTAATTATTGAACTCAAAGAAGAAATTCAGAAATAGAATCCCTTCACTTCCCAACTTGTCATTGGCTGTACCCACAACCCAGTTCTGAACAGGGAGCAAGTTTGGAGGCTGAGGAACCACAGAGGCAGGGACAGGCCCCACAAAGCAGGGTAGGCAGAAAGGGGTGATGAGAGAAATTAGGAAGTGAACAGATGTAGGAGAGGACGATTCCCTAGTCATCCTCTTGCTGGAGAGGAGGCCGTTGCACACTCCTCTTCCCCAACGTTCCATTTTCCTAGCTTCTTGTAAATTATCTACTCTCTTTTTCTTGGCAGAATTCCGAAAAGGCCATCCGGTTCAATTCGAAGCCTTTTCTTTCGCCAGTTGGAGGCCCAAATAACAGGTCATCTGGAACTTTTTAAAAAAATCACTCATTTTAGTAAAAAATACAAAAAAGATAGCAGGTGAATTATTTGCCATTTTGTAGAACAATATTGTAGAACAATAATCACTACCACGCAAAGCACACACATAGAAACCCCAAATAGCAAACATTCCAATTATTGAAACAACATTAGTATTTCACAATTTTCACTGCAAACTGGGTACATTGATATATAAATCCACATTTTGACAGCTGCTCTCTGTGTTTGGAAAAGGAACACTAT